GGTGGGTGGGTGGGTGGGTGGGTGGGTGGGTGGGTGGGTGGGTGGGTGGGTGGGTGGGTGGGTGGGTGGGTGGGTGGGTGGGTGGGTGGGTGGGTGGGTGGGTGGGTGGGTGGGTGGGTGTGTGTGCGTGTGTGTTGACTTCATGTGGGCTGACACCCTGACTCAGGGCTTCGCACAAGAGTTTTGAGGAACGGGGGCTTGTCTCTTACAAGTGGGTATGTGTGGACTCCCTAGAATGCTGGCTTTCATTTTTTCACCTACCAACAAACTCCACACAGAAGCAGGGTTCCACTTTTTGACTACCCTCAAATAGACTTAAACCCAGGGGTGGGTCATGTACCCCAAAAAGGAAACCCCTTGGTTTAAGTCTATTTGCCGGTAGTCAAAAAGTGGAACCCTGCTCTCGAGTGCCTTTAATCTTTGGCCCCGGCATGATCGGCACCAGCTTCCAGCAGCGTCCGCACGATGCTCCGGTGCCCTGCCCCAAAGAAAAATGATCCGGACATCTGGTGGAGTTCCCTCCCTGCTTTTTGAAGCCCCAGAACTCCCTCCCCCCAGGAAAAACAAAAAAAGAGTCCCGGAAATTCCGGGACATGGACCTCCAAGAATTTCCTGGCAAAGACGAAAGCCCACAGCTGATGGGCGAAGAACACAAATGAGCCACATTTGCTTGGCACCTGCTGCCGAACACCGCCACCTGGCTCGGCCTCTGCCACGACTTGTGCAACTCGCTCAGCAGAAGTCTTGGCCACGTCTGAGGCCCCTGGAGCCCTAAAAGAATGAACCAAATCGAAGTGGAGAGCTGCTCACCATGAGTCACTTCCTGGACCCCGGATTTTTTTTGCCTGACCCGCACAAACAAGCAACGAGAAAGTCTGTCCAAAGCCAACGGACCAAGGCTCAGAATGCAGCCACATTCTTCGAAGTTCTTGGGCCCCTGAGCCATTGGAACGAAAGCGGTCCGCCATATTTTTGTTCCACTTCTTGGTTGACGTTGGATTTGGGGAGCTAAAAATCTAAAAAACATATAGCAGTTAAGTGGATTTGGATTTCAACCACTCAATTCCACAATAAGCAAACATGTAAAATGTTTCCAACCACCATGACTTGGCCGCGAAAGCGCACGCCAACCAACTTCTGGACCCTGGATCGCCAACTTAGGCTGCAACTTGCTCTTGGAGGCTCGGGCAGCCAAGTCCTTTGACCTATCATGACTCATATAGCCAAACTCGCACATGAATCAGCTTTAGCCATATTTAGGGAGGTATAGCGGGATATACTCTGCAAATTGTGCAATGATTTCAGCTCTGAAATCAGGGATCTTGAGGTAACCATGGTGAGCTCGTTTGACCCCCAGGTGAGCTCGCCATACACAAACAAATGCAGAAATATAGTGGGTCAGCTGACACAGTAAATGCCCAAAAGCCTTGAGTGAGTCCTTGTTTGGCATCCCGCCTTCTTGTGCCGCTACGAGCAGCGGGGTGGCGCCGTCGACTGTGGCCTAGCTGCGGCACAACAATCGGCCCTCCCTCAGAGCTCTCTCTACCCAAACTTCAAAAAAGAACTCCAAATCACAGTAGCGACCCAATCCCCCTGCCCAGAAATTCTGACATTCAACCCCTATTTGTTTCTTTACCGCTTGGCCAGAAGAATGACTACGCATCCTCTATCGATACCGACGTGGATGGTTTATCCCAGTTTTCGCAGGGGTTCATCGATCCACAGTTGGTGTCCTTAGTGCAAATGTTGGGAAAGAGTAGATAAAACATCCCCCGCCAACGGCACCGGGAAGAAGCGCTCGTGCACCTACATGTAGCCTTGACATAAAAAGCTGCCTGCGCAAATAGCTAGCATGACCTCACGGTTTCTAAACAGCTTCTGTCAAATCGCATGTTTGAGAGCACCTGGGCCAGCGCGAGATGAAGCAAGGTATTGCCTAACCATGTGCTTCGTTCTGTTGCGAAGACTCAGGGTTGTACCTCCTATTTCTTTTGACGATTTAACCTGCGGTCAAACATGTTCAAGCCGTAGTTGTTTTGACATCACCTCAATTTCCCCTTCAAGACGAACCCAGTTTCCCAAAGGACCCAGAAACAAATAGTGATATGATCGCCTCTTAGGGCCATTAAGGGCCATTGAACAATGGGAACCCAACAAAGGAAGCCATTTCTTTAGAAGGCTAGATCCGGTCGACTTGCTTTCCACACCCGGTGCGGGCCCCGCCCTTGCCAAGCGGCCTTGTTAAGGTCCGCATGCGCTCGGGTAAGGATCCGCACTATTTCGTCCTGGCCAAACGAGGGTCCTGGGGTATTCAAAAGGATGGTTCTTTTGGAGGGAACACCCAAAACACGTGGCTTCCCTTTGGCGTCCCTTGCGATTCTGTGGCCTTGTCTTTCGCGGAAACCCCGCAAGCGAGCGGCTTTCCTTGGGTGCCCCCTTTCCACCAACCTCCAAAGGGGCACCCGCAAAAACCAGGCGCCATCCGGTGGCATGGCATCTTGGTGAGCAAGCCCAATTTCCCGATGGTTTCTTGATGAATGTTCTCCAGCTGCCAGCGTAGATGACAGTACATATAGGCCGTTGCTCATTTGGAGATGACGGAGACCAACCACAAAAGGACCCTTGCAACGGTTGGAAGGAACAACCCGTCTTTCCTGCTGAGAAAAAGCCGAGGACAGCTCGACTAGCTGCTGGCTTCCAGGGTTGGCGCTTAGACATGGTGTAAAAACAGAGTGTTGCTGCGTCTCCTATGCAAACAAGCCCGTCAAGGTTCATTGCCAATAAGGGCCAAATGCTCCCAGTGCCCCATTTAAATCTACAAGCTACGGGTTTTGTCTGGACAGGGATTCTGCAACGTGAAGACTGGGTAGCGAATGGGAGGGGAGGGAGGCTCTCTTAAGTTTGTTTCACAAACCTGGTTGGCTACTGGAAAGTTCCAGCTTTCTCATTTGCTGCTGGGTTTGCAGTCAGCTGGCCATCCGTTTCCTGCTCACCTACTCATCCCTGAACGCCACTCAGCAAAGCATGCCTTCTTAACCCTGCGAGCCACGGCCAGAATTCAGTGTCAGCCTACTAGACATGGACAAGTTGAGACCTCCCCTTCCCCAGTCCTCAACGGACAGACTACTTTTGTTTTGGCTTCATTCATCTCTGAGCCAGTGCCCGTAGGCTGGACAGAACTGGCACCGGCCGAGCAAGCGAAGCCGAAATCCGCCGCCTGGTTCCGCAGAGCCGCCACAAATAACGGCGTCTCGTTGGAAGGCGTGGCGGCATCCTTGTCCACGCCTGCGAAACGGATCCGAGGAATGAGCAGCCCGGGCCGCTCCCCAGAACAATGCCTTTTAGGACCGATGGACTAAAAATGAGGCCGGCTTTGGGCAACTGAGGTCATGTTGTGCAGGGTTCCCCTTGAGTTTTCAGAGTGTGCCCTAAAGTCTGGGAGAATGTCGGTATTCGTGCAAAAGGCACCATTTCTCTGGTTCAAACCCACCAAGGGGAATCCCTAGTCTTGCAGTACCCCTCAGTCAGGTTCCATGTTGGCGGACAGGAGAGTGCCCTTCGTCCATTTGCCTAAGCCCCCTGGCAAGAAAGAAGAAAAAACAGCAGCCGTAGGGAATTAAACCAACAGCCTTAAGCAAATGGAAGAAACCGCACCCATCCCCAAAACGGAAGCCTTTAAGGCCCCTACGACAGATCCCCCACGCGTGACGGCCGCCTGCTTCGATGAGGCAGTTCACTACCTCTACCTCAGGCAGTTGGCTCGGTTCCCAGCCGAAATGGGGTTGCTTGTCTCTATTTTGGGGTGTGTGGTCGCTTCTCGATGCAGGGGACTTCACAAACCGCTCGTCCTTTCAAGTCTTCCCACCATTTGAGGAGCCCATTTTGGCAGGTGTTATGTCAAATGGCCCTAGGCCCAAAACGGGGCCCTACTACCATATTCGCTGTGCATTATTTTTCGGCTGGGCCCAGTTGGGTTTGTCTCTTTTTGAGGGAACCTCCCCAAAATTGGTTGTTTCCCTTTGGCTTCCTTTCATATATTCAGATTCTGGAATATTATCTTGTCAAATCTTACATCCTGCAAAACACTTCATTAGAGAGACCCAGGTTTGAACTCCCCCCCTTTCTTGCAGAAGTGAATCAAGGGAACCCTCCCCAAAATGAAACGAATCCAGTGAGGCCCAAAAAATCATCCCCCACACCTTTCAAGCCCAAAGCTCGGTTCAGATATCCGAATATAGGGGATGTCTTTCTATGGTTTTGGGGGAATTTGTCTTTCTGAGGGGTTTATCTGCTGAGGAGGGTCCAGAGTACTCCGAAGTTAACATGTTTTGAGCGCTTTTGGGGAAGAAAACGGCGAGCCAGGGGCCAGTGACCAGACCACGGCAACAGCGCAAACACAAATTACCAGCACCGAAGCAAAGCCACGATTATGACTTGGGCGTTTCCTGAAAAAGGGGGATGGCCTACGGGACCCCTGGCATTTCCCCCCACAAACCAGAAAGAGAGTCAGTGGTTGCTAGCAATTGGGAGCATGGACATGAACCCATTGCCACAACGCCGTTAAAGCACGAAAGCAAGAAACGGAGGAGGATGCTTGTTACATTCCAAAAAGGAGGTGCTTGTCGATTGCTGGGTGGAAGGTTCAAAGTAAACCACCACAGCTCGCCAACCAAAGCAATCGTCGCGCCAAGTGGCGTGGCCCTTGAGCGCAGCTACGTATAGCGCCGTGGCGCCGTTATACCGCGCATCCTGGCGGCAGGCAGGCAGAAAGGATCAAGCGATCAAGGCCTGCTTCTTCGTATCGGCTTGTTAGGTCCTCTCCAGCGCCTAGCCTCTCCCAAATAATTTCACCAGCCTGCTCTATTCCAGTCTTCTTCGTATCGTCTGGAGCCCCCCCTCGAACCAAGAAACTGACAATGGCGATTCCAAACGAGTGGCGCATCTCAAGCAATGTGTCCCCCAGACGCCCCTCAGGGGTGTCCAATGGAGGGTCTGGGTCTTCCACTGGAAGCCCCAGGAGCGTCTGGGTAGCGGCAGTGAGTGGCAAACCACTCCAGCCCGGACAGGGCGGGAGCTCGCCCCTCCCTTTCGGACCTCGCCCCTCCCCCCCCGGAAAGTAGCCACCCCGTCTTGGTAGAAGGGTGGTCAAGGCCCAAAACCTGCGAATCCCGAATAGGCCTTGTGCCCATGGAACCCCCCAACAAACTCGCCCCAAGCCCCGAAAAAATCACACACAACACAGCAACACCCGAACCCTCGAACCCGAAACCAAAACCGAACACCGCCAAGCCACCGCCAAGCCACCGCCCAGCCGACGAAAAACGAGCCCGCCGCCCCCGCCCCCCCCGGCCCGAGCTGAAGCCCGGCCTTGTCACCCCTCCGGCCCTCCACGAGCAGCTTCACCGTCTCGTGGTGCCCCGCCTCGCGGCGCACGGCGCGCAGAGAGACCGACCCTCCCAAGGAACCGAAGGAACCTGACGTTACGGGGGTCCTGGTTTGGAACAATCTTCCTTTTAAAGAGACAATTTTCCTGCCAGGTTCCATGGGAATTGCTGGGAGGGTAATATGTTGAATACTTTGTTGGACAAACAAGGCGAAATAGCAAGGACAGCATCCCACTGCAACCCCGAAACCAGGGCTTCATGAAGAGTTTATATAGACATGACAGCAGGATATGATGGGACCGAATCCTTCATTCGCCCTTCGAATAAGTGAGGAATCTTAGAAGTTAAGCCAGAAATCCATGGCACTCCCTGAGGGGCTCCCCAAAAAACATCCAAACCACCCAAATATGAGCCATCACCCAAAGAAAACCCAGGAAAACAGGAAAAACAGCCCCAACAATATCCCTCAAGAAAAGCTGAATATGGGCCCAAGCCCACCCAAGAACCCCGGCGCGAAACCCAAGCGAACCCCCAAACACCTCCAAGCCCCACGCCACGCCGCCCCAGCACCCCGCGCCTGCGCCGCCGCGAACAGTGGCGCCTGCCCAAGGCTGGTGGCCTGCCGAGCGGGCGCTGCGCAGCTCCGCGGCTCGGAAGGAGTGAGCTAAACCCCGGCCCACGAAATGGGGACACAAAGGGGGAGCTGTTTTATTTGTTGTTGCTTTGTTGTGTGTGTGTGTGTTTGTTTGTTTTTTTTGTTGGGGGGGGGTAGGTCAAGAGTAATTACTCGAAACGGGGACCTTTGGGATACTCAAATGGAGCCATGATTCTAGGAGTCAACTATGAATTTTGTAGCCCCTGGCGTTGCTCACTTGCAGTCAGGGCTGCGTGTGCGGCTCCAAAAAAAAGCCGCGTCATCTCGGGCGTCGAGGCTCAGCAAGAGTACTTGACTTCAGGTCTTCGCTTCATGCCGGATGGTTTCCGGCCAAAACGGACAGATCCGCGGACAGACGCGGAACCGGAACACCTAAACTGTAGCCGATCTTTAGCTGTTACGCCCAGGTGTTTTGTTGAAATACATATTTGACGATTCTTTTGTTGGATCCCGGATGGTGTCCATGCGTTGGACTTGTAACTCATGTTGCGTCAAACGCTGGTTGTGAAGAAGGACTTGCCTTGGACACGGAATAGTTGGAAGTGAATGCATGGTTCTGACTGCCTGGAGTGCCATGCAGATGTGCAGATGGGTCGTGATTTCTTTCATGTTGCCAGTCACTTCCATTCCATGACGTGGCACACCTGACTGTACCTGCTTGGCTTTCTTTGTTTTTGACATGGCCATGGCTGGCTATGCTGCTACTTGTTTCACATCCCAATCACAGTGATCCTTGTTTAAACATGTTAGATGCCTAAACACTCCCGCCCTTCAGGGGAACCAGGGCATAGCTTTCTTAAAACAACCCCCCCCCCCAAACCCCACCAACCCCCCCGTCCCGCCTCAACCCCCCCCTCAAACCTTCAAACCGAACACCCCCAAACCAAATCTCAACCCACAGATTCCCCACTTCCCAAGCCCCACAAACCCTACCCCCCCGCTCCCAACACCCACCCACCCCACCGCTCCCACCCCACCCAAGCCCCACCACATCCCTTCGCGCCTTGTAGCGGTCGGCCCCCGCCTGCAGCAGCAGGTGCACCACCGGGCTGTGGCCCGCCTCCGCCGCCGCGAAGAGCGGCGTGACGCCCTGCAGGTCCGCCTCCCCAAGGACACGAGTCACGCGACAATCCCTGGACTGATGCTAACCCCTGGTTGATCAAAGGGTGTCCCCTTTTAGTGGGGATTCATCACTTCGGGAGGGAAGAACTCCCCTAATAATGGGACGGATTTATTAATCCTGGGTCAACATGAAGGCGTTGAGTCACCTGGTGTGTCAAAGGGGAAACCCTGAACAAGAGTCTGGGCTTGTCCCAAAACAGCGCGCATGCGCACTTCCATTTGGGTTGAAGAGACTCCTTTGGTCACTTCTTTGAGCCGACAATGTGTTCAGTTGCGAGGGGTACGCCTATGGAAAAAGTCGTCGCCAAGCCGAGCAACAGCAGACCCAAGCGCGTGGATCGTCATCTCGAGTGGATACCAGTTTCGCTCGCCAAGGTCGTACGTAAAACACATAGACACCTTTTTTGGACAGTCCCTCTGAAGCGGGGTTGTTTGTGGGGCGCAAGCAAGGCCAAATCGACCCACTTTCATGGCTGGTCGTCGGTGGTTCTGATCAAAAAATCATCTTCGCGAGCAAGTGGCAGCCTTCCAATTGTTCCAACGGGCGGCCTCTTCGGCCCCTTCCTGGTGCGATAGGTAGGGATGACCGAAACCGGGTGTTGGGAATGAACCGTTTTCCCTTAATTCAAGGAAACCATAGGATGGATGGTTCTTCTTGTCTTGGGGCCAACTCATTCCCTGCCCAGGACCAGCAGGAAGAACAGCTCGCATTCCTTTTGACACCCTTGAAAGTCGAAGGAGAGTCCCTGCAAGTAGCCCCCGAAAACAGTCGAAACATCACCCCACCAAAACAAAACCGCTTGAACGGCAACCTTTAAGGCGACCTTTTAACACACCAATTGAAATATAGGGGTGTCTGTTTTTGAGGGACCCATGTTTTGTGGTTTGAAAGGGAAACCAAAAGGAAAACCAGCGTACCCCCAAAAACAAGAGGAGCAAAGGGGAAATCAACCTCAGTGCTTGGACTTTGCGCCTTATTCTTGCTGGCCCCGCTGCGCAGCAGGGCAGAAACGCTCCTCGCGTTTCGGCATTGAAACCAATTGCCGGTGAAGAACGCACGACAGGCGTGCGTTCCCCAAGTAGTAGGCTAAACTACCAACTACCGGGAGAGCGCCTGGAAAATCACAGATTGCCCGTGCCCTATTAAACTGGTTAGCCTTGGAACTCTGAAGCGCAAAATTACCCATGCCAAAATTGCTGGGTTTCGCTTTGCAACAAGCAAGTAGGCCAAACAAGAACGGCTGTGACTTGCAGCCGCTTGTCCAACTCACACAACTCGGTTGCTTTCTGCTCCCCTGCTAAAAGTTTAACTTTTGGTGGTTTAATGGAAAACCCATTCAAAGGCAAAAAGTTAAAGTCATAACATCCAAGCCAAATGCAACAAAGAAAATGTGCGGAATCTACAGGACTTCCCTGCCGCTTTTCTCCAAAGGCATCCAAATCGTTTTCTGGAGTGTCACCCCATGCGGGCCTCATGTGGAAACCAAGGGGATGAACCGGAATCAGCCCTCACCAAGTCACCAGAAGAGGGTCTTGGCCTTCTTGTGAGGGTTGGCATCCCAAAAAGACCCAACACAACCTGCCCCGAGGAAACGAAAGCATTCAACCTTCTGATAGTGGCTACTGAGAAAGCAGCTGACGTACGCTTCAGAACATCTTCAGAGTGGAAAGCCGCCTGTCGTCAAAAGCAAATCCTGCCACATGCTGGAGAACTAAGACGTCACAGGGTCCCTCATGCAATGCCACGCGAAAGCAAACTGACCGCTCGGCGCCTGAAAACAAAACTGCCCCAAATATTTCAGCCCCTCTGGAACTGCAATACCAAGTGAAATGCTGACTTGACAAGTCATAATAACCAGCAACGAGAAACCCCAACCGGAGAAAGAAACAACAAACCACAAAAACAGGAACCTCTACAACAAGGTTAAGCTCGGATTCATGGGAACCCCGGATCTAAGTGGAGCTCCTGGTTGATTTGGATTGGGGGGCGTCCCTGTTTAAGCGGGCTTTCCACGTTTGGGAAAAGCACCCCCTGTTCGTAGGATGGGCTTGTTATTCCGGGGTCAACATTCAGCCTGAAGTGAAGCAACTCCTCACCAAAAGGGGGACCACCCCTCTCTCATATGCTCCGCCAGGCTAACCCAGGATGAGCGCTGAAGAGATCTATAGAAAAGCAGTAAAGAACGTATCCACCCCTGTTAGAACTAAACATGAGATTTCCTGAGTGGCTAAACCAGGAAAAGTCAATGCTTTCGATTCCCACTAAATCGCCCTTCCCAAACAGGATGCAAAAAGACCTGAAACTGGAGAAATGAGGGTGCAACTCGGCACCCACTGAACGAGGTACTAAATAGTGTCCGGAAAAAATGACAAATTGCCCATCCCTGTTGGCGTCCTTGAGAAAATCAAAGACTAGAAAGGAAAAACCACGTCTGTTGTTGGTGTCCTTGCGCCAGAAACTGACAAATGCCCATGTGTCAAAAGCCAAATCGTACCCCCAGTGAACATCCCAATCCCACCAAAACAGGTTCCAAAATGGGTGGTGCACCGAACACCCCAAAGATTGGATTCCAAAACGGGTTTTGACAACCACGGCCACATGGCAATCATCCCTTTCGACCCGTCTGGGGCTCGGGCTCCGCGTGGCCCACGGTGGCCGCGATGATCAGCGGCGTGGTGCCGTCGTCCAGCGGCTTGTCCTGCCGCTTGGCTGTGGCCGGCGACGCGACCACGGCGGCGGCGAACGAAAAAAGAGCCTAAAAATGAGAACGGGGTGGGGGCAGCAAGAACCCATTTTGCGGGCAGTAAAACCCAATGGGATCCCATTTTGGGGAAGAACCTATTTTAGTGGTTGGATTGGGATGTTCACAGCCATAGATGGCCTTTTAGGATGGAAATAGATGGATATCCCTGGTAGATGAAGAAAAAACACCCAGGTAAACCAGGAATCGCCATCAATTTTTCGACCAAAACAACCAACCTATGCGAAGGAATTAGAACGGGCTGGGGTGGGGGGAGCAAGAACCCCAGGCGGTAAGTAACATACCTACTGAAGAGAGAGTCTGGGTTCCTGATGGGTGGGGGTGAGGTAGGTTACTTCGAAACCAAATTCAGGCATTATGCCAAGAGTAAACTATTAGCAATGCGGGGTTTTAGTCGAATGGGGGGGGGGAGGGGGGTACTTCCAAACCAAACTTAGTTAGTATGGTAGGAGTAAAATTATTAGTACTGGATTTCAAGGCGCATTTAGTCGTGATTATGAGTAAACCATTGGCAAGCATTTGCCCCTCCCACGTGCTGCAGACCGCCTCCCCCCAGAATGCCGTAGAGTGTGCAAGCAATATGGAGGAAGCAAGGCTCGAGGTTCTTTACACATTTTCAGCGAACTGCACCATGATGCGGAGACACGTGTAGACACTGAACTAAGGAAAAGGAATATACATAGTGACACGGAGACAAAGGTGCTCACTGTGGTAGAAAGTCGCATTAAAACAGAAACACATGCGGGTGTGGGTCAAAAATGGGTACCCAAAAAGGCCTAAAATGGAACCCCGGGCAATGGAACCAAGGACTAAAATCTGCTGTCCCCTGGTGGTCTAATTTTGACCCATAGCCATGTGTTCACAAGCGGCCAACTGGTCGGAAGCTGGAAACTAAGGGCAACCATCATGTCACTGTGTTCACCGAGCTGATCACAAGGAATATGCTGTGACCAAAGGATAGACGCTCAACAAACATACGTTGGTCACCGTGCAGGCTGTTGCCAGCAGGGCTCACCCGCATTGGCCCCTGCACTTTGAAGACCTAGACCTGAAACAGAAACAAGATGCGCGAAAAGCGACTTGGAGCTTCAATTGAGCCACAATCAGAACCCGGTATCAAAATGGTCTACCCAGAACCATGTAAAGAAATAAGAAGCCGGACATCCGCAACTATTTCTGGCTGGGACTGCCCCTTACTAACCTTCATCTACCCGGTCTTTGAGGCTGTGGCTCAACCGCAGAAGGCCAACATGCAGCCGGACATGACATGGCCATGGGTCAAAACCCCATGATCCCCAGCGAACATCCGATTCAATCCAACCACTAAAATGGGAAGCCTAAAATGGGCGGTGAATTCACCGAAAACCCAAACATGGGATCCCAAAACGGTTTTGAACCATGGCCATGTGATTTCAGGGTGTTCAATCTGAAGGCTGAGCGAAGGCCACGGGAGCTGTTGCCAACCACGGCCACATCCAGCGGATTGCGGCCCCGCTCCTTGTGCGCCTTGGCGTCCAGCAGTAGCCGCAGAATCCTGGGAACTGAGGACGGCGGCGGCAGAATAGGCAGCCACGTCTGCTTGGGGGTTGCCCCGTCTTTTTTTTTTTTGCTTTTCCCTCCCACCCAAAACAACATGGGAAACCAAGAGCGGTTTTTTTTGTGTTTGTGTTTTTTTACCCTCCCAAGACAACGTGGGAAAGCAAGACTGGCATGAACATCTGTCAGTGTCAAAACCTCCGCCAACTGTTGTTCGCTCGCCTTGGTTCCCTCAGGAACCCTCGATTTTTGGCCAAGGCGCTCATGGTGATTGTGATTTGCGGCAAGGTAGGCCGGAAACTCGCCCCAGGCATTGCAATGATCCTGGCTCGCCCCCGGTCGGCCGGGTGCTGGAGCTTTCCCAACAGGGTGTTCGGTGCTAGTGTAGTGCCCGAAAGATATACAATTAAATGTTCTACTTGTCAAACAGTACACTTTTCATAAATTAATAGACGGATAAACACCTAAATAAACAAAAATACAAAAATCATCAAATAAACAAAGACAGACATAAATAAATAAGTACATAAATTAACAAGAAAAAACGTATAAACATATAAATACACATAAACACTACATGCTATAAGCTCCCATCTATATGCTGCTGCCGCCGACCGCCGTCGCGCGCTTTTCGCCCGGCCACTCCCCGCCTGGTCCACGCTGGGGGACTCCAACAGGAACTCGGCGATGTCCCGGTGCCCTCTCCTCGCCGCCTCGATGAGGGGGGTGTTCCCCCGCAGGTCCGGCATGTTCAGATCCTGGGCGGGGTATCGCTCTCGCGCGGAGAAAAAGAAGAAAAAAGACGTGGGCAGTGCGAAAGTGGGTTGGGACAAGCAAGCGACCTAGAAGCTCAGTGGGGAGGAAAGACAGGCTAAGACCTTCACTGAAAACGCGTGCTCGGGGCGTTTGAGCAAACCCCTCCAAGTCAGAATCAATCTGGTGCAGCAGGAGCCTACTCAAACCCATGTAAAGAAGCAAAAGGGCCGCGCCCAGCGAAAAAGCTGCACTACAAACGGCACAGAGTTTGGTACACCTTGTTTCGGGGGTGGCAAAAGGAAACCAGAGTGACATGAGAGGTCCAAGGTTTGACCCACATCCCAGCTGTGCAGCGCATGCACAGCGCAGTTCGTACCCCATTGTTTGTTAAGTGTGGATTGTGTGTCAATGTGCGCGCGCACATGGCAGGAAACTAAAAAGCAACAGCCATCGGATTCACCCCCGGTAGGATCCACTAAGAGAATACCAGTGGGTCAAGCTTCATTTTCGCAGTCTTCCAGATGTCAAATCGGAAGCTCCTTCCTATACCCCCAACAAAAATCGCTTCAGATCCAAACCGCATCCATCCAATCCGCACCCCGCACCCTGAGCTGAGCCGCTGCATCTGCATAGGCGAGCAGCTGCATCATCTCCATATGCCCTCAGAGCCCATGGCTAGCTGCCAACAACAAAGAGTGGGTGATGGATTCGCCTGGACTGAACACCCCGGTGCTGCAAAGCTGTTGCTCTGCGTGGGAAAAGTCATATCAGATCCCAAACAAATTTGGGTCCAAAGAATCAACCAAGCAGGTAAAACTCATCAGCCTGCTTCCGGGGGTTCATATGACATCATTCAACCATGGATGCTCCCTGCTGGCCCAAAACTCTTCAGAGGAATCTGCAAGTTCCAATTGCCCAGCACCCAACCTGCACACCCAACCTGGGCACCCAACCTGGGCACGTCTTTCCGTCTGGGGCCATTGTTGGTGTGTTTTGCGACCAAGCGGAAACCGAACAAATGTGCCTCTACAATTCTGCCTCTGCCCCAACGATTGGAACCCATCCCCACCTTTCTGATTCACCTGAGCTTTTGCTCCCAGATTCTGGCCCAGGCTTAGTGAATTTTCGAGTGAAACATCATTTCAAGAGAGGGCCCCACCCCGCAGGGCACAGGCTAATGCTGATACCAGCCTCATACCTCAAGGATGAAATCGGAGCTGTTTCTTTTGGTGTTCCCTGAGGTTGGCCAAGGAACGGATATGTCAACTCCCTCAGAATCAGCAGGATGTGACGGAGATGTTGCCAGCACTTGGTGAGGATGGCGCTCTTGTTCGGACGCGGTTGATTCAATCCGGTGCTTGCCTGAACCCCTGAATGCTATGCTCCATGGTTAGAGGAAGTCACAGTACTCATGCAGAACTTGCCCATCATGTTGGATGGGGATTTGTTTTCCGGGACTTTGCACCCGCAGTGGAGGGCTGCACTTTGAGTTCATGCTGATGTGCAGGCTAGACCACCTTACCCCCCCCCCCCCCTCTTCCGCCTCTGCCGCCTCTTCCCCGCCCCGGCGCCTTCGCGACTGGCCTTGAGCGCCGCCGTTTCCCCTTTCTGGTCTGCGGCGTTGGGCTCCTGCCCGGCTGCTTCGACGCCCGCGCGGGCGCGCGCGCGGGCCCCCTGCCGGGACCCCCTGGCCAAAGGTTGGGCTTTGGAGGATGGAAAAGGTCAGCTTCCTTGGCAAACCAAAAGATGCGCCACAAGCTGAGTTCCATCTGGCGCCGCGATTCCCGAAGTAGGATCAACCGCCTTCCCCATGATGATGCCACCCCGTTTCCCACAAGCAGATGGTCATCTCAAGCGCCCGGACCTCACCATCCCGGCCCCTCCTGAGGCAGCATGAGGCAGGCTTCTGCCTAGCCAAGGCCAACTGGGGAGGGGTGCAACGTGGAGCACTGCCTACATACCTTGGGTTGCAATCTAGGCGAAGCTCCCTTGAAACTGGAGCAGGTGGAGCTTCCACCAAGACCAAAAGCGAAAGTTCAGAGGCCCAGCGCTCCGACCTGAAATGCAAGGCTTTTTTGGGTTCAGTCTTCCTTCAGGTACCCAAAATGTGGAACCTTGAAAGTGCCTCTGAAGGCTATGTGCCAAAGTCGGGGTGCCTCCAAAATGATGGTTGTCCTTTTGGTTTCCCTTCATACCTGCCTTGAACCGGATATCATACTTCCACACCCGCAGCCAAGCCTGATAGTGCCTCTCAAATATGTTGAAGAGACACACGCTCCCATTTGCTGATGTTGATGACCCCCAGAAGCCCCATCAACATCACGAACCCAAACTCAACATTCTCCCCACTTTCCGTGTTACCTCACCCAAGCTTCAAACCCACCGAGACCAACGAAACCATCCAGCTTCACCCGCCCCACTAGACCACAATAAGCAAAAATGTAAAATGTGTCCCAACCACAACCATGATAATTCATCCAGACTCACCATTCTCCCCACTTTCCGTGTTACCTCACCCAAGCTTCAAAACCCACCGAGACCAACGAAACCATCCAACTTCACACTAGACCACAATAAGCCAAAATGTAAAATGTTTCCCAACCACAACCATGATAATTAATCCAGACTCACCATTCTCCCCACTTTCCGTGTTGCCTCACCCAAGCTTCAAACCCACCGAGACCAACGAAACCATCCAACTTCACCCGCCCCACTAGACCACAATAAGCAAAAATGTAAAATGTTTCCCAACCAAAACCATGATAATTAATCCAGACTCATACCTCACCCAAGCTTCAAACCCACCGAGACCAACGAAACCATCCAACTTCACCCGCCCCACTAGACCACAATAAGCAAAAAATGTAAAATGCGTCCCAACCACAACCATGATAATTAATCCAGACTCACCATTCTCCCCACTTTCCGTGCTACCTCACCCAAGCTTCAAACCCACCGAGACCAACGAAACCATCCAACTTCACCCGCCCCACTAGACCACAATAAGCAAAAATGTAAAATGTTTCCCAACCAAAACCATGATAATTAATCCAGACTCACCATCCCCACTTTCCGTGCTACCCAAGCTTCAAACCCACCGAGACCAACGAAACCATCCAACTTCACCCGCCCCACTAGACCACGTACAACCATGTGTCACCCAAGAAACCATCCAACTTCACCCGCCCCACTAGACCACAATAAGCAAAAAAGTATAATGTGTCCCAACCACAACCATGATAATTAATCCAGACTCACCATTCTCCCCACTTTCCGTGTTACCTCACCCAAGCTTCAAACCCACCGAGACCAACGAAACCATCCAACTTCACCCGCCCCACTAGACCACAATAAGCAAAAATGTAAAATGTTTCCCAACCACAACCATGATAATTAATCCAGACTCACCATTCTCCCCACTTTCCGTGTTACCTCACCCAAGCTTCAAACCCACCGAGACCAACGAAACCATCCAACTTCACCCGCCCCACTAGACCACAATAAGCAAAAATGTAAAATGTGTCCCAACCACAACCATGATAATTAATCCAGACTCACCATTCTCCCCACTTTCCGTGTTACCTCACCCAAGCTTCAAACCCACCGAGACCAACGAAACCATCCAACTTCACCCGCCCCACTAGACCACAATAAGCAAAAATGTAAAATGTGTCCCAACCACAACCATGATAATTAATCCAGACTCACCATTCTCCCCACTTTCCGTGTTACCTCACCCAAGCTTCAAACCCACCGAGACCAACGAAACCATCCAACTTCACCCGCCCCACTAGACCACAATAAGCAAAAATGTAAAATGTGTCCCAACCACAACCATGATGATTAATCCAGACTCACCATTCTCCCCACTTTCCGTGTTACCTCACCCAAGCTTCAAACCCACCGAGACCAACGAAACCATCCAACTTCACCCGCCCCACTAGACCACAATAAGCAAAAATGTAAAATGTTTCCCAACCAAAACCATGATGATTAATCCAGACTCACCATTCTCCCCACTTTCCGTGTTGCCTCACCCAAGAACTTCTTGTTGGGATCGGGTCCCACCCCCACCGAGACGCATCCCACCCCCACGACCGCCCCACGGCGCCTCCTCGATGAGCCCGGCTTCGGCCATCTGTCGCAGCCGGTCCCCCGCGACGTTGACCTGGGCTGATTGGGCCTTTGGCCCGCCGCGTCCAGGGCCCCGGCCCCGGCCACGCCATGGACGCGCGCAAATTGACACGAACCCTTGGCTTGGAGCCCGGTGGTTTGCTCTTCCGGGGTCCCATTTGCCCTCTAAAGCCAGGTGTTCACATCCCAAACCATTCCAAATCACGAATTGGCGACCACCTGAGACACGGAACCGCAGAAAGCAGCCCCATGTTTGGAAGAAAATTCGATTCCCTCTGCCTAAGTTTGGAGGGAACCCAGCTGAACGGCCCACGTTTCCTGGACAATTCATCGTTCGAAAGGCTTCTCCCTGCCAGGATGCGAGGGCTCCTTGACTCCAATCAAAAGAGGGATGAGGTAAAAAGAAGGCATCCGCGGCCACCTGTGGTTTTTTGCGCCCCGTCTGGCTGTAAGAGCCCCACAGCGTTGGGTGTGTCAAAGCCGGGTGGCTCCAAACATGGGCTTCGGTGTTCCTAACTAGGCGCTGGAAAGCGTACCCTCAAACAAACTCACCCGCCTGCTTGAGTCACAAGGCGGGCTACTCCCAATTTTTCCCCTGGAGCCCAAGAAGGGGCTTCACTGAACAAGGAGCTTCTGGGCAACAAAACTCATGTCTTGTTGGTTTGGAGGGACGGGGCTTCCCTGGGGGTTCCATGTCCGATCCGCGGGCGAGCTCGGACCATGCCGTATGAGTTGGCCAAGGCGCATAGTCCAAGACGTGCAGCTCCACTTCCCTAGGCTTCTCCAGCTCCTGGCGGCCCGCGATTTTTGTTGCGGCTGGGCGCTCCCCGTTTTCGTTGTTGGCCATGTGAAGTGGAGGGCCAGACCCCAAAATGAGGGTTGAAGGGTTTAGGGTATCTCTACTTCTCACTTCTTGAGCGGATTTGCCAAAACAAGTTTACCCAAACTTGTTGCTTGCTACTGAGATGTCTCCCCAAAAGGTGACTCAAGTTCAGGAGCTCAGGGGGTGAGAAAGGCCGCGCAGGGCCGGAAACTTGGTGTTCAACCCCCACTCCAACCAGCGAAGAAAACGCGGACCATTTCACTTGGAAGGCAGTGCCTGGTGCAAAAAGTAGTTGCCATGTTTTGTCACTCCAAAGCGGAACCCCTTCACATCATAGACATGAAGCACTGCCAGAGGGCACTCCTGAGTGGATTGGTCAAAACAAGTCAAGACCTGACGGATGTCGCTTTGTTGGGGCGGGGCAACCTCAAACTCCCCGCATGCCCTATTTGTTGGGTCCATGGTTGCCGCAGTTGTGGACAAACACATGCAAAGCCCTCTCCTCTACAGCCCATGTCCCTTTCGTTTGGGAACCCAGATTCGTAGAGCGTGCCCCGTCCCCCACCCCTCGACAAACAACCCATGCTCCAATTTGGGTCACAATCAAAACCCAGTAGCAAAATGGCCTACCCAGAACCATGTAAAGAACTAAGGAGGCGGCCGCAGCTATTTCTGGTTGGGATGTCCCTTACTAACCTTCGTCTACCCGGGTTTTGATTGTGGCTCATTTGGGGATCCTGGGGCTCATTCGTCCTGAACCCCATAGGCGTCCTTTTAGGGAAAACAGATGGCCCTGGCAGATGACTAAACAACAAGGTAAACCAGTGCCATCTATTCTTCAACCAAAACAACCAAAAAGGACACCTATGTGAACCCCCAACTTTCGAGCAAAAAACCACTCACGGCCGAAAATTCGCCCATCGACCGTCGAAACCCGGGTTTTTGGCTCCTCCCAGGAGAGATGGAAGGGTACCACCCGACCATGGTGCATCAGCTTCTGCCGGAGGTACGGGATAGCCTTCCTGGGCGAGGGGTCCGACCGCAAGCAGGGAAAAGGATGTGATACCTCTGGCAGTCCTCACAAAATGGGGAACGAAGGAGCTACAAATCCCATAAGAGTGGGGGATCCTTGTATGTCACCTTTCAACATCCAAAGTGGTGACGATTGAATTGCCCCAAAACAAACATCTCAGGACCCCGAAAAACATGACAAAACCCATGCTTCGTTTTTCTTCACACACCCAAAAGGGAAGTGCCTTGGCGTTTACCCTGTCTTTCTGGCAGCACGTGAAAGGCCCTGTATCCGCCACCCTTCCCCACCCACTAAACGGAAGCAGGCGAACCCATCCAAGCAGCCTCGCTCTCACCTCGTCCTTGACAATCTCCGTAAAGCCTTGGCTCGCGGCGGCCCGCCCAACATGACGTGTGAGTCACCCTCAAAGCCCCTGATCAAAACCGCAGAATTCTCCAAAACCATCCTTGCAGTCAACCTGACCTTCCATTGCCAAACGCCCAGAGCCGGCATGTCCTCCAAGAGGCTTCTGTCGCCGGCATTTCTGGCCCGAAAGAGGTCAGGGTCCAGTGCCAGCAGCAAACGCCCGGTGGACGACAGTACGTGGATCATCTTCGCCCTCGCCCGCTGCGATTGGGCATGTTGGGCGCGCATGGCGCTCGCGGGCGCGCGAGCGAACGAGCGAACCGGGGTGGGGTCGGCCCCTAAAGTTTTAAAATCCGCGGCGCGGAAAGTAGTTGGTCGACTTGGGGCTGGAGACCGTCTGGTGTGGCTGGGTGATGCTGGGTGATGCTGGGTGATGCTGGGTGGGGTGGGTGGCTATGGACACCTTGGGGTGTGGGTCGAGCTGCGACTCGACTATGGAACCCTCGGCCCTTGAGCAAACTTGGCGGCGCAACAAGGATATTCTCAAGCTGCCAAGCCTGAAATGCAAGCATCCGTCACGACCAAAGAAAAGCCGGTACATCTGGTGGAAGAAAACTGGCTGTGGTGAATTTCAAGGCACTCAAAGTCAGCCACTGCTGCTCGGGGGTGCGCAGGCACAACATCGCTCCACACGCAAGTAACTGCGAGTGCTGTTGCAATCTCTAAGCCAAGGCTCCCTACAAGTCATGGTGGAAACTGGGGAGAAATCTAGGGAACCTTCCTGCCATCCAGCCGAGCATCACGTAGACAAAGACGAAAGTATCCATGTACCCCTCGGCTTGCAGATGATCAACATGGCAGGTAGGCCAGGCCGACGTGACGTTCCACGTGAAAGGGGCTGCGTGTGCCCCCATATTTTGTTGCATGGCCTTTTGTTCAGGGAACCCCCCACCTCCCCCGCAGGCAAAAAAATGGTTCTCCTGTCGGGTTCTCCCTAAAACCACCCAACAATTGGGTGACTAAAAAAGCCAACCCCGACATACCCGACAACAAAAAGAGAACCTCAGGCCAAGGGAAGGATCTTGAGCATCGCCGTCTGCTCTCTGACCTCGCCCTTTCGGAAACCAAACGCATCCGGGCACGCCAGGAGGCGTACAAAAAGGGGGGGCATGATCCGGTGACATCGAGCGACTCTTATCCTGGTGTTCTTGGAAAGCATCTGCTTGAGAAATCGCTAGCCCCCTCCCAAACCCAGAAAAGTAGCGCTGCATCAACGCGTAAACCATCAATCACCCATCTGCGAAATGGTGCGACAAATGGTCCCAAGGCCCATCAGCTAAAGCAGGCCTCTATCGGAACAAGGTGAGAAGAAATTACATTTGGAGAGGTTCACAGATCCACTTATTGTTTGACACCTTCACCTACCCGTGTCTTGCAAAGCTGGTTTAACTTGACTCTTCTCAACATCTGGCAGGGCGGTGATCCACTACGATCATGCAGGAACTAGCCCTCCGACAAACTAAAACTGCCCCACTACAAATTAGCATGGTGAAAAGTTCTGGATTCCAGGTCAACATGTGGGGGAGCATCAGGATTCTCGGAATGAGAGGTTGGTTCCTGATTCTCACTTTGCTAACCTTCGATGATATTTGTGCTTTTGAGGAATGAAGCGTTGGGAAGGCGGTCTCCAAAACTTGACATACTTTACTTTCACCATCCCACTCTCCTCAGTGGCAAGCTTTTCCCCTCCCTCCCCCCCCTCAAAAAAAACACCAAACAAACAGCAAAAAATACAACACAGTCCCCACAATTCACGCCCCAACCTCCAACCTCCCCAACCTCCCCCAACCTCCCCCAACCTCCCCCAACCTCCCCCAACCTCCCCCAACCCCCCCCCCCCCCACAGCCCTCCCCCCCCCACAGCCCTCCCCTCCCCCCTCAGCTCCGAGGCGCCACCCGCAGGCACCGGGACCTCTGCGCGTCCAGCTCGAAGAAGGCGAGCCCCGCCGGCACCGGCCACGCCCCGGAGGACCGGGGCAGACGCACCGCCTGCGCCAGGGGGGTCGACAAAAATGGCCCTGAAAGCTCGAGGAAGCCCGGCAAGAAAACGCGTTGATGGTGCGGGAAGACCTAACTCAAGAGGGGGCATAGCCTATGTGTCAGAATCAGATTTGGGGGGGGGAAACCTGTTAAGATGGATGTTGTGTAGGAAAGCCTCATTGATAAGGTGGCATTTGTCAAAAAGACTGGGGGGGGGGGGGCATTCCCTTTCAACCAACCTGAAACAATTGTATCCTCGGGCCTGGCCATCCGAGGACACCTGCACGCACATGGGTTCGAAGAGGATCTGCGTCTGCGGCATCTCCGACCTTGCCAGATGCCAACTGGTTGAACTGGGAGTGCTCCCATTCAGCCCGACCGGCGGATCCGATACAATTGTGCGAAACTTGCGGGTTGATCATCTTCTGGAGGAGAAAAAGGGAGAAGATGCTCCTGAGTTTCGTGGGGATTCCCAAAACACTGGCCATTGTGTGAAGATAGCTGCTCGTCAAACCAAGGCAAGTCTGAGACGACCAAACAGCGCCAAGAAACAGCCCTGTGCCTTTGTGTCCGCAGAACCCTCTCAGCATCATGGAGTGGAAACCATGAGAGGGTCCCTTTCGGTTTTCCATGGGTGGAGTGGGAGGGTATGTCATTGTTTGCCCCGAGCCGGCAACGGGATGGGAGCACAGGTGTCCTTTTCGGGAAACTAGCTGGCCCTGGAAGTTGCTTGAACCACCAGGTAAACCAGAACCCTCCCTTTACCAACCAAATCAACCAAAAAGTGTCCGTTTTTTCGGCAAAATAGAGATGGCCCTGGTACCAGGTAACCTCTATTTTTCCACCAAATCCACCAAAAAGGACACCTATGGCAGGGAAAGCTTGGCACCCCACCCCTCCAAACCTTTGAGGCCCGCACGCGCCGCCCATCTCCTCCAACGCCTCGCCTCAGCCGCGCAGCGGCCATGTCTAACCCATGGCTTACATGACCTGGACATTTCTGGCCAAAGGCCACGGATGGCTTGCATCAAAAAGAGGTGCAGGTCTGCAATGAGGAAAAAAAACATGGCTGGCTTACAATCCGGCAACAGGGCAACGGCACCTTTGGTAGGGGGTACCCGGCGTTCCGGTGTTCAATTCTGTCCGTGGAAACAAAGGGCAACCAACGTGAAGAGGAAAAACACGGTGCAAAGGAAGTGTCCAAATGCCAGGTCTTTTTCACCTTTTTGGCACGAGCTTCACAAGAAAGCCCAGTGCAACCATGTAAACGTGCTTGCCCCCTGGGCAGGCGGATGCGAGAGTCGGTTTTCTGGGGCCATGAAAGTGGTCAGTCTTCGGGCATGCTCCGGGAGGTCACCTGCAAGACATGGCTGCAAAATGATGAAAGACATTGAAAGACCCATGAGTGCCGAAACGGGTGTATTGTAATATGAGTGTAATCTGAGCGGAATCGGGTGCCAAACGCGAATAAAGAAAGCAACATGCATCAAATGATAAACAGGGCCGCAATTTACAAGCCAGAGCCTGGGAACTGCATGGCAAAAAACATACAGACGATGCACAGTTCGGCGTAAAACTCTAAGTGTCCATCTTCCCCGCGGAGTGCCTTGAGGGAATCCAAAAAGGAAATCACAAATTATTTCCAGAGCGGGTAGGCCAGAAAAGTCTGAAGGTCTGCGACTAAAATTGTCTTAAGCGAGTCAGGAATAAACGAGGCAGGGAGACCCTAAGGCCAAAAGAGAAAGAGAGAGAAAGAGTCCAACACAAGAGTGACAAAGTCCTTCAAACTTTGGTTTGGTCAAAACCCCACCCCACCCCCACCGGCATTTTCCGGCACCGGGGCCCTGGGTTGCCCGGGCGCAAGGCCGCCCGCCGCAGCACGCGGCAGCGCAGGTCGTCGGCCACGCCGGCACTGGTGTAGAGCCAGCGCTGGCTGGAGGGCGAGGATGCTTCGGTGGGATGTTTTCTATAAATACGCCCCTCGCAAGGAGAGTGCGTGGAAAAAAATCTGAATTTGTCAAATCTGGCAAGAAGAAAAAGAGGATACAGACGACTACGAATAATTCAAGATTCAAGAATAGTGAAAATGTACTCGAGTCAAGATGTGAGAGTACTGAAAAAGGCCAGGTAAAAAGAGGAGCAACAGGGAGCAGAGCGTGGAATATGGCGGGATCCGCACACAGCGCAGTCAAAGCATGTTTCTACTCTAAACGAGTGATGTCAAGGAATGTCGGCATGCAAGCGTGTACCCTCGGATAGCTCCAAACCATGTTAGTTGCAGGGCCCCTCCAGCCCGACTTGCAGTACTTCCAGTTGCGGCCATCACAGTTGTCCCCTCCAAGGTGTGCCACGATGGTTTCCCTTTGCTTCCAGGCACAGCACGGTCCTCCCCCCATTCCCCCATAAATTGCTCCATCTTTCAGCGGTTCGAGTATTTGGCAGGCCCTATGAAAGGAAGCCTTCAACAGCCAATCCCATCTTCTATTTTCGGGGATTCCCAGTTGCCCAGCGACCCGAAAGCAAAAAAAAATGGCAACCTCTTTTCGGATTGACCACTGGTTGATTCACTGCCAGCAAAAATGAGAGCTGTTCATCAAACCTCCCATGCTATCTGGGGTCTGTGCCTTTTCCCCCTCCCTTTGGGGTCTGTGCCTCTCGAGGGTCTGTGGGGTCTGTGCCTCTCTGGGTATGCTGGTGTCTCTCCTTTTTTTGAGTGTTGCTGTCGTTCTCATCTTTGAGGTGGACCCCCTTCCCCCCTCCCCCCGGTTTCTCCCCCCATGCCTCCATTGGGTCCAGCTCACCTCCGATCAAGCCCCAGGTGCCGGCGTCCTCGTCAGCCATGGGGCTCGCCCCTTAAAAAATCCGGGCGCTGTGTTTTTGGAAGCGCCCCAAGCGTTTTTGCCTCCTTTGCAGCCAACCACCAAGAGGAACCTCACCAGCCAGTTACCTAAAGAGTTCTTGTCACCTCACTCACCTCACTTTGAACATTGTAGTTTCTGGAAAAGAAGCCACCCTTTCAAGCTGAAATTGGGGAAACGGGAAGCACACTCAAGATCCATCAAAGTTGGTAAGTTGTAAGCCTGGCCACCAGGGGCCCAAGCCCAGGCATCCGGCTTATTCAATGAAGTATCCCCGGGCAACTTCCCCCAGCCCAGCTCTCTTGCACGGGTGCCTCATACCAAAATACAGCGGAATATGAGCGAATGCTCATCGTGCGACGTGAACGAACAAACGCTGCCATGCCTGTCCATCCTCCGATATTCCGGGGTGAACCCCGTGATAGACTCCTTCAATATGCTTACCTCGCCCCGAGCTAACTTCCACTCGACCGCGGCCGGGTGGCTCTCATGTGCTCCGCCCGGCATTGCAGCAGCGCCTGCCGAGCTGCTGGGACGCTCTGATGCAAAGAAGGCAATGGGTTCAACAGGCCGGGGACAAAAAACAAACCAGAAGGTCGTCAAGCAGGTGGCTTCACTTTGTGGCTTCCGAATATTGGGACTCCTTCATTCAGGCGGTTGCTTTCCGCTGCGCTCTCTTTGGAACCATCGAAACAGTGAACGGGAGTCACATCTAGTCCAGCCGGGCTGCAGGTGGGAGGGAACAATGTGCCAAACTGCCCCGAAGGGGCGCCTGATAATTTTCCCGCATGCACAACATCTGATCCGTCAACACGTTCATCGCAGAAAGCTTGAGAAAGCTCAGGGCCCACCACATCCCTGCACCGGGCACCCAACCAAAAACCCGCCCCCAACCCCTTTTGGCCCTCCCATCAAGGCGCCTCGAAGCCGCCCTCCGTTGGCCGCAGGATCAGCAGAAAGGCGCCCGGCTTCATGGCACCCACCCAAATGCGTGCGGTCACTCCCTTAAAGGAGGAAACGCTGAAGGAGATTCACGCAGCTTGTCCCAGATGCAATCTGGAAGTTGAGGGGGGGGGGAAGAAAGTTAATGAAACCACCGTTTCGGATCGTTTCGGCCTTGCCTTGGAGGGGCAGTGAGATAAAAGCCCGGTCGAATCCACATATCCTTGCCCTCCCTAAAGCCCCTTTGCTTCTCTAGGGGGCAACAATCCTGCTCAGCTTTGGAAAGAAAGCAGGGCAAGGCGGCGACAGCTGGCGAGCAGGCCACCTACCCACATGGAAGCAACTTTGGGCCTTCGATCCACCGGAGATTGAACAAGTTTATGTTTGACTCTCAGCTCAGCAAAGCCTGGCCCAACCAGAAACTAGTAGCTAGACCACCTTTGCCTCACCAACGCCTGCTTGCGAGTATTTTCCAGGGATGGCTCAGTTTGCCCCAATGAACCTCAACCTGAGCACTGGCAAAGCCAAGGCTCAGGTGGAAGCAACACAGCCAACAGCCCGCGCCCCCCGGGGCAAGTTCGCGTGTAGGGCTCACCATTTGGAGGGCGCGGCGCCAGTGCCGCGACAGGGCGGAAGATGCCTGGGGCGGTTGGGCAGACGCAGCAGAAAGGGGTCTCAAGGGGTCTGTAGCAGATGTCTTGTTTGCTTCTGTGTTGTCCGTGTTTGTTTTTCCTTGTGGGGGTGGATTGACAACAGCAAGCATTTTGGTTGCTTTGTGTGTGCGCCTGGGACGGGATTGGATTTCTGGGGCAGGCCGTTTGGGAACATACTTCAACAAGTTCCAGTCCACAAAGCGCGGGTCGAGCAAAAATCAGAAGTAAGGCAAACTAGGCAGGCTAAACTTCACCAGCACCATCGAACACGCCAACTCAGTTGCTACCCTGCGCAACTGCTCCAGGTGAAAGTGGCAAGCGCCACCCCAACACCCCACCACCCCACCACCCTACCACCCCGAACATTGCCGTACGGGGTTCCCTCTCGTCACCTTGCAAAACGGAAACTTACTTTGAATGGCTAAAGATGCTGCTTAAAACCACCAAAAGGGCACAACATCTAGGGACCCCAGCCTGCAAAGACTGCAGGCACACCACCAGCAGCTTGCCTTTCAGCCCCTTCCACGCCATACGTCGCCCGTTCGCTTCTCCAAGGCGCCGTGTTGTGCAGCACGGCGTTGCCGGCCACCTGGCGCTGCCGCAGCTGCGCCAAGATGCCGGCGGCCTGATGGAGTCAACCCCGAAACGCGCAACTGGGCTCGGTAGTTTGACGGTTTCAGGGGGCTAGCAAAGTCGGAAAATGGGGTTGTCCCTTGAGCCTAGCACTTAGGGGGGGACTTTGATCATGACAAAGAAGTGGGGCCAGACCAAAGCAAAGCTCGTTGTCCAAAAGGGGCTGTGCAGGGAGAGGGGCCCAGGTTAGTTGGAAGTGGAGCACATTCTTGCTTCGACCCTCTGATGGGCAGCGCAACCCAGCGACAAAAGCAAGCCGAAAGTGCCTATCAATTTGGTATGCAAACCTCCAGAGCAGCAACTTGCAATTTGGTGAGTGCGCCTGACTTCTCTCATTTTCCTTCAGTGGAAACCAGCGAATCACTCGCAACCCTCCATCCGCACCCGTCCTGCAGCCATCTCTGCGCGCGATCCTTGGATGCCAGCAGACAGCAGCTTAAGGCCCTTCAAGCGATGGATGCAAATCCCTGTGAAACATGTCCCGCAACAGGTCACGATCCCACTTCCCTGGTGAAGAGACCCTATTGAGCCGGACTCCTTTGTTTCCCAGCAGTATGACATCCTGAATCACCCCGCAAAAAGGAATGAAAAGAGGAGTGAAAATTACGCCAGCAAAACATGTTGTATCTTGCGTGTATAAATGAGAACTTTGCACAATTATCATAGGTTCAATGAAAGCAGACACGCTGGTTTACCTCACACACCCTTGGCGACGTGCCTGCACCCCTTGGCCCCTCATCAGAATTGCATGACGCTGGTTGGAGCCCAAACATCAGCCAGCTGCCGCTCAATCTACCCAGGCCTCTTTTTTGCGCATGCTCCAGCTATCTCACACCACTTGCTCCTTGTCGGAAAGGTGGCCATCTCCCCAGAGCAGCAAGCGCCTTCCTCTTCCACCTCGTCAGTGCTCAGTGCGTATCAACTTGAACGCTGCAAATCTCCGATTCTCAGCGCTGGATGGATGGCTCTCCCCGGTTTGGGTGCGCTGCAGTCGCCGTCGCCGCTGCTCTTTTGCCAAGGTTTGGCCAGCCAGACGTCTCTGCGAGCCTCGGCGACAGGTATTAAACCTGGTGCGCCGCCGGTGGCGAGGCGCCGCACACCTGGGCAGGGACAAACAGAATGCCAAGCAGTTGTTAGATTGCACTTGGAAGCCAAAGGAGACCAAACAACAAAACTAGCTCACCCAAACAGGTCATAAAATATGGAACTCCCCATGTTTTACAAACCCAAGCAAGGATATGTCCACGGCCTTGATAGATCAATCGGGCTCCTTTGTAGCGATTTTGACCCCCAGCCCACCTCCGCCTTCGTGTTGAACCCGCGCAGCGCGCAGGTGGCGTCGGTCAGACAGGGCCGCACGAAGTCGGGCGCCGCCAGGTTGAAGGCCCAGCCGCAGTGGACGTCCGCGGCACCGCCCTTGGCGTTGTAGAAGTAGCCTTCCCGCTTTTGGCCGGCCGGCCGGCCACCGAGCTGAGTCCAACAGCCCCCGGGAGATTCCCATTCCACTAAAATTTGAAGTTGGCCTGAATGGCAACCCCCTGGTTTTGCCGGTGGACCACTCGTTTTGGACCGTCCCCTTCTTTTGCCTTCCCGTTTTATGACAAATTCCACCAAGCAAGAAGCAAAAACTCGTCTGTCAAAACAATGGCATCACAAGCTAAAGCAGGTGTGGACGCCGTCTTGAACTAAACAACCCAACGGATTTATTATAAGATGTGAGCCAAACAATCGTCAAACTGTTAGGGGGAGGGGGGCGGGCTGGGCCAATGTCCTAAGGAATATCCAAGCTGGTTGCTCTGAGCTTTGCAGGAGCGAAGGCTGAATGTATAGACTATGACCTCTTGGTGGAGCCGGAGGTGTGAACCCCTATTCTGTGGGCCCAGCAACCACATAATGCACAATGGCCATGGGTGCAAAATTGGCCCTAAGCCTATACAATCAATCTTTGGATGTACTTGGCGATTTGAACTGGGGGTTTGAAGGCGGTGAGGTTGCTTTGCCTGGCCTCAGAAAGAAGAAGACTAACCGGGAGAAATGGCGTCACCAGAAAATAATCAAACGGTAAAACATCCCCACACGCAATCAATTGAAAACACAAACAAATACAGCACATCCCCCTCTCGCAAAAGCGCAACGTCCTATCAAAACCAAAATGATGAAAAATGCATCGAAAACCTTCCCAACCAAGCAGAAGTAGCTGCACACGTCGTGCTTCAGACAGCTCTTGGCCCAGTTGGAGCACAGCCCCGGGCCCTCCTCCTGGCACCCCACGCCACAGCGGCCCAGGCAGTCGTAGGAGTCTCCGTCCGGGTCCAGGCCCCAACACTCGCCCACCTTGGGCGGATGGTCAAACCCCAAAAAATTGGATTGGTTGCTGCTTAAATCGTTTTGTGGTGAGTTGGTTTGCTTGCGAAGTCTAGGGAGTCCACTGTACCATCATCTGCCCTGTGAGGTGCAACATGTCCAAAGGAGCACTCACCAAAATCGACCTGGTTTCCATTTGCACGCCCTTTGCAACCAACCAAAGGGGCTTCAGCCCCGCAAAAACCGAACACAAACTGCGCGGGTGCATAGGCAAACGTTTCCCAGCACGTCGAGCCCAGCCACCCACAGCAGGATCTCAGTGCAGTTGCCCCCCAGCTCCGGGGAGCCATCAGTGAACTGCACCAAGACCTGCTCGTCGCGCTGCAGGCGGCCCCGCTCCTCGGGTACGAAAAAGTGAACATTGCCACTCACGCTTGTTGCTTCTGTTGGGCGTGTTCAGTGTTTGGGGGCGGTTTCCGTCCTTTTTGTGGGCTTGTTTTCAAGGGTGTTTTGAAAACGGCTGGCCCGTTTGGCTTGCTTTCGCTTATTTGTTGTATTTCTCGGTTTTGCGGTTGGTTGACAGTTGTACCTTGGCTGGTCTTTTTACGGGATGACCCTCACTTCCCCAAACAAAAGCAAAACCAGTTGCCACCTGCCGCCAGGGCTCGGCTTTGTGGCACCTGGAGGCCTCCCGCGCGCCCAAGCGCGCGCCGCCGAAGGCGGCGGCACCGCAGGGCGCGAAGCGCGCGGTGCAGTTGCCGCGGATGGTGTCGGCGCAGGGGCGCAAAGCGCCGGCGCAGGCGAGCAGCAGGGCCAGGAGTGGCCGCATTTTTGGGAGCAAGCAACAGGGTTGGTTCTGCGTTACTCGCTTGGCAAGCGTATGTCATGAGTTTAGGCTACAGAGGCCAACCTCTAAAAACACGCAAGCAAAGCGCTGAACATGGCTTCTAGATGGGAGGTGCAAAACGTGGAATCTATGCTGAGGATGCTTGGGCCGGGGTGAAGATTGCCGGTGACCAGCCCCCGAAGCCGAATCTAACAGAGGTCGCATGCGGACGGCCCCTTTTGCTGGCCAGGCGACACGAATCAGAACCGGTTTTGACTCTTGGGACACTACTAACGACGCCGCTGCCCCCAAGACACCCTTGACGATAAAGCAAGATCAGCGTAGCAGATCCAAATCATTGATGGATGGAGCCTTTTAATTGTACAGAAAACATCACAAAACCATCCAAACCCCTAGCTTCCCACCAAAGACAGGCCCCACAACTCCCAATGCTGAGCGCAGATCGCAGGCATTGGCGATAGATCCCAGGAGCACCTCACAGATGGCTAGTGCTAGGAAAGCCGCAAGCGGCAGACAGAAGCCTCAACATGTTGCCTCAACAAAGCCTCCCGTGGGCCCTGCCTGCCCCAGCTCAAGTCTTTCCAGGTGCGCAACATGCAGCAGGCCTGAGATGCAACAATCAGCTCATACAGAATGGCAAGGGTGCATGTAAGCTTGCAGAAAGTCAATGACAACCTCGAAGGAAGAGGAGACACAAACACATTCATAAACGAGCACGGCATTCTAACAGTGCTTTCAAGAATGTGACGTCAAGGATACTTGATCCGGAGCCAGCTGCAAATGCAAAACTTTGCATAGCTTTCCTGCACCGGAAAGAAACAAGACTCCTTGAGCATTGCTACTTTTTGCCGTCCCGAGATCCGCCCAAGACAGTCTATGCGCAGCCTGTGCTCAAGCAACCTCTGTGCCGCTTGGCCGGTTGCGCACGCTTGATGATATTCAATTTGTTTTTTATCGAGCCGGCAGAAAGCTGCAACAGCCAACTCTGCTTGCTGCAAGCCGCCTACAAAGCGAAGCCGCCAAGGCCAGGCCAGGAAGCTAGCTCGTTGCCTGCATTGTGCCTGTAGCCCCCTGCAGGAGTTGCACGATAAGTGGATGTGACCTCTGAAGTTGAAGCGCCAGCCCGGACGGCAGTTTGCCGTAGCGGAAACGGCGACGCTGTAGCAGAAGCCACTTATATAGCCCGCCTTCGCGAAGTTTCTGCGGAAGCCGTCTTTCCCTAGCAACAAACCCAAGAAGCTCACGCAACCTCGCTTGCCAAACCTCTACATTCACCAGCGCTATGCTTGTTGACTCGGAGTGCAGCTTTGCTTTCACCAAAGGATGAATGTCCTCCAGCATCTTCCACTTCATGGGTTCCATGATGGAAATTCCGCGTGTCTGGCGGCGCAGCCACGCAGCCAGATTGTACTCTGCGGCGAAGCCATGTTTGCGTGAGAATGAGGGCAACGTGCCGTTGGCCAGGATGTATTCCCGCAGCTCTTCGCACTTCCTTTCGAAAGTTGGGCGGCGCAAGTCCATCCAGACTTGTACGCGTTTGCGAATCAAGGGTGATGTGGCATTCAGAAACCGGTGGAGCCTGTGCGGCAGCATCTGCTGCGAACGAACTTTTGCCCCCTGGTTTTGAAGCCAAAAGCACAACGATCTTGCTTCGCACCTGCGCGCCGTCTCCCTAGGCAACCTACCATGCTTGCTGATAAAACGCTCCAGATCTCTGAAGCGCAAATCCCATAAATCCTGCTTGCGCAGCACTGCTGCAAGCTCTGCGAAGATGGTGTCGGTAACCTCGTTGATGCATACTACCTTGCGCCAGGCCCTCGAGCAGTCGACAACCTGGACACGCTGCCCCAGAGGCCTTCCCAGGCCAAACAAGCGGTGGTCTGCACGAACCAATGCAGCGAAGAACCTTTGCAGTTGGCTGTTGAAGCCACTTGCTAATTTGCTTTCTGCGCGCCATCGTACGGCGAGCTTCTGGCCACGCCGCCTCAGAGCTGGCTCCGCGCGACCTCCTGATGGACAATACTGCGTCGGGTTAGCAATGACAGCTGGGCTCTTTACATGGTCTGGCAACACCCAAGTAGCTTGCAAGGAGGCCGCGCTTTCGCTCCTCTTTCCTTCTGCCAAACCCGCGCTTGCAACCTTGCCACGTGAAAGCTTTCTCACATCGTGAGCTATCATGTTGGCATCATATGGTCGTAATACCAGTTCATGGGAGGGAGTTCCTGGTGCCCGGCGTCCTTGCCACTTCTCAGCTGCAGCTTCTGCATTCATGCGTTTAGGCTTTTGAGGTGCCTGGTGCGCTTCAAGCCCCCTTACCTGTCTACGCAGGTCTTCGGTAGCTGCACCAGCCATCTGGAGGGACTGAGGGTGGCTGCCTGCCACAGCTTTCGCAGTAGTGACAGTAGTGCTGGAAACCTGCTGCCCTGCACCATCCTCACTGCTGCCCCGCAGTCCGCCTGATCGCAAAATTTGGGCACCTGCTGAAGTTGCAAGTCGCGCGTCTTCTCGCTCGTCTTGCTTTTGCATGTGGTGTGCGCTGCCATCAATTGGCATCTTGTTGAGAAGCTTCACGCGCACATGATCGGTTTGCGGGGCCAGCAGTTTCCGCTTGTCCTGCGCTGCCCTCGTGTTCCGCGAAGGGAAAAGAGAAGCGTTCAAGACATGTTGGGCAAGCAAACCGGTTGTTTCTTTGCCCGTTGCCGCTCCAGGATTGCGAAGGCGACCAAGGCCATCATCGCTGTCATCAGACAATTCTGGAGGCACTTGTGCCATGGGCACTGTGTGCTCGTCATGCGGGGCCGAAAACTCACCGCGTTTTGAACCTTGAGGCGTCAGGGCAACTGCAGGCAAAACGATGTGCGCAAGTGGCTTGGTGGGGTGAGGCCGCAGCACACGTCCAATTGCTTGTACAATGCTCCGGTAGCTACCTCGCGGTTCCACAAACATACAGGTGTCTGCATTAGGGATGTTAATGCCCTCCCCAAGCACCTCGACCGTCACCAGCACATGGACAGGTTTTTGCAGGGCACCAGAAAACTGCTCTAGGATTTTCTGGCGCTTCTTTGGCTGGGTGCCACCGTTCATGTGCCAAGCCGCCATGCCCAGCCTCCGGAGCACCATCCGAAAGCTCTTGGCTTCTTGGACAGAGTTGCAATATGCCAGGATCCGCCTAAACCTCCCGGCTTGCTTCAGAAGAAGGTCCGCCAAGCTCAAATAAGTGTGCCCGTGGTGAGGCGTCACAACCGGCACTGTAAGATCGTAATCGCACAAGATTCTGTCCTCCATGGCCTGGCCCATGCTGTAGCGGAAATCCGGCTCATCCCAATGGGTGGCAGAGAAGCGATACAAGTCTTGCGTCTTTGGAAATCCTGCTTGCGGGTGATGAGCTTCATCCACAAATATGGCATCAAACTCCAACCGTTTCAGCATACGAACCGAGTCTGTCACAGCAAGAAACCCTTTCGCATTCCAATTGATGTGCTTGTTGTACCCTGTTCCCACTTTGCAAAAGCCTGGGAAATCCTCCGCAAACTGCTCCAGCAATGCGCGCAAAGGCACCGTGAGCAGTACCTGTGCCGGCGGGGTTGGGGGCGAAAACGGCGAGTTTTGCACAAGTCGTTCTGCAAAAAAGCATTTGGGCCAAAGGACATGAAACAAAGCCGCACTTAGTTGAAAACGCTTTTCAAAGTGAGGCACCCTCCCTGAGATGTTGCGCACCAACTCCTTCATGACCCGCGTCTTGCCCGTTCCACAGGCCATCTCAATGACCCGCGCGCCCTTCGCGCACGCCTCCAGGCACTCCCGCTGGCACGGCCGCAGCGGGGGATCTGAAGAATCCGCTTGCAGAACTTTCGAGGGCTTCCTGCTAAGCCTGGCAGGGCATGGCGCCAGCCTGAATTCCACTGGCAAGTGCTTGTGAAATATTTGACTTGACAACCAGGCATGCAGTCATCAAGACAAGCATTTCAAGTCCAATTGAAACAGCCAAACATTTTATTCAAACGTTCAAGCGAGGGGTAGCAGAAATCTACTTGCGCACGCCTGGAAGCCCAAAATCATCTCAGCCTACACTGGCAAAACGTTCGGACAAAGCCCAAATTGTCACCTTGCATACTCTAGCCAAGTTTCCCAGGAAGTAAAATGTCCGAATGCTTTGGAAACAAAACCTGAATCAAAGACTTGCTTGCCTCCTAGACCGACGAGGTGCTGTGAAAGACAAGGTTTGTCGCTTCGCCTTCGATCTGCGCAGCCATTTCTGCGATTGCTTTGAAAGCACATCAGGGCTGCTCGTGACCATCACGCAGTCCGAGGCCTGAACAGGCAACATGCAGCGTACGACTACATGCAAGTCAGACCTGTAAACCTTTCGGACACAAATCGCACTAATGAAAACCAAAAAGCAGAGGCTCAAAATGCTTGAGCGCTTCTTTGCGTAGCTCACCAGCTTGCAAGCATTGTCTTCCGAACCCTTGCCATCGTTGTTGTCATGGCCAGCTCCCCGCCTTGTAGACCCACTTGGCCAGCCGCAGGAAGCGCCTCACCTGCTGAAACTCCACAGCCTCCGCACAGCAGCGGATGCCGCGGCGGCCGTCCAAGCTCAGCAGGTCGACGCCTGATGCCCCAGGAGAATATCCTGCCCCACGTTGTGCCATGAACCCGCCTTTGCTTAAAAAAAAAAAGCTGGTTTGCAAGGTTGTTCGGCTTGCAACGTCTGATCGCTCCTTCCACTTTAAATCAAGCCATCTAAAAGAAGACTGCTGACGGGCCTAGTGCCCAAAACAAGCTATGACATGCCCACGGGCCTGGAGTCCGGCGGGTGATGTTCTGGCGCTCCCAGAACCATGGGGGCAACTCCTGACAGACACCCTTGGCGCAAGCTAGGCAGACTCAACCGTCAAATCAATCAAACAGAGTGAACGAAAGCGTGCCACATTTGGGCCATGCCACTGCTATGGCGACCCTGCCACGGCACAAACCAAAAAACGCAACCAAACCAAAGCGCCTTTGAAGCCTCACGGCTAGGCCCCGCTCCTGCACGGGCACGGCGTCCAGGCGCAGCGAGGTCGCCCACATGAGGCGCTGGTGGGCCGTCAGATTCGGCAGCGCCAGCACCTCCGCCGCCAGGCCCTGCAGGCGCTGCATGAAGTCGACATCCCGGGCATCGAGGCCTCAGTGGTGAAAGCCTTAAGCTGGCCATCGGCCCAACTTCGTCTGTATTCATGCACCACCCTAAAGTAGAGTCAACAGCTGACTCCACAACACATGGGCTGACAAACATTGCTTGTGGGCAAACTAAAGAAGGCTCATACGTTTTGGGTGGCTTGACACCTGTGCAGTTTGCTTCTGTGACGAAGCTGGATGGAACGTTGTTTTTTTAGACTCAGTAGGTGCTTCGACAGTCAGGGTATGAGAGGATAATATGAATTGGAATCTATTTGCTGGCTCTGAAGGCCCAACAGAGTTTAGTGTGGCCAACGCTCTTGAAAGCTCCAGCGCAACTCCAGTGCACATCCAGTTGTTTCCTGCCAGCTCCAAGAAACCTTGCGCACCAAACGGCAGGAATCGAACCCCTGCCCCGTCAGGCACAAACCTCCTTCAAGTCAGTGGGCCCCTAGCTTGGCAGGCACCAGCCACTTCGAAAAAGCACAAGAGATCCATTCGAAGAAACATCCATGAGCCTCTCGTTGCAAGTGAGGAGCAAAAGCTGCACTCAAACTGAGCTTCCAAAAGTCAACAGAGCTGCGAAGCTTCAACGCAATCACTGCTCAAGCTGATCAGAAGCTGACACGCCACGTCTAGAGGAAAGCGCGCAAGCTTGCAGCCAAGGCTCGACTCTCAGCCTCCGTGGCGCCAGCAAAGACTCGCGCTCTTGACCTGGCCAGAAAGCGCAACATTCTGACACACCGCTCCAAAACCTCTGACAGAGCATCTAAGCCAAGCAATCCCAACATGGGAAGTCGTCTATCAAGCAGCTGTGGCGATGCTCTGGCGAAGCAGCCCATTAGCCACGCAAAGCGTATTATTTGAGCCCCGCCTTTGCCCCGGCCGCAGCACCGCCCGCACAAGGACGGCGGCTGGCTGCGCAGCCAGCCGCATGCCAATGAAGGCGCCCAGCACCAGCATGATGCGGCCCCTGCGGCCCCACAAGCCCCTGCGCATGAGGCCCGCCTTTTGGAGCGGAGCAGGGCCAATTCCAAGCGAAGCTCTGAGCCATGCCCTGCGGCGAGGGCAGTGCTTCAACAATCCAATGCTTTGCAAACTAGTGGTGGCAACTTCAACACACCCTGAACGTAATAATTGACAAACGCCTTCTGCACTGCTCACCCCAAAAGGGACCCTCCGTCCTGCCCTGCAAGCAAAGAATATTCAGTTTTCTGCCTACTTCCGGTCCATGGGTGCCCGCACCTGCTGTTGACGGCACACGCATTGGCTCAGCCTTTCCATAATCCAGGCAAATGCTTGGGGCAGCCTCCTGCAATGCTCTGCTCCAGCCAGCTCCCAGCAGCAGCTTCCCCAGCGTGCGGAGGTGCAAAGTAACTGCCTTGAACGCCTTGTCTTGCCCCAGTCTGACAACGCCAAACAGACACCAAAACAAATCCAACCTACTTCGCAATGCTGCCTGGCACTGCAGTGGCATCTCCTCGCCGAGCGCTGTCCCGCCGCTTGTGAAGAAGCTCCGCAATGAGTGGATGCGACCTTTGAAGCTCAAGCATCAACTCCGCCGGCAGCTGGCCATGGTGGAAACGTCGGCGCTGAAGCTGAAGCCAGGAATACAGTCCGCGCCCGCCGACATCCGTTGGCAGGCAGCCTTCCCTCGCAACAAAGTCGAGCAGCTCAAGCCTCCGCCGGTGCCAGAGTTTGGCATTCACTCGCACTGGTGTCTTTGCCCAAGAGCGCAGCAAATCCTTCACTGAGGGGTGAACGTCTTCTAGGATTCTCCTCCTGATTGTGGAGAGCTTTCTGTGGCGAGCCTGCGCATATAGCCATATGGCCAGCTTGCGTTCAGCAGATTCGCATGAGAACGAAGGCGGTGAGCCAGTGGCCTCGATGTGTTCTTGCAGCTCCTGGCATTTTTGCTCGAAAGCCTTCCGCGGACTCAACCACTTTTGCACGCGCTCTCGCAGCAAGGGTGACGATGCGTTGAGCAATTTATGCAACCTGTGAGGCAGCAGAAAATTCGCACGAAAACGCTTGCCTTGCGAAGTAAGCCAATGGCCCAGCGTCCTCTCCTCAATCCGCTCTACCCGTTCTTTGGGAAGCCTGCCAACTGTGCTGACAAAATCCTCCAATTCTCTGAAGCGCACCTCCCAAGGATCGGTGTTGCGCAGGACTGCCGCAAGCTCAGCGTGGACTGCGCAGGTGACTTCATCCAGTTTTACATGCTGGGCTGCCGTGCAGTCGATGACCTGGACGCGATGCCTAAACGTTTGCCCCAGTCGAAGTAAACGGTGGTCTGCCTGAGCCAAAGCGGCAAAAAACCTTTGCAGCTCGCTGCTGAAGCCATGCCTGCTACTTGCTGTGCGCACTTGAAGAGAAAGCTGCCGCCAAGAACGTTGGTGCTGCCTTGGGGCCAAATCCACGTTATCACTATGCCTTTCCTCCTCCTTTTGATATTCATCCTTGCCACCTCCTGGGAAATGTTGCATTGCAACTGGTGCGCTCACCAGAAGCCGGTCGTCTGCCTTCCAATCTGGCTGGACAGCAGCCGCTCCTCCGCGCTTTCCTTCTTTCCCCGCTGTGCCATCAGCTGCAGGCTTTGAACAAAACGTTTCTGAATGCGCGCAAGCCTCATGGTTCATTGCAGTGGGCACACGTGCCTGAAACTCATGTCGGAATTCAGCAGCTGTTGTGCAGGTGGCACGCCCCTTTGCAGCTTCAACTGCATTTCCAGCTGCATATCCCTTCGCAGTATACCGACACGCTGAGGTTGCTAGGTGGGGGTTCAAGATGGCAGCGCCAGCAGAAACCACCCTGCGCAAGCCAAGTGAGACAAGCTCTGAGTTTCTGTTTGGGTCGGCTGCACCAGCTGCAGCCAGGTCTGGAAAGCAAGGGCTTTTGGTTCCAAGGCATTTCTCAGCAGTGCTGGCATCTTGCTGAGCAGGGTCACTTGTGTCGAGAAGACTGCTTGATTGCCAACCTTGCATTGAAAGCCGCTCGCTTAGTTGGTCTTCGGGTTGGCTGCTGTCCAAAATGTTGCGTGATTGCAAAGGCAGTTTGCCCTCGTGCCTTGCTTCCTTCAGCCGCAAGCGTGCGTCATCAGAACTAGCCTGTGTCAGTTTCGGAAGCTTGGCGACGCCATTCTCCATCAATGTCACGCAAGCTTCCTGAGCACCCTGAACAGCATAGCAATTGTGTCCCAGCACACTGGGATTCGCAACCGCTGAGCCCCCCGCAAGCCCAACAGGAATTTGCGGGCTGACACTCGTGCTGCCGACAGCCGGAAGCACCTCCTGTCTCGGACCCTCTGGGGGCAAAGCGACTGCAGGCAGGACAATGTGCGCAAGCGGCTTTGCAGGATGAGGCCGCAGCACACGGCCAATTGCTTGCACGATGCTCCGGTAACTGCTCCGTGGTTCCACAAACATGCAAGTGTCAGCGTTGGGGATGTTGATGCCCTCCCCGAGCACCTCAACCGTGACCAGCACATGGACTGGCTTCCGCAAGGCGCCCGCAAACTGCTCAAGGATTTCCTTCCGCTTCTTAGGCGGGGTGTCACCGTTCATGTGCCAAGCAGCCATGCCCAGCTTCTCGAGCACTATGAGGAAGTTCTTGGCTTCACGTACCGAGTTGCAGTAAGCGAGGACCCGCCTAAAGCGCCCGGCTTGCTTTGAAAGAAGGCTTGCCAAGCTCAAGTAAGTGTGCCCATGATGAGGCGTCACAACCGGTACCGTGAGGTCGTAATCACACAAGATTCTGTCCTCCATGGCCTGGCCCATGCTGTAGCGGAAGTCTGGCTCATCACAATGGGTGGCAGAAAAGCGATACACTTCTTGGCTCTTTGGAAATCCTGCTGGTAGTGGATGGTGAGCTTCATCCACAAATATGGCATCAAATTCCAACTGCTCAAGTAGGTGAACCGAGTCTGTCACAGCAAGGAACCCTTGAGCCGTCCAGTCGATATCCTTGTTGTAACCCGTGCCAACTTTGCCAAAACTTGGGAAATCGATTGCGAACTGCTCCAGGAGGGCACGTAAAGACAGCGTTATCAGGACCTTAGGGCCGACTCATGCTCCAGAAAACAACTCTCTCACAAGTGCTCTGTCAAAGAAGGTTTACGATCGTGACTCTTGTAAACCACGGCGCTCTCCCTGAGATGTTTTGCACCACCTCCTTGATGACCCGCGTCTTGCCAGTGCCGCAGGCCATCTCAATGACCCGGGCGCCCTTCGCACAAGCCTTCAGGCAGTCCCGCTGGCACGGCCGCAGCCGGGGATCTGAACAATCCGCTTGGCCAACTTCCGAGGCCTCCCTGCTAAGCCTGGCAGGGGATGGCCGGGGGTTTCATCCAATGTGTTCCTACTCACACCTGGATGGCCTGTCCGCTCCGGCGACAAGCTGCCGAACGAATAAAATCAAAACGTCTTGATCGAAGTCAACAATGCAAGGCCACGCAACAAAGCCTCACCATAGCCAGATGTCGCAATGCATCGCGAGAAAGTACACAAGCACATTCTGCGAAACATCGGGCTCAAACCCACCCGCTTCCACACCTTGTAGAGCGACGAGGTGTTGTGGAAGGCAAGGTCTGTCGCTTGGTCTTGGATCTGCGCAGCCAATTCTTGGACTGCTTTGAGAGCACATCGGGGCTGCTCGTCACCAGCATGCACTCAAGCGCCTGAATCAGCAGCAACACATTTCAGAAGGCCAGCAAAGTGCGGACCTAGCCAGTCCGTGAAAGGTCTGCAATCCTCCGAACCCTTCTCGTGTGTGACTTCTTTTATCTTGGCAGGTTCTTCAAGTTCACCAGGCCTTGTAGACCCACTTGGCCAGCCGCAGGAAGCGTCTCACCGGTGCAAACCTCACATCCTCCGAACAGCAGCGGATGGCGCGGCGGCCGTCCAGGCTCAGCAGGTCAACGCCTGCCCGGTCCAAGAGGGATTTGGGCTTCACCCCCAAAAAACAACCACCCCAAACAAACTTGGAGCACGTGCCCTTGACAAAACGAGTGTCTATATAGTCTTACTGGTTGCATCGGGTCGTGGCTTGGGAGTAGTGAAAACCCCCGAAGACACGTTGGGAAGTTGCACTATCATCTCTTTCCAGCCTGGAGGCCGGCGAGTGATGTTCCGGCGCTCCCAGAACCATGCGGGCAGCTCCTGCCAGCAACCCTGCGCACAAGCCGCGCCGTTGCACTCATCCAAAGCCAGGGGGACCACGCAAGAAAAGAGCCAGTGTGTCAAGCTTTACCATTACCCACCGTGTTTGCGCCAATGATAAACTCGGAGGACTGCATCAATCAAAGGAAACGCTTCAAATTCAAGTGGTACCGTACCGCACCCAAATCAAATTTGCACGGCATGCAGAGCAGCTGCGCGCAGCCGCACCAATCCGCTCCTGCACGGGCACCGCATTCAGGCGCAGCGAGGTCACCCAAACGAGGCGCTGGTGGGCCGTCAGATTCGGAAGCGCCAGCACCTCCGCCGCCAGGCCCTGCAGACGGTCCATGAAATCGACATCACGCTCATCCAGGCCTCAGAACTGTGGCGGGGCCAACGCACACATTCACAAGCCATAGCGAGCTGTCCATGTCAGAGGCTCTTCTTTGTTCATTCTTGCTGCTCATACAATTCATCCGCCCCCTCCCATGGCATGTTCTAGATTCTATGATTGTGAAAGGGGTATAAGGCTTTGATTTCGGGACCTGTAAAATGGGAAGACACCACAAAAGCTCAAGCAAACAAAAAGAAGTTTGCACCCAAGCATCCCCCTTCAGTCGCCACAGTGCCAAAAGTACCCCTGGCTCTCGACCTGTAGAAAGTATCACGCGGTCCCACACGCAGAAACCCGGATTGCCTCAGGTGCGGCAAAGCTCCCGCGAAGGAGGGCGTAGCAACCAGCCGCAGCACGCCAAGGAAGGCGCCCAGCAACACGACGCGGCCCGCGCGGTTTCGTAGGCCGCGCGGCTCAGCCCTGCACATGGCCATGGCCCGACCGTGCCCGGGGCGTCCGACGGTGGGGCAGGGCGAATTCCAAGCGAAGCCGCAGCTTGAGCCAGGCCTGCGCGGCTTCAGCCCATCCTACCGCTCTGCACTTTGCGGCAGCAGCTGCGAGACATCCGGAGATGATGCAATGCAAATGCGAAAGCTAGCGAAAAGCCTTTCACACGCTCAACCAAACCTAGACCAATACTTTCTGCTGATTTACTCTCTAGGACCCTCATTCCTCCTTATCCTCCCTGGCACGCCTTCCCACTTGACAGTTTGCTGGCCAGCTGCCCCTACCCGGCTAAGACATCTATCTGCCCGACCTTTGCAGCCACTTTGACTTGCACCAAGCAGTGAAAGAATGAACCACTTTCCTTGGATGCCTCGACCCGTTCACGCCAGCCATACTGGCTGGCCAGGGCACTACAGGGCATCGCCTATGGGCGGGCACACACGTGCCAGCCAAGCTAGCCAATCGCCTTTGTGTTTCGAGGCTGCCTCTGCAAATACTCGGCAATAAGCGGATGGGAGCTCTGAAGTTCAAGTGCCAACTCCGCTGGCAGCTGCCCGCGCCGGAGCCGGAGGTGCTGAAACTTCAGCCAGTAAAACAGCGCGCTGTCTTGGAACTCGCTTGGCAAACGTCCTTGCTTCGAAACAAACTCAAGTAGCTCACGCCGCCGCCGCTGCCAGACGTTTACGTTGAGCCGTGGTATCTTCGTAAAGCTATGCAGCCGCATTCTGACCAAGGGATGAATATCCTCCAGCATCCTCCTCCGGTAAGTTGAGAGGTTTAAGCGGCTTTGTCTATACAGCCACATGGCCAGCTTGTCTTGACTCCCTAAGCGCTGAGGCAATGAGCCAGTGGCCTCAATGTGTTCTCGCAGCGCCTGGCATTTCTGCTCGAAAGCCTGGCCCAGCTCCAACCACCCTTGCACACGTTCACGCAGCAAATGAGATGATGCATTGAACAGTTGGTGGAACCTGTGAGGCAGCATCCGGTTGGCACGAATGCGCGTGCCTTGCGTGGCAAGCCAAAAAGCCAGCGACCTCTCCTCACTGCGCTTGGCTCTCTCTTTTGGGAGCCTGCCAAAATCGGCCACAAAAAGCTCCAAATCTTCAAAACGAGCCTGCCACGCGTCTTGGTTGCGGAGCACTTCTGCCAGCTCAGCATGGACTGCGCGGGTGACTTCGTCCACATTCAGCCCATGGCACAGGGCCGTCGTGCAGTCGACAACCTGGACACGATGCCCAAACGCTTGCCCCGGCCCAAGCAAGCGATGATCTGCCCGCACCAAAGCAGCAAAAAACCTTTGCAGTTGGCAGCCGAATCCATGCCCGTCATTAGCTTGGCGCGCATGAATGGAAGGCCGCTGGCCTGCACGCCGCAGGGCAGATTGAAAGCCAGCCCTCCGCTCCGTCTGCAGCTGTTGACATCCGTTGTGGCCTTCTGGGATAGGCTGCGTCGTTGGGTAGTCTGCAGCCGTGGCTATGGCTCTTGGGCTATCAAGCTTCCAATCAGGCTGCGCAGCAGCCACTTCTCCGTCAATCTTTCCGCCTTTCGTCGCCGTGCTGCCATCAGCTGCGATCTTTGAAAGCACAACGTCTGCAAGTCTGGGAGCACTGTCGGTTCTCGCAGTGGCCTGAGGCCCCTCCGCACCAAGGTGAGACACTGCGGCTGCAGTGCCCCAATTCGGGATTGCAACGTGGCCAGCAGAAACCACGATGCGCGCATCAAACCTGCCACTGCGTAGGCTCTCTGCACTAGCTGCAACCATGTCTGGAAAGCGTCTACTGCTGCGTGCAGCAATTTGCTCGGCAGTGCTGGTGTCGGGTTGTGGCGCACCACGCTCACCGATCTCCACAAGGGTGCTGGATTGCCAAGTTTGGGCACGGTTTGAACGCAAGAACTGCTTGTCCTCTTGGCCCTGTTTTTCGTGGAGAAGGTATTCATCACCATCACCTTGCATCCTACTAGGAAGGGTGACAAGCCCATGGTCGATTTGCTGCCTGGATGGCTTCTGGTCACCCTGTGCAGCCCATCCCGTCTGGCGGCGGGCACTGTCAGTGCCACTTGGGTCAAGCAAACCTGCGCTGGTGCACAGGACAGGGGTGTTCAGACGGGCACGGTCGTGATCATCGAATGCTGGCAATGGCTCACGCTCCACATGCGGAAGCTTGTCAGGTTTCAGATTTTGAGGTGTCAGAGCTACTGCAGGCAAAATTATGTGCGCAAGTGGCTTGGTGGGATGAGGCCGCAACACGCGACCCATCGCCTGCACGATGCTCCGGTAACTGCCTCGCGGATCCACAAACATGCAGGTGTCAGCGTTGGGGATGTTGATGCCCTCCCCGAGCACCTCAACCGTGACCAGCACATGGACTGGCTTCCGCAAGGCGCCGGCAAACTGCTCAAGGATCTCCTTCCGCTCCTTAGGCGGGGTACCACCGTTCATGTGCCAAGCAGCCATGCCCAGCTTCTCGAGCACCATGAGGAAGTTCTTGGCTTCACGTACCGAGTTGCAGTAAGCGAGGACCCGCCTAAAGCGCCCGGCTTGCTTTGAAAGAAGGTTTGCCAAGCTCAAGTAAGTGTGCCCATGATGAGGCGTCACAACCGGTACCGTGAGGTCGTAATCACACAAGATTCTGTCCTCCATGGCCTGGCCCATGCTGTAGCGGAAGTCTGGCTCATCACAATGGGTGGCAGAAAAGCGATACACTTCTTGGCTCTTTGGAAATCCTGCTGGTAGTGGATGGTGAGCTTCATCCACCAATATGGCATCAAACTCCAACTGCTCAAGTAGGTGAACCGAGTCTGTCACAGCAAGGAACCCTTGAGCCGTCCAGTCGATATCCTTGTTGTACCCCGTGCCAACTTTGCCAAAAATTGGGAAATCGATTGCGAACTGCTCCAGGAGGGCACGTAAAGACAGCGTTATCAGGACCTTTGGGCCGACTCATGCTCCAGAAAACAAAAAACTCTCTCACAAGTGTTCTGTCAAAGAAGGTTTACGATCGTGACTCTTGTAAACCACGGCGCTCTCCCTGAGATGTTTTGCACCAACTCCTTGATGACCCGCGTCTTGCCAGTGCCGCAGGCCATCTCAATGACCCGGGCGCCCTTCGCACAAGCCTCCAGGCAGTCCCGCTGGCACGGCCGCAGCCGGGGATCTGAAGAATTTGCTTGGCCAACTTCCGAGGCCTCTCTGCTAAGCCTGGCAGGGGATGGTCGGGGGTTTCATCCAACGTGTTCCTATACTCACACCTGGCTGGCCTGTCCGCTCCGGCAGCTAATTACAACCAATTACAACCGACTAGCTGCCGAACAAATAAAATCAAAATGTCTTGATCGAAGTCAACAATGCAAGGCCACGCAACAAAGCCTCACCATAGCCAGACGTCGCAATGCATCGCGAGAAAGTACACAAGCACATTCTGCGAAACATCGGGCTCAAACCCACCCGCTTCCACACCTTGTAGAGCGACGAGGTGTTGTGGAAGGCAAGGTCTGTCGCTTGGTCTTGGATCTGCGCAGCCAATTCTTGGACTGCTTTGAGAGCACATCGGGGCTGCTCGTCACCAGCATGCACTCAAGCGCCTGAAGCAGCAGCAACACATTTCAGAAGGCCGGCAAAGTGCGGACCTAGCCGGTCCGTGAAAGGTCTGCAATCCTCCGAACCCTTCTCGTGTGTGACTTCTTTTATCTTGGCAGGTTCTTCAAGTTCACCATGCCTTGTAGACCCACTTGGCCAGCCGCAGGAAGCGTCTCACCGGCGCAAACCTCACATCCTCCGAACAGCAGCGGATGGCGCGGCGGCCGTCCAGGCTCAGCAGGTCAACGCCTGCGGCCCGGTCCAAGAGGGATTTGGGTTTCACCCCCCAAAAAACAACCACCCCCAACTTGGAGTACGTGCCACGTGCCCTTGACAAAACGAGTGTCTATATAAGTCTATATACTCTTAGTGGTTGCATCGGGTCGTGGCTTGGGAGTAGTGAAAACCCCCGAAGACACGTTGGGAAGTTGCACTATCATCTCTTTCCAGCCTGGAGGCCGGCGAGTGATGTTCCGGCACTCCCAGAACCATGGGGGCAGCTCCTGCCAGCAACCCTGCGCACAAGCCGCGCCTTTGCACTCATCCAAAGCCAGGGACCACGCAAGAAAAGAGTTACACTCGCGACAGTGTGTCTACCAATACCCACCGTGCTTGCGCTAATGATAAACTCGGAGGACCGCACCAGTCAGAGGAGTCGCTTCAAATTCAAGCGGTACCACACCCAAATCAAATTTGCGCGGCATGCGAAGCACCTGCCCGCAGCCGCGCCAATCCACTCCTGCACGGGCACAGCATTCAGGCGCAACGAGGTCACCCAAACAAGGCGCTGGTGGGCCGTCAGATTTGGCAGCGCCAGCACCTCCGCCGCCAGGCCCTGCAGACGGTCCATGAAATCGACATCACGCTCATCCAGGCCTCAGAACTGTGGCGGGGCCATGTCAGACGCTCTTCTTTGTTCATGCTTGCTACTCACGCGACTCATCCACCCCTCCCATGGCAAGCTTTATGGCTCTATGATTGTGGAAAGGGAAGAAGGTATCTTCTCAGTCTGAAGAGGGCTTTTTTTTGCAAACCTCGGAACCTGATTTCGGCACATGTAAAATGGGAAGATAAACAAGCCGTGTCGACCACAAAAGCTCAAGCAAACAAAAAAGAAGTTTGCACCCAAGCATCTCCCTTCATTCGCCACAGCGCCAAAAGTAACCCTGGCTCTGGACCTGTAGAAAGCATCATGCGGCGGCCACGTTGCGGCACTTCCCACACGCAGGCACCCGGATTGCCTCAGGTGCGGCGCAGCTCCCGCGAAGGAGGGCTCAGCAACCAGCCGCAGCACGCCAAGGAAGGCGCCCAGCAACACGACGCGGCCCGCGCGGTTTCGTAGGCCGCGCGGCTCAGCCCTGCACATGGCCATGGCCCGACCGTGCCCGGGGCGTCCGACGGTGGGGCAGGGCGAATTCCAAGCGAAGCCGCAGCTTGAGCCAGGCCTGCGCGGCTTCAGCCCATCCTACCGCTCTGCACTTTGCGGCAGCGGCTGCGAGACATCCGGAGATGATGCAATGCAAATGCGAAAGCTAGCGAAAAGCCTTTCACAAGCTCAACCAAACCTGGACCAATACTTTCTGCTGATTTACCCTCTAAAACCCTCATTCCTCCTTATCCTCCCTGGCACGCCTTCCCACATAATCTGGACAGTTTGCTGGCCAGCTGCCAATACCGGCTTAGAAATCTATCTGCCCGACCTTTGCAGCCACTTTGGCTTGCACCAAGCAGTGAAAGAATGAACCACTTTCCTTGAATGCCTCGACCCGTTCACGCCAGCCATACTGGCTGGCCAGGGCACTACAGGGCATCTCCTATGGGCGGGCACACACGTGCCAGCCAAGCTAGCCAATCGCCTTTGTGTTTCGAGGCTGCCTCTGCAAATGCTCGGCAATAAGCGGATGGGAGCTCTGAAGTTCAAGTGCCCACTCCGCTGGCAACTGCCCGCGCCGGAGCCGGAGGTGCTGAAACTTCAGCCAGTAAAACAGCGCGCTGTCTTGGAACTCGCTTGGCAGATGTCCTTCCTTCGAAACAAACTCAAGTAGCTCACGCCGCCGCCGCTGCCAGAGTTTCGCGTTCATCCGCAGTGGCTTCTTTGCCAGTCTGCGCAGCATTTTTCTCACCAAGGGATGAATGCCCTCCAGCATTTTCCTGCGGTAAGTTGAGAGGTTTAATCGACTTTGTCTATACAGCCACGTGGCCAGCTTGTGTCGACTTCCTGTCTTCTCTAAGCGCTGAGGCAATGAGCCAGTGGCCTCAATGTGTTCTCGCAGCGCCTGGCATTTCTGCTCGAAAGCCTGGCCCAGCTCCAACCACCCTTGCACACGTTCACGCAGCAAATGAGATGATGCATTGAGCAGTTGGTGGAACCTGTGAGGCAGCATTCGGTTGGCACGAAGGCGCGTGCCTTGCGTGGCAAGCCAAAAAGCCAGCGACCTCTCCTCACTGTGCTGGGCTGTCTCTTTTGGGAGCCTGCCAAAAACGGAAGCAAAACGCAACACATCTGCGAAACGAGCTTGCCACGCGTCTTGGTTGCGGAGCACTTCTGCCAGCTCAGCATGGACTGCGCGGGTGACTTCGTCCACATTCAGCCCATAGCACAGGGCCGTCGTGCAGTCGACAACTTGGACACGATGCCCAAACGCTTGCCCCGGCCCGAGCAAGCGATGATCTGCCTGGACCAAAGCAGCAAAAAACCTCTGCAGTTGGCTGCGGAATCCATTTCCAAGATTTGCTTTGCGCACATGAGTGAAACGCTGCTGGCCTGTACACTGAGAAGCCCTCCGCTCTGCCTCCAGCTGTTGACACCCGTGGCGGCCTCCTGGGATGGGCTGCATCCTTATGGCAGCGTCAGTCGGGTAGCCCACAGCCTTGGCAATGGCGCTTGGGCTGTCAAACTTCAAATCAGGCTGCACAGCAGCTGCTCCTCCGTTTATCTTGCCGCCTTTCCTTCTCATGCCGCCATCATCTACGGCCGTTGAAAATGCAACATCTGCAGGTCTGGGAGCACCATCGGTCATAGCATTGGAGGAATTTGTCTGGAATTCATGTCCGGCAGCATTGTTTGACGCACAATTGGCATGCCTATTTGCAGCTTCGGGTCTTGCAACCATGGCCGGAGGCCCCTCAGCAGCAAGGTGAGACACTGCGGCTGCAGTGCCCCAATTCGGGATTGCAACGTGGCCAGCAGAAACCACCGTGCGCGCATCAACTGCACTAGCTGCAACCATGTCTGGAAAGCGACTACTGCTGCGTGCAGCAATTTGCTCAGCAGTGCTGGTGTCGGGTTGTGGCGCACCATTTTCACTGATCTCCACAAGGGTGCTGGATTGCCAAGTTTGGGCACGTTTTGAACGCAAGAACCGCTTGTCCTCTTGGCCCTGTTTTTCGTGGAGAAGGTACTCGTCACCATCACCTTGCATCCGCCTAGAAAGGGTGGCAAGCCCATCGTCTACTTGATGCGTGAATGGCTTCTGATCACCCTGAGCAGCCCATCCATTCTGCGCAGGGCGGCGAGCACTATCAGTGCCACTTGGGTCAAGCAAACCTGCGCTGGTGTAAAGTGCAGGGGCGTTCCGGCCAATGAATGCCGGCGGAAGCGAATCACGTTTCAGATTTTGAGTCAGGGCAACTGCGGGCAAAACGATGTGCGCAAGTGGCTTGGCAGGATGAGGCCGCAGCACTCGGCCCAGTGCCTGCACGATGCTCCGGTAGCTGCCTCGCGGTTCTACAAACATGCAGGTGTCTGCGTTGGGGATGTTGATGCCCTCCCCGAGCACCTCAACGGTCACCAGCACATTGACAGGTGCTTGCAAGGCACTAGAAAACCGCTCTAAAATGTCCTGCCGTTTCTTTGCTGGCGTGCCGCCGTTCATGTGCCAAGCAGCCATGCCGAGCTTCCGGAGCACCATCCGGAAGCTCTTGGCTTCCCGTACCGAGTTGCAGTAAGCGAGAACCCTCCTAAAGCGCCCGGCTTGCTTCAAAAGCAGACCCGCCAAGCTCAAAAAGGTGTGGCCGTGCTGGGGCGTCACAACGGGCACAATGAGGTCATAATCACAGAGGATTCTGTCCTCCATGGCCTGGCCCATGCTGTAGCGAAAGTCTGGCTCATCACGATGGGTGGCAGAGAAGCGATATACAACTTGACTCTTGGGAAATCCTGCAGGCAGTGGGTGGTGAGCTTCATCCACAAAAATGGCATCAAACTCCAACCCCTTCAGCATACGAACCGAGTCCGTCACTGCAAGGAACCCTTTGGCTGCAAAGTCAATGTCCTGGTTATAGCCCGTGCCAACCTTGCAAAAGTCGGGGAAATCCTCCGCAAACTGTTCCAGCAGCGCACGCAAAGGCACCGTAACCAGAACCTTGGACCGACCCAGGTGCTCCGGGAAAAGGGCTGCGAACGGCAACATGAAAAAAACAAGCCGGTCTCAAAACAGCACAATGGCACAGCATGACTCCTTCCAAACCACGGCGCCCTCCCTGCGATGTTCCGCACCAACTCCTTCATGACCCGCGTCTTGCCCGTGCCGCATGCCATCTCGATGACCCGGGCGCCCTTCGCACAAGCCTCCAGGCAGTCCCGCTGGCACGGCCGCAGCGGGGGGTCTGAAGCATCTGTGCGCGTCTCTTGCGCGGCCTGGCTGAGAAGCCTGGCAGGGAAGGGCGCTCAACTGCACCCTCGCGTCTTCAAAGACAAGAGGTGCCTGTTTTTGCAACCCCTGGCTACTCATACATCATCGCGGCTCTCAGCCAACAAGGCCTGTGTGACTCAAAGCTAAAACAGCGCAATAAGAACCGCCAGGAAGAATGAACGACACCTCTGACATGGGATGATCTCAAAATAGTGATCCCTGAATGAAGTGCGTTCTCCTCTTCAAAAAGCCCAACCAAAAACTGCGCACAGACTCTGCAAAGCCGCACCCCTGTTTGTTCCATGGCAAAATGAAGACGCCCGCTCGCCTCGCAGACCGACGTGGAGCTGTGGCAGGCAAGGTCTTTCGCTTCGCCTTGGATCTGAGGAGCCACGACTTGGACTGCGCTGACAGCACGTCGGGGCTGCTCGTCACCACCACGCACTCCGTGGCCTAGCAAGGTTTGATGACACAAGCTAGCACCACTCGCTAACCGGCTCAGCCTTAGCACAAATGTACTTGATATCAACTCAAGTGAATTGCCCGGTCTCTTCCCGAACTGGTTCTGCCATGCAAAGCCCCCCCCCCCCACCTTGTAGACCCACCGCGCCAGCCGCAGAAATCGCCTCACCGGCTCGAACTGCACTGCCTCTGCACAGCACCAGATGGCGCGGCGGCCGTCCAGGCTCAGCAAATCGACGCCTGCCAGGCTTGCGACGTGTCGTTCAAAGGATAAAAGCACCTAGTCACTGGCACCCCTTCAAACAAGAAACCAGGAGGAGGCTGTTTGCCAAAGAAGATCTGCAGGCCTGGGGGCCGGCGGGTGATGTTCTGGCGCTCCCAAAACCACGGGGGCAGCTCCTGACAGCAACCCTTCATACCATCTAACTCATATGACCCACAAATATGGCTAGCTGAACAAAGCTTGATACTTTCACGACTCCAGCTGAAGTTCCAACTTCCCAAAATGCTGAAAACCCCGCACATCCTTGACACCATCTCGCCACTGTCCAAACCTCTCAGGCCGCACCAATCCGCTCCTGCACGGGCACGGCGTCCAGGCGCAGCGAGGTCGCCCAGACGAGGCGCTCGAGGGCCGTGAGGTTCGGTAGCGCCAGCACCTCCGCCGCCAGGCCCCGCAGGCGCTCCACGAAGTCGACATCCCGCTCGTCCAGGCCTCGAGGATCCAAGGCCCCAAATTCGAGACAAACCTTTCCTGAGCCGACCCTTGGGCCGCGCTCACTTGGGCCGCGCTCCTGGGCCGATGCCTAAAAGCAGAAACCCAAAATTGAGTTCGGCTGCGCTGTTCACACCGCGGTGGTTATGAGGAAACTGAGGCGATGTACGCAAGGGCAGTTCAAGCTACCAGCACATTCCTGCATCCAAGGTTCTCGCTTCAGTCCCTCCAGCTGGCGCAACAAGTCTAGCTCGGGACCTGCCAATGCAGTTTGCAAGATTAGTCGTGGCTCATCGCCTCACAACACCGCCGTTGTTCAAGCAACTGCCAACCCTTTTTATAGCCGAAAAGGGGAACAGCAACCAGCGGCAAGGGTGGCAGCCAAACTAGCCACCTGGTCCACAACAACCTTGCCTCATCGGCCCACAAATCGCTTTTTCGAATAAACAAGGTTCAAGGCGTCGCTCTGTCCGGCATCAATCAAACCATGCTCTTTGGGCGCCATGAAGCTCAATTTGTTCCTTCCATCTGTTCAAGGAGACCCCCCCGCCCCCATCCCCCCCCTCCCCCCCAAAAACAAAAGGAGCCCGGGAACCCAAAGGCAAACCAGCCTCACTCCCCATGGCATGTGGATCCCGTCGTTTTCCGGCTCAAGGGTGCGAAGGCAAACCAAGATTTAAGTTGTTCGCAGTTGGGAAATCAACCCCAAAACAGATGAAGAAGGGGAGCAACCGCAACGGCCGGATTGGCAGCCAGCAGCCTGTGCTCTGACCAAGCACAGAGAAAAAGGCAAAGGCACGGGTGAAACATGACAGGCCCCGCACTACATGGAAGGCACGAAGTCATCCGATTCATCATGAAGAACCAATCGCAGAAATCCGAAATGGATCCGCACAAACTACCACTCCCAAATTGGAAGCAAGGCATAAGCTCGCTCTACACCCATCTGAAACAAGTCTGAGACACAGTGTTACAACACGATCTGAGTAGACCGGGGTCAGCTGTTCGGATGTTCATGCGCCCTTTTGTTTGGGCCGAGTGTGCTCAGCATATTCATGTCAACGTGCTTCCAGGCTGCTTCCAAATAAGTAGGGCGAACCCCAATTGACAACGTGCGCGGCCCTTTCCACAAAGTCACCAGTTGCAATTGGTTGCGAATGGGAAAATAGGTGGAGAAACTAACGAATCCAAGCAAGCTTACGAAGCAAGTTTGTGAAGGCCACGTGCACGGCTCCATGTAAACAGCCCGGCGTTCCAGTTGCGCCAAGATTGTCCTTTTTGCCGCACACCTGACCCGAACAAATGGTGCCAATGTGTTTCTAGGACGAACCCTCTCTTCAGAAGCTGTGGCCTCTTGGGGTTCGCCCTACTTATTTGGAAGCAGCCTGGAAGCACGTTGACATGAATATGCTGAGCACACTCGGCCCAAACAAAAGGCCGCATGAACATCCGAACAGCTGACCCCGGTCTACTCAGATCGTGGCAACACTGTGTCTGAGACTTGTTTCAGACAGGCGTCAGACCCACCAAGTGACCGAGGCTTGTCCGCACCGAGCCCCCCGCAAAAGCGCAGCGCCGGCACCATCTCCACACACCTGCTTGGATGCGTGTGGATGGCAACTTGGGTGGATTCGCCGCAGGTGTGTGGAGACGGGGCCGGCGCTGCGCTTTTGCGGGGGGCTCGGTGTGGACAAGCCTCAGTCACTTGGTGGGTCTGACGCCTGTCCGAAACAAGTCTGAGACACAGTGTTACCACGATCTGCGTAGACCGGGGTCAGCTGTTCGGATGTTCATGTGCCCTTTTGTTTGGGCCGAGTGTGCTCAGCATATTCATGTCAACGTGCTTCCAGGCTGCTTCCAAATAAGTAGGGCGAACCCCAAGAGGCTACAGCTTCTGAAGAGAGGGTTCGCCCTAGAAACACATTGGCACCGTTTGTTCGGGTCAGGTGTGCGGCAAAAAGGACAATTATGGCATACCTGGAGCGCCGGGCTGCGCACATGGAGCCGCGCACGTGGCGGTTGCCGCATGTCATGAGCGCCAGTCTCGCTCGCCGGCATGTCACGAGCGTCCACCGCGCCAGTCTCGCTTGCCGCCATGTCACCAGCATCCACCGCGCCAATCTCGCTCGCGGGCGGTTTCCGCATGTCACGAGCGTCCACTGCGCCAGTCTCGCTCGCGGGCGGTTTGCGCATGTCACGAGCGTCCACCGCGCCAGTCTCGCTCGCGGGCGGTTTCCGCATGTCACGAGCGTCCACCGCGCCAGTCTCGCTCGCATGCATGTCACGAGCGTCCACCGCGCCAGTCTTGCTCGCGGGCGGTTTCCGCCTGTCACGAGCGTCCACCGCGCCAGTCTCGCTCGCGGGCTGTGTCTCGCTCGCGGGCGGTTTCCGCATGTCACGAGCGTCCACCGCGCCAGTTTCGCTCGCGGGCGGTTTCCGCATGTCACGAGCGTCCACCGCGCCAGTCTCGCTCGCGGGCGGTTTCCGCATGTCACGAGCCTCCACCGCGCCAGTCTCGCTCGCGGGCGGTTTCCGCATGTCACGAGCGTCCACCGCGCCAGTCTCGCTCGCGAACTTCCGCGTGTCACGAGCGTCCACCGTGCCGGTCTCGCTCGCGGGCGGTTTCCGCATGTCACGAGCGTCCACCGTGCCAGTCTCGCTCGCGGGCGATTTCCGCATGTCACGAGCGTCCACCGCGCCAGTCTCGCACCGCATGCACAGCGTCTCGCTCGCGGGCGGTTTCCTCCTGTCACGAGCGTCCACCGTGCCAGTCTCGCTCGCGGGCGGTTTCCGCCTGCATGTCACGAGCGTCCACGGCGCCACTCTCGCTCGCGGGCGGCCTGTCACGAGCGTCCACCGCGCCAGTCCCGCTCGCGGGCGGTTTCCGCATGTCACGAGCGTCCACCGCACCACGGGCGGTTTCCGCATGTCACGAGGGTTCCCCCGCGCCAGTCTCGCGGTTTCCGCATGTCACAAGCGTCCACCGCGCCAGTCTCGCTCGCGGGCGGCTTCCGCATGTCACGAGCGTCCACCGCGCCAGTCTCGCTCGCGGGCGGTTTCCGCATGTCACGAGCGTCCACCGCGCCAGTCTCGCTCGCGGGCGGTTTCCGCATGTCACGAGCGTCCACCGCGCCAGTCTCGCTCAGTCTCACGAGCGTCGCGGGCGGTTTAATTCCGCATGTCACGAGCGTCACCCGCGCCAGTCTCGCTCACGGGCGGTTTCCGCATGTCACGAGCGTCCACCGCGCCAGTCTCGCTCGCAGGGGGTTTCCGCATGTCACGAGCGTCCACCGCGCCAGTCTCGCCCACGGGCGGTTTCTGCAATGTCACGAGCGTCCACCGCGCCACTCTCGCTCGCGGGCGGTTTCTGCCTGTTACGAGCGTCCACCACGCCAGTCTCGCTCGCGGGCGGTTTCCGCATGTCACGAGCGTCCACCGCGCCAGTCTCGCTCGCGGGCGGTTCCCGCATGTCACGAGCGTCCATCGCGCAAGTCTCGCTCGCGGGCGGTTTGCGCATGTCACGAGCGTCCACCGCGCCAGTCTCGCTTGCGGGCGGTTTCCGCATGTCACGAGCGTCCACCGCGCCAGTCTCGCTCGCGGGCGGTTTCCGCATGTCACGAGCGTCCACCGCGCCAGTCTCGCTCGCGGGCGGTTTCCGCATGTCACGAGCGTCCACCGCGCCAGTCTCGCTCGCGGGCGGTTTCCGCATGTCACGAGCGTCCACCGCGCCAGTCTCGCTCGCGGGCGGTTTCCGCATGTCACGAGCGTCCACCGCGCCAGTCGTCGCTCGCTCGCTCGCGGGCGGTTTCCGCATGTCACGAGCGTCCACCGCGCCAGTCTCGCTCGCGGGCGGTTTCCGCATGTCACGAGCGTCCACCGCGCCAGTCTTGCTCGCGGGCGGGGCGCGTTTCCGCATGTCACGAGCGTCCACCGCGCCAGTCTCGCTCGCGGGCGGTTTCCGCATGTCACGAGCGCAGTCGCGGGCGGTTTCCGCATGTCACGAGCGTCCACCGCGCCAGTCTCGCTCGCGGGCTTCCGCAAGTCCCCCGCGCCAGTCTCGCTCGCGGGCGGTTTCCGCATGTCACGAGCGTCCACCGCGCCAGTCTCGCTCGCGGGCGGTTTCCGCATGTCACGAGCGTCCACCGCGCCAGTCTCGCTCGCGGGCGGTTTCCGCATGTCACGAGCGTCCACCGCGCCAGTCTCGCTCGCGGGCGGTTTCCGCATGTCACGAGCGTCCACCGCGCCAGCGTCCACCGCGCCAGTCTCGCTCGCGGGCGGTTTCCGCATGTCACGAGCGTCCACCGCGCCAGTCTCGCTCGCGGGCGGTTTCCGCATGTCACGAGCGTCCACCGCGCCAGTCTCGCTCGCGGGCGGTCTCCGCATGTCACAAGCGTCCACCGCGCCTGTCTCGCTCGCGCCCATGTCACGAGCGTCCACCGCGCCAGTCTCGCTCGCGGGCGGTTTCCGCATGTCACGAGCGTCCACCGCGCCAGTCTCGCTCGCGGGCGGTTTCCGCATGTCACGAGCGTCCACCGCGCCAGTCTCGCTCGCGGGCGGTTTCCGCATGTCACGAGCGTCCACCGCGCCAGTCTCGCTCGCGGGCGGTTTCCGCATGTCACGAGCGTCCACCGCGCCAGTCTCGCTCGCGGGCGGTTTCCGCATGTCACGAGCGTCCATCGCGCCAGTCTCGCTCGCGGGCGGTTTTCGCATGTCACGAGCGTCCACTGCGCCAGTCTCGCTCGCGGGCGGTCCAGCCAGCCTCGCGCGCCCAGTCTGCACCACACCGTTGTCCCCGCAGCCAGCCAGTCTCGCTCGCGGGCGGTTTCCGGCCACGCCCGGGTCTGCGTCCCCCCAGCCAGCCAGTCTCGCTCGCGGGCAGTTTCCAGCCAGCCTCGCGCACCCAGTCTGCACCACACCCGTCCCCCCAGCCGGCCCCACACCGCCGTCCCCCCAGCCAGCCTCGTACGCCCGGTCTGCACCCCCAGCCGGCATCGCACGCCCGGTCTGCAGCACAACGAAATGGAAATCCCTTCTTATCTCCGTCGTCACAGCTTGTATCGCTCCCAGGCACCTTAAGAGAAAACCTAAAGCAGAACCCAAGCATCAGAGATGCTTTTGGGAAAAAGCAAACAAGGACGATCCATCCATCCACGCCTTGGCGGTCGAGGCTGACACCCCACAAAGCCCAGGCAGGCGAGCCGCAGAGCCCCAAGCCAGGCGAACACGCCCAGCGCCACGCCGCGCCTTCCACGGCGCAGTTGGCGCATGGCGCCGAGCCAATTCCAAGCGAAGCCGCGGCTCGAGCCAGCTGCTGAGAGGAAGGGTCGGCGACTTGCAACAAGTGCGGCCCCTGCTTGAGGTTGATGGACACTTTGTGGAACATTTGGCTCTGCAGGACTGAAGCCCCTCCGGCAAAAACTGCCTGAAGCCTACAACCATTTGCCCATCGCCAACCAGGAGACAAAACAAACCTCCAACCTCTACATCACACCTCCAACCTCTACATCACCCAACAACAAAAGCAAAAGCCAAAACAATAATCGTTACCTAATACCCGCCAAACGTGAAGAACGACCCCTTGCAAAGAGATGTCCAGTTCTTTCTGGTTGGCAGGGAAACCGCGGTTTCCAAAACAAGTCGGAGCCATCTCATCCCCAAGTTGCCCCGGGCGCCGCGCCCCAGGCACGCCGCCAAGAGCCCCGCAGCTCGCCTGGAAACGGGCTGGGGGCTTCTGGCACCAGGCAACTTTAGCTACTCATCATGACATCGCTCGTGGGGTTTTGTGTCATGTTGGCGCAGCTTGGGCAAAATCAAGGGCTGCAGGGAGGGCTGGAGGTCTGCTTGGCGTGGGGAATGGTTGCTCCTGGGCTTCCCGGCAAGCTCGGCCCAACACGCCAAGTGTCACCTCCGTGCAGGTGTCGCCCTTCAACGCCATGGCCTGGCCCGAAATGCAGCCGCGGTGCCTGATTTACGTTAGCTCAAACCTCCCAAAACTAGCGTGGGCGTTTCCAGAAAGGGGCAACGGCTACGATTCAACAAACGAACTTTGTTGATTTGTTTCACAAGCATTTCGAGCTCGAGCGCGGGATTGGCAGCCCAGCTAACCAAGCAGCAACAGCTGCAAGAGTAAGTGACGCTTCCAGGTGCCTATCTCGTTCCAAGAGCCCAGGCTTGACCAGTCAATCTAAAAGGCTAAAACATTGAATTGCAAGATGCACTACAACTGAAAATGTCAAAGAATGACCAACCACAGAGCATATCCAAGCGAAAAGCGGCCTTCACAAAGAGAAACTCAATGGAATCTGGCAACCGGTGCATCATGCTTAAACCACCTCTGGAGGAAATGTCAGGACCCCATTCCAGCCAACTGGTGAAACAACAAATCAACAGCAAAAGCTACCCTAGCCCAAACAACAGCCTACCAGGTATGGAACCCCAACAACTACCCAATTACCTGACTCAAAATCCTAAAAACCGCAGGAGATGGTCGCATCCGTCCCTCCCTTCAGGTGACAGAAGCAACAGCGACGTCGCCCAGGAAGAAGGCCTTCCGCCACCTGCCCGCGGCCGCCAGCGCCGCGCCGGCGCTGTTGCGAGACACGGCGTCCGGCTGGACACCTGCAGAGGCACCCAGGTCACAGGGAGGTGTGGTTCTGCAAAGGACGCACGTGGCCGGAATTTTACCCCCATAACATCTGATAAGCATGTTTGTTGGAAAGCAAAACCACCCTCCCAAACATCACATGATATATAAGCTCCCACCAATTAACATGTAACCTGACAGGAACATGGCGCCTTTAAAAAGAACATGGCCTTCTACCAGCACCTCCAAAACGCCAGGTTCCGGCTGTAAATAGCTAGGAGGGTAAGTCACCACGCGCTTTTTCTGCCATCGGGGGACTCGAGCGCCTGCACGCAGGAGCTCAAGGCACTGGATCCAAGCTTGGCCGCGCTGGCCTGGCAGCGGGGGAACGGCAGGGAAACGCCGGAAATGAAATCTCCAAAAGGAGTCGAAAGAAGACCAAACAGAAACCCAAAAGAATCAAGTGTGTGGAAGTGGTTTTGACCAAGCCACAAAAATGGCCGAAGGAAGCGCAATAAGCGGCAGGTGATTTTGCTGGATGAAACAAGATTTCGGCCACTTGGTCAGAACCATGAATCCGCAAACGACTAGACATGGTTCATCACTTGAGAAAGAAAACGAGAAAGAAACTGCCACACTGTTCTGTGTACGTGGGGTTTTGGGGTCACGCCCACCAAGACCCGGCCTGCTGCTATGGCGGCATTCAGCATGGCAAGGTCTGGCTCGTGCAGCAAAGACCTGAGGCAAAATAAACGCTACACCCGCAACAAACCGGCCTCTTGCCAGCATGACTCCCACAAAAGATGCTGTCACAGGCCACACAGAACGAGGCAGTCACACTTGCGCATATGTTTTGTGCTTGCAGATTGCGTACAAAGTGGCCAGTCCTGGCCTTGTAGGCTTGCTTGGTCTATGAAGCCCCAGCCCTCCACACCCTGCCGGCCATGTTTTGTTTCATCTCCTCTGCGCGCCCGGCGCGCGGCGGAGCGGTTCGTGGTTCGCAGCACGTTGGCCGCTTTCGTTTCTTCGTCCGTCAGGGGGCAGCGAAGTCCCAGAGGTATCCGGAGCCTGCCCTGCAGCCCTGCCAGGGTTGCCCACCCAAACTTGTTCCAGCAACCAACCTCCTCTCTGCAAGCCTTGGGTCAGTCCCTTCTTCTGTCAACCAAAGGTGCCATCACACGGTGTCCGTTGCAAATCACCAAACAAATGCCCTCAACAGTGACACGCCCATGTCAGCTTCAACAACCTGCCATTGGCTTCCCTTCACAGAACATGCTCTCCCCGCCTGCCAGTCCTTCATGACGCTGTCCCGCTGCGCCGGCCACGTCACCAGCACCTCCTCAAAGGACACTGAGCTGGGCTGGGCCAGCAGCCTGCTGTGGTCAGGACTCCTTGCTATGGGGGGGTGGGGAGGCAGGCAGGTAGGCAGGTAGGCAGGTAGCTCACGACTTCTTTGATGCGTGTGACGTTGCCAAATGACCTTTATGAACCAAGATTGCCTGCCAGCCTGCTCCCAGTTTTGACCTTTCGTGGCTCGCTCCGGGAGCGCCACCTACGGCCCATATCCGCCCAAGACCTGGCCTCGCCATCAAGGAACCTTAACTCGTAACTAATGAATATAGCCCCGGCCAACGATGAAAAAAAAAGCGAGCGCATACCGCTCAACGGCATCAAACCCCACAGCTCCAACACCCAACCCGCCTCTGCGCCACCTGCTCCAAGCGCTCCCAGCACTGCAGCCCCGAGCCCGGGCACGCGCCCAGCAGCCCGCGGCCTTTGGGCAGGAAGCCGCGGAGCCGCGCCAAGTTCGCGGGGCTCGGCGCGGAGTGGCAGACCACCACCTGCATCTGCAAAAAGTCCACGGCGTAGCGGTAGTCCTGGTAGTCCTCTGAAGGGGGAAACCTCTAGGGGACACTTGCCCATTCTTTCCAAGGATCCTTCTTTTCAGAAAATCAGCCGAACGCAAGGGGAACAGCTGGTTTTTGAAAAGAATGATGGTTGAAAAGAATGGGGAATCAACCGCTAGAAAACTAGGTCCTCCAGATTTGAGAGGCTAGAATAAGTTGGTACCCGATTTTTTTCAGTTGAAAACCACCCCTCCCCAAAAAAAGTGTAAAAAGGCACTACTGGGGAACCTAGGAAACAGGCGACAGACAAGAAGCCATAAATGCCTCGGAAGGAAGAAGGAAAACAATAACCAGCCCAACAAACAAACAAATACAGCTAAGAAAGCATTCACTTGGTAGTCTAGTCCTGGTAATTAGTCCTGGCACTTGGGACCCTCCCAAGATTTTTTGCTGGACTTCTAGCTGTACGTCCCAGCCGTCTTTTCGGAAGATTCGCAATCGAAAAAGGAATGCAAATGATGTCCCACCTATTATTGACTTGGCCACACATCGACCCTCGAGCGCAATGTCATGTTCTGTTACCTTCCAACATGCAGGAAACCCAACAGGGCAAAAAGCGAAGAAGGCAAACACAGAGAAAGACAAGTCCAGCAAAACTTGCCTAGATTCAACTTCTGGCAACTTCTCATGTTTGAACTGTCACATTGCCCTGGTGCGCTTTTGCGCTCAAGGATGAACCTCCCAAACCGCCAAAACATGGCCCCTCCGTCCTCCCCCGCGCCGGAGGCTACCATGCGGTGCAGGATCTCCAGCCCCGCGCCCGGGCGGCCGGAGAGGAAGTGGGCCTTGGCGTAGGCGGCGTGGGCCAGGCCGTTGACCTCCGGAGGGCGCCCGAATTTTGGCCCTTCTGGTGACATGGGAAGCCACCCACAGGGTTCCAAATAGGATGTTTTTGCGGTTTTTAAGTGGGTGTCGGCAATGCAATGACCAGATCATTGTTCTGCTAGGATCTTTGTGGCGGTCAAGTGGATGTTGGCAATGAGAAACGACCAGACCAGGGCTCCAAATTGGACGTTTTGTCAGATTCTTTAAGTGACTTGAAATAAGAAATGAACCGGGAAAGACCCCTTCACCGTGGGCTTCCGGTCCACCATTTCATTTGCTCGGGCAAAACTGATTAAGCGGCCAGACGCAAAAGGCCCCTTTGAAGTGAAACCAAAAGGATGCGGTTTTAACTAGTGGCCTTTTCGGCCTTTTCCCCATGCATAAACACACCCCTTTGCTTCAGGAAACCCAAAAGCGTGACTTCTTCTGTATGGTGGATGCGTGCTATGCTTACACCGTTGAAGAGAATCCAAACCAACACAAAATATGCAGCTTGCCAAAGCAGCTGCTTGCTCAAGACTTTACGCGGGAACATCTGTGATTTTAAGCATGGCTATGATCGCTGACAAGGTTTTCCCTGGCCTTCACGTGCCGCGTCTTGCCCAGCTGCCACAGCGCATCCGCGCGGCGCCAGTCCCTGGGAGGCTGGAGGCTGGGGCTGGGCTGACCCTAGAAGCTGTGAAGCACTGTAGCCGCAAGCTTCGCCCAAACCTGGCGGGTGCCCGGAAAGTAACATGTGCAAACTCTGTTTCACAGAAAGTCCACGCTACAATATAACATGAAGATCCGGAGACCCAGTAAGGGGCCACTTCCCCATAATCATGAGCACGCTACTAAGTGTTTAAAGAGCAAATGCTCATGGTCCACGTACGCGGTTGAGCCCTGCAACTCTGGCAGGCTTGGCCCCGAAAGCTATTCCCTAGGATTACTGACGAGACGTTTGCCGGTTGCAGGAACTTCGCCTTCCCACTTCATTCAACCATAAGACATGCCTCATGGCAACCAAGGACTAATAAACCCCTGTTTATTATGGGGGTGTTCTCCTCCATGTGATGATTCGCCACTAAACCCAGGGACACCCCCCTATCAACAAACTGTTTCTTCTTTCCGGGGTTACCATTTCCCCCCCTTTGCCCCCAGCCAACCCCCAAGCTCCCACCAGCGGCCTAAGCTCCGCGGCGATGTTCAGCAGCCCACCCAGCAGCACCGCGTTGGGACGGACGTCCCCCTGCAGCACCTTCGACAGCATCACGTCCACCTCGCGTCGCCCGGCTTTGGGGCCAGGGGAGAGCTCCCTGGATTGACTGGCGGGGGTATCGCTGTTTGAAGGGAAGTGGGCAAGCCATGCCTCACGACTTACCAACCCAGGCACACAAGGCGAACTGACTAAGGTGACTAAGGTCACTCAACTACCGACTTTCTTGATCCCGCACGCAACGTTTCATGCGTGTCCACCGCAAAGGATGACTCCCATCAAGAATACTGTTCTGGTCCATGACCTTCTCTTGGCGAAGCCCCTTGCTTGGAAGCTTGTTCGGTTTCTCAAGCCCAAAAACGGTGGGTTTCCATTTTGTCTCCACAACACAAGGCTCTTCCATTGTTGTTCGTCCTAGTACCCCTTCAGTGGCGCTGGTTTCCATTTTTTGTGGAGGGGGATCCGCTTGAAAATCGGCCCCTCCAAGACTCCCCCCTAGCGGGGGGAAAAGAAAAACACCTCCACACCCCCCCCCCACCCGCTCTCCCTCCCTCCCTCCCTCCCTCCCTCCCTCCCTCCCTCCCTCCCTCCCTCCCTCCCTCCCTCCCTCCCTCCCTCCCCCCTCCCTCCCTCCCTCCCTCCCTCCCTCCCTCCCTCCCTCCCTCCCTCCCTCCCCCCCTCCCTCCCTCCCTCCCTCCCTCCCTCCCTCCGCTTCTCCGCTTCTCGCCTTGTCGCGGCGCTGCAGGCGCTCCAAGAGCAGGAGCCAGGAGCTGTAGGTGACGATGGACTTCTGGAAGATCTCCCCCTCCGACCACTCCCAGAGCCTGGGATGCGGCGCAGAACCCCCGGAAGCAGAAATTGAGCCCGTGCTTCCCCTTGAGCTTCCCTGAAGGAGTGACAGTAAGAACCACCGGGTGCTGCTTAACTGGGGCGAGGGATGGAACCGGGTGAAGTTCGAATGATGCCTTCAACTCGGAGCTTGAACCCAAAATCCCGTCCTTGTCTTGGACATCGCGTTTTGGGAAGTCTTCCATGTCGGAGTCTGCGCCCAACCAACCCCAACCAACCCCAATCAAACCCACTATCCACCATCCCCCCAAACAAAGCGAACCAAGACAGAAACCACAGCCCACCAAAAACCACCCAGGCCAAACACGCCAGACCTGCCCGAGGCGCGTTTCCGCCCACTGCGTGGCCTCCTCGCTGCGGAGCTGGAAGCAGAGCTTCAGCGCGGAGCTCAGCACACAGTTGAAGTCCGGGTCCGCCTCCGGCACCGCCTCCTTCCACACCTCCCGGACCCAGGAAGTGATGAGCCCCAACGCAGGGAGGCGAGCCAGTGCAACCCTAGGCACCCCCGAAACAAAACCCACGGGAGAACGGAGGTTGCCTGTAGGTTTCCCTCCACAAGACAGGAGACAACCATGGTTTTACCGGAGGGAAAGGATCCTACCAAAGGCCTATTATGAGTTTGAACGCGGTTCACCACCATCGAGATTGATAGGCAAGGTCCCAACCAAAATGTCCCAGCTGAAAACAGCACTGCCCCAGGAAGCTCACTGTGAGCCGGCCTGTCCAAAGAGAATATTGGGAGCCGTCCCTCAGGGCCTGGTTGTTAAACCAAATAAGCTGAGCCCAAGCCACCCACCAGCGGATCCCACAAACCTTCCTTTCATAGGTTACTCACAGAAAACCTATCTTCCCAGCCACGTAGACGACATCAACTGGAACATGCAGAAACCAATTGACACAGCTGGCAAAGCTGGTCCTTAAGCCCAAGTGATATCCCAGCAGCCCCGGAACCTTGCCACCCCAAATCTTGTTTGGGCAGAGATGGCATAGCTTTCAGCTGTTTGGGGAAACATGGGTGTCTCTTTTCTTGAGGGACACCTCTTTTTGTTGTGTGGTGGTTTTAAAGGGAACCAAAAGGAAAGTCGAAGCCATTTTAAGGGGTCCAAGCTTCAACAAAAAGACCCACCCAAAAGAATCTGCAAGAATCAACCAGCTGCGTGCAACCCCACCCAAACGTGCAACAAAATCAACCAGCTTACTGCTCCCACGCTGACACGCGCCCTCGCCCTCCCAGCCTCCCGTGCGATCTCCAGGGCCCGTCGGCGCCGCGGCTCCGTGAGCACGTGGGGACGCACGCAGGAGGCCAGAGCCGAGAAGACGATGCTCTGCTCCATGCAGGAGAGGCGAATGCCCAAGTGCTCCTACCATGGACCCCCAAAATGAGGCTGTGGACAATCAATTCTTTGGCATGTCATGTCACCAAACGGAGCGAAGATGACGACAAGAGACTGCATCATGTAATGTGTTACGTCAATTCGTCCAAGCGGAAGAAGCTGGTAGGATGGGGAGGCCTGGTGAGGGGGGGGGCTATCCCTTATTAACCGGAGTTGTTGGTCACATCTTTTTACACTTCCAGTCTCTCATGTCTTTTTACTTGGGTTTCTTTCCGTCGCAGTTTTTTTGTCAAGCATTGAAAGCAATGAGCCTCTTTCCGCTCAAGGACAACGAAAATCCAAAAAAGACATCCTCCCTCAAAAAAAATGGAGACACTCTTAATTGCACCCCCCAACCGGCTCCAAGAACCACCGGCAGACCGCCCGGATCCTTGCCGCGGCCGAACGCTCCCCGCGCCTTGGCGTCATAGACCTCCAGCAGGGCCTTCCACCACAAGCTATGGCCGCAGCGCTGCAAAGCGGCCCCCACCACGCTGGCGTCCACCACGCCCTCCTGGTCTTCCAGGTGGCTTGGATTGGTGGCTTAGAGGTTTGGAGGTTTGGAGTTGGTTTCCCATTTGCCCCCTGCAAGAACCAGGGGGCCAAATTCCCAAACCGCCAATCCAAAGAGCCAATTCAGCGATGCCTGACCTGGCGCACCAGTGCCGGCAAATCTACGGATCTGGGGGGGGGGGGGGGGGGGGGGGGGCGCAGCCGGCTCGGCTTGTCTTCCAAACGGGTGTGCAACCCAACCATTCAAAGAACACTACCCCGATTGAATTGCCCTTTGATTCTTTGAGGGGGCTGCAAAACGTCATTCAACAAACAAAACGCATACCCTCAACCAAAAGAAACGCCCAACTGACAACTGAGAGCAGGTGTCCACATCGACGCACGAGCCCCCTCCTGCAGTGCCACTTCGAAGCATCCCAGCAACTCCTCTGGCGCCTGCACAGGGATTTCTTCTCCCAAGTTCCCCTGCCTGGAGTTGGTGGGGAGGATCCCGAAGGATCCCCCAGCGGCGCCCTCAAGGTCCGTCTTTGTAGCGAAGGTCGTCTGCAAAAATAACGAAGCCCCCAAATCGGATTTCAGGGATCTCCCCTTCAGCATGGGCGTGTTTCCTCGTCCGGTGTGAGCTCCCTACTTGCTTGGGGGTCATTGTAGCCTGGCTGACTCACCTGGCCCCAAACCACTCCCGAAAAGGGGGTACCAATCTGAAGAAACAAGAAGACACGCACGGTGGTTGATCAAAGGAAGTTTAGAAGGAACTTCCGTGTTACGAGAACTAAATGAAAGCTAGCTCTCAGAGGGATCAGAGAGAAGTCAAGAGAAGAATATAAGCACGCACAAGAAAATGTGCGCGCGCAATGGGAATAGAAATCGTGAAAAAGTGTGACCCTCTACGTGATTTCGCGTTGCCGGAGAGCCGAAATCTAGCTTGTTCGCGGCGTCTGGTCGGAGCATGCTCGGAACAGCTTCGGACGGGTGCGGACGCCGGGCCTATTGGCACGGCAACGCGAAGGTTTCGCAGGGATTGAATTGCGTGGCAAGTGCAGCTCTTTCGCAAGGTGAGGTACAGATTTCGTGGCAGGCGCAGCAACTTCGCAAGGTCAAGTTTCCCCAAGGATCGAATTGCGTGGCAGGCGCAGCACTTTCGCAAGGTGAGGTACAGATTTCGCGGCAGGCACAGCACTTTCGCAAGGTCAAGGACAGATTTCGTCGCAAGCGCAGAACTTTCGCCAGGTGAGGTGCAGATTTCGTGGCAGGCGCAGCACGTTCGCAAAGTCGAGTACAGATTTCGTGGCAGGCGCAGCACTTTCGAAAGGCCAAGTACACATTTCGTGGCAGGGGCAGCATCTTCGAAAGGTCAAGTACAGATTTCGTGGCAGGCGCGGCACTTTCGCAAGGTCGTGGCAGGGGCAGCACTTTCGCAAGGTCAAGTACAGATTTCGTGGCAGGGGCAGCACTTTCGCAAGGTCAAGTACTTTGCAAGGTAGATAGAAAGATAGATAGATATATTTTTTTCCGCGCGCGCGCCTTTTTCCGCAGTGGCTTCAACGTGTTTCAGGGGGGATTTCCAGCATAAAATAGGAATGACGCCCTCGTTCAGTCGAAACAAAATCGTACGGATTGCCTGGAGGCTCACACACCCTACCAGCAGCAGTCTTTTGCAGATAGGGCTCAACCACAGGGCCCGTGGCCAACAGCATCCTAATGACGGCAGCCAGCACGTGCAACCTGTTGTTTGGCAACTCTATCAGTAATGATTGGCCATTGCGTATCGTCGCAGCGTGCTCCACCACTGCCGCAACCTGACTCCCAATGCCACCAACATAGGTTGCATTGGCTGGGTATCCTCCACCCTGCAGATTGTCACCCCCACACAAGCATAGCAGTGTCAATTGCACATTGTGCCAAATAATGGCCCAAATGTAACTGTGCGCTTGTGGATGGCTGATACTGAGGTCGATCGCTGTCTGCAACGCCCGTGCAAGGATAGAGCCTTCAGCTCTATTAGTTGTCTGTGGAGGATAAACCTCGCCCGCCTTAACGGCTCGAGACGAATTGTACCCAGACAAAGCCCTGCTAAAGGCATCAACCCCAACTGTCATCCTGAAAACCACTCGGAATGAACTCAGCTGACTAACAACAGAATGCGGCCTATAGAGGCAGCCTGGAAGACAAGCCTCCTCCGCGTAAGTGCTAACCTGGCTCACCACCGTCAACGCCCTCCTCTGATCATCTCCAGGTTGCTCACAGATTGTGTCAAGCGGGAGGCACAAAACAATCGCCTCACCCCGCACAATCATGAACCTCGAGTCAGAGTGGAACTCTTGTAACTGCGTAGTCACATCTCGGCCTATCAGCCAAGTCAGCAAGGATTTGCATCCTTCTTGAGAATACTCCTCCGAGAGTACTGGCAGCTCAGCGACATGGACCGCGGCTTGATAGATAAATAGATAGATAAAAGAGAGAATAGACTGATAGATAGCTAAAAAGAGAGATGGACAAATAGATAGATAGGTAGATAGATACACAGAGAGATAGATAGAGAGATAGATAGAGAGATAGATAGATAGCTAGATAAAAAGAGAGCTAGATAGGTAAAAAGAGGGATGGATAGATAGATGGATAGCTCGATAGTTAGATAAAGAGATAGATAAAGAGATAGATAGATGAAGAGTTAGATAGATAAAGAGGTAGATAGATAGATAGGTAGAGAGATAGATGGATAGATAGAAAGAGAGACATATAGATGGATAGATAAAAAGAGAGAGAGATAGATAGATAGATAGATAGATAGATAGATAGATAGATAGATAGATAGATAGATAGGTCAATATATATATATCAATAGATAAATAAATAGGTAGATAGATAGCTGGAGAGAGAGGTAGGCAAATGGATAGATAAATAGAAAGATAAATAGACAGATAGATAAAACGAGAGAAAGAAAGAAAGAAAGAAAGATAGATAGATAGATAGATAGATAGACAAAGACAGAGAGATAGATAGACAGATAGATACAGAGAGAGATAGATAGATAGATAGATAAATAGACAGATAGATAGACAAAAAGAGAAAGATAGTCAGATAGATAGATAGATTGATTGATAGATAGATCAAGAGAGAGAGAGAGAGAGAGAGAGAGATAGAGAGAAAGAGATAGATAGATAGACAGCCAGACAGACGCACCGATAGAGAGATAGGTAGATAGATAGATAGATAGATAGATAGATAGATGGATGGATAGATAGATAGATCGATAAAAAGAGCGAAAGAACGAAATAAGGGTAGATAGATAAAAAGAGGGAGATAGATAAAAGAGAGAAAGAAAGATAGGTAGATAGACAGATAGATGGATAGATAGATAGATAAATAGAAGGCAGATAGGTAGATAGATAGATAGGTAGAAAGATAGATAGATAGCTGAATTGCAAAAAAGACAGGCAAATAGATAGATCAAAGGGAGATCGATAGATATAAAGATCGATAGATTGACAGAGAGATGGATAGAAACATAGAGAGATACATATATATATATACATATATACATAGACAAATAGATAGATCAAAGGGTAGATAGATAGATAGATAGATAGAAAGATAGATAGAGAGAGAGAGAGAGAGACGCAGGGAGGGGGCATAGATAGACAAATAGACAGAGAAAGAGATAGATAGATAGTTAGAGCAGATACGTAGAATGATAGAAAGGAACAATGAACGATGACTAAGAGCAAGAAGAGAAAAGAATGTCAAGAAAAGAAAGAGGAACAGAACTATAGTTGTTTATATTTTAAAACTTCCGCCCACCGGCTTCGCCGGCTCTACTGGCAATCTAACGAAGAGTGGAAGGTTCCTTTTGGGTGCCAAACTTCTCCCTCCAAAAAAAGACACAAGACACCCTTTCTGCGCTTGGGGGAGCTCCTCTACAAACTCGGGTTGCTTCCTTTGACAATCTGGGGAGTCCAAGACAGCTGCCCGCCTCATGTCTTTGGCAATCCGTATGGAATCTGCCGATCTGGCTGCACACATCTTGGCCCGCAACGAGAACACCGACAATCCCCCTCCTCTGACTCTCCATACTTAGCCTACACAAAAATCCAACATTGGGGCGCGACATTTTGTTGGGGACCTTCGAACTTGTTGCTTGCTTGGCCTGCCTTTAAAACTTACCTTTAAAAAAACCGCAAACAAGGGGTACCCTCGAAAAACGACACAACCACGCGTCAGGAGACCCAGGGCCACTTCCCAGCCCCTCCACGCCTGGGACTTCTTGAGCCTATGCCGCACCTCCGCGCCCTCCTCCGTGCGCTGCTGGCCAGGCCTGCCCATGCGAAGGTTGCGGCCAACGGCGCAGCCACTGGAAGACGGGGTTTGGGGAACCCTGGAGAAGTTTGGACATGAACAAGAGTTGGGCGAAAAAGGTGTGGAAGAGTGGGGAAACGCAAAAGGCCCTGGACCGGAACAATTGGCAAAACCGTGTGGAAGAGTGAGGGCAAGCTGATTTTTGTTCAGCTGGCTCCAACGAAACCATAATTAGTCCCCACATTCCCGCGCCGCGACCCGTGCGCGATGCGTGCGCGACTTTTCAGGCGCCTGATGCGTGCCGGGGACAGCACGAAGCGCAGCTGCGGGCGTTTCGGCGAGGGCTGGTAGGTTCCTTCCGGGCGCAGCTGCATGCGGTTCTGCGAGGAGAAGGTGGCCTGCCAGCTGCCCCGGAGGCTTCCCCCACAGAAATGGGGAGGAAACCGCATGGCGAAAGCTTCGCTCAGATTCCCGAACAATCTAATAGCTACATAGTGGCTTGCTTTTTCTTTCTGGCTTCCGCCAGGCAAGGAGGGAAGGGATTCAGACAAAAGTGTCAAGTCCTGCAAGGCTCGCTGAGGCTCGCTCATTTGCTCCGGGCCATCCAGAATCAGAAATTTGACGCAAATGTCATGTTTGATCCTGGCTCATATTCGGCGAACCTTCTGCAACATCACTTCAAAACTGGGCTGCCCTCAGATCCCCCGCTAAAAGTTTAGCTTTTAGTGGGTTAAACGAAACTACCACTGAATACTCAAAGGCCAGAAAGCTAAGGGGATGGCTGGGAGCCACCAAGAAAAGACATCCCAAGTTGCAAACCGCCACTCCAGACCTGGCCTGCTCCGGCCGGGAGTGGCTGCGCAACGCCACCTGGCAACATTTTCTCAGCCAAACGCTAGGCCTCCCAACAAACCCCCGGCAGTCAGACGATGCAAAGGCCGCCCTTCGTTTGGGTGGACTTTCTCCGCAAAAACAAGGAGCAAGGGGGAGCTGCGGGAATCGTTTCTTCAAATCTGTACCTGTAATCACCGAGTCTTCATTCCATGGGGAAGCACAGGAGCTGTTGAAAACATCCAACCTCATTTGCAACAAACCCGCTTCTTCAGGGACGGCCCCCCTCAAAGACCTCCAATGCCCAGAGCCCTTTCTCGCACAGCACTTGCAGAGGAGCTGAGCGGAATCCCACTAGCTTCCATTTGGTTAAAAACCCTGGAAAAACTAAACATATTTCCAGTAGTGATAAATTCCTTTTAAAACCAACAAGGGGAAAAAATACAAGAAAATAAAATATTCTTAAGCAAATGGAAGCTAGCTGGCCCATGTGCGGACAAATGCGTCAGCCAAGCTGCAGCCGCCGCCAGACCCGGCAGCGCAGCCTTGTGCCAGGCAAGCCCTGCCTCGCGCAGGAGGCGACCACGAACATAACACGGCAACATCTGCAGCCACCCAAGCGACCCCGCCCTCGCCAACCAAAAGCGGCAAAATGATGCAGGACGCACATACTCATTCACCGCCAACAGGTTACAAACGCACGGTCCGGTTCTAGTATCCTTATATCCCAAGTTGGACATACGAAGTGCCGGAGGAGACACACACACACACACACAAGTCACAAAAAAAAAAAAAAAACGCGCTCTGGCCCTCCGTTCGCCCGCCTTCCCCCCGCCCTCGCGGCGAAGCGGCGCCGGAAACGCGGCCGCCCGGCATTTGGCGCACTGCCATGTGCCCAGCCATAGCACCGGCGTGGCCAGTGCCAAGTCCATAGGGGGCAGGGGGCGTGGTGGTGGGGGGGAGGATGAGGGGGTGGGGGTGGGGGCTGGGGGGTCTCTGGAAAGATGGGCCTTGGGGTGTTGTGGTTGCTGCTGCTGCTGTGGGTTTTGTCAGCGGCTGGCGTGGGGCGCGAGGGCATCTGAACAGGGAGGCTCATGGTTGCGTTTGCTACGGATGTAGGGTGGTGTTGTGTGTCTTTGTGCAGGGCAGTTGTATGTCTTGGAATGAATCTAATCCTAGGCTTTAAGCAGCGGACAATTGCCCACTGGCAAAGATGTGCAATATTAATCTTGCCACGGTTCTGCGAGGCAAGGCAAGCACCGACTGCATACAAAATCTTTGCCGAGCTGGCATTCCTCAGGATCATGCAAACAGTGGCACTGGAAAGGTGATAAAGCCATGGCTTCTTGAACGCTTGGCCGCTTGAACCCTGGGCCAACCAGCCACTACGTAGCACTCCAAGTCTGAACGTGCGCGGCGACGACTGTGTCTGGTAAAGGCCGAGGCAATCACAAGCTGATGCATGTTCACCGAGGATATCTCTTGGGCGACCCTCCTCACATTCAAGTGAACGCTTTGTTCCCAGAAGCAAGGCACGAACTTCACATCCAGAAGGTTACGCTCCCTTCCCCAGCGTGCGCCAACTAACAACGACATGAGTGGATCCTAGCATCCAAGCCCATGTTAACAGTCACCTCAAAAACTGAGACACCCCATTCGAGCGGCCGAACCCGCAAGCCCCATCCGAGGTGGCGGCAGTGCTGCAGGCCACCCCAGCCGAGCGCCGCCTAAGCACGCCACTCGCTTGCAACCAAGCGCCCTGGAATGGTCCCCCAGACCAGTTGGGGAGGCTGACCTAGAGGGCAGCATCGACCCCGGGTCAACATGGGAAGGAAAGAAAGGGTTCACTGGACTTTGGTAGCCGGTTTTACCCTGGGTTCACCCCTCAATTGGCAATTTGGGCCCAAAAAAAGACCTGGAAACCAAAGGTTGAGGACCCAGTCGGGCAAACCAAAGGGTCAAAAATAACAGCTTCCGGTCTGCTGAGCCGAAGCCTTCCTGGAAGCGCAGGTTCTTACCTACAGCCTTCTGCCTCTCTTGCCCAGCCTTCATCTAGAGAATTGCCACTGCGCTGTTCGTCGTTGACACAGATGTCTTCGCGCTTCTTCCACAACTCCAAAAGAGCGGGAAATACCAAAGTGATCACTTGTTCGATCCCTCGACTAAAACTTAGAGGCGACCACTGAGCTCTCTCTTCTGATCCAGGCCCTCCGGCAAGTCATCACACAGGCGCTGCGAGCGTCTTGCACGCCTGGCAGTGGTCTCTCTTGCTTCGTCCGCCCACCTACCCAACCACTGGTGGCCTGCTGTTGGGCCACTCGGGCACTTGGGTCAACCCACAAGTAGACGGTGACCACAACGAGCGCCCCCGCGGCAAACGGCTGTTCGCTTTTTGTGGAGCCAATGGAAACCCAAAATGAAAGTCTAAAGAGACCCAACCCCAAATAGCAATCCAGTAAAGCCACGGCACTACCGATCCCGCCTTCCACGCGGCCAAGGGCCAGCCACCGCAACAGCGAGATGGCCTGGCAGGCGGTATCTTCCCGCTGGGAATGTCTCGAAATAGGGTGAGCCACGGCGGCTTTCCCTCGGTGTCCCGTTGTTTGAGCGGTTAAAAAAAAAGGCTGCCCAAAGAAAGACACAGTTCCATGGGCATGGCTCCGTGAACAGAAACAAACGAATCGAGCTCGTCAACCGCATGAGCAAGGCAAACGAGCAAAAGCGTTCCCAGGTGGCTTGACTACGTGTCAGTGATGCTGCGGCACCACCAAAGCATAGCACCAAACTTCCCACAGAAATCCACGGGAACAATTCCAGAGCCACAGCCCCTCACACACCATCCCCCCCCCCAAAAAAAACACCTCACCACCCGCCCACAAAACCTACACTCGGCGGCGAAAGTCGGTGCACGACAGCTTACACAAGCAAACCTGCATGAGACGCAAGCGCATTCACGAAGTCAGAGAAGTCAGTGCAAAACTTGCCAAATACCACTGTGACGCAGTATGTCAAGATGTCTGTTTTAAAGCACTAATTTGGGCGTGCGAGGTGTAAATCCCACTGTGACGCAGTATGTCAAGATGTCCGTTTTAAGGCACTAATTTGGACGTACGATGTGTAAATCCCACTGTGACGCAGTATGTGAAGATGCCCGTGTTTAAGCACTAATTTGGACGTACGATGTCCCAATGGGACGCAATAGGATGTGCAGCTGGGAAAAGTATCCAGTGGGAGCACCGGAAGCAACAAATCCAAATGGGACGCCGCATGGCATGTATAATTTCCAACAGTATGGGACGGAATTGGACGCAACACTTCAAGATTTCATGTTTTTAGTTTTGAGCATTGCTTTAGATCCCCTAGACACAAAACCCATGGGAGGCACTACTCACCCCACCGCTTGGCACACCGCTCACCCCACAACCGCCGGATCTCACCCCACAAGCAAACCAGCATGGCACACCACATCAAAAGTGCGTGTTTATGTTGCGACTGCCTTGTCCGGCTAGTTCGTGCCTATGCGTTTTCACATTAGCTTCTACTTGTCTGAGCTAGGCCACGAGCGTAAAAATTGTTCATAGTGTCCACAAACGCATGGCACACCACCATTCACCAACATGCGCTGCAATGTTGCAAATTTCTTTGTTCATAGCCACCCCTATGCGTTCGCTGGCGCCAAGAGGTTGTAAACATGTTTTTCAAGCATGTTGCCAAATAGTGCGCGAGTGGCTTTTTGACGAGTGCGCGAGTGGAGTGTGCGAGTAGGGCGTGCGCGTGTGCGAGTGGATCGTGCGAGTGTGCGAGTGGAACGGGCGAGCGCCCGTACGAGTGGACGAGTGGACGAGCGACTCGAACACTCGCGCGCTACTCGCTCGTACAGAAAAAAGGTTTGTTTGAAGACCTTATTCTTTTGCGCGCAATTGAAAGTAGTACTCGTGAGACAAATACAAGGTCTAAAAAAACATTATTTCCGTACGAGTGAAAAGTGTGCGAGTAGGGCGCGCGCGAGTGTTCGAGTCACTCGTCTACTCGCCCACTCGTGTCCGCACGCTCGCCCGTTCCACTCGCACACTCGCACGATCCACTCGTACACTCGCACGCGCTACTCGCACACTCCCGCACAGGGTACTCGGAGGGTGCCCGTGCAGGAACTATCCAAACTGTGTTTTACAACCTCTTGTTCACCAACATGCGCTGCAATGTTGCTAAGTTCTTTGTTCATAGCCACCCCGATGCGCTTATAAGCAACAATCTTCCAAAACAAATGAAAACAAATGCGCTCAAAAAGTACTTCCCCCATGGCACACTGCGTTTTGCCAGCGCTTCCAAGAAGGAGCCCTGCAAGCCGCATGCTTTTTGTCTTGCCATTATTTCTTATCTTATCTTCCCCTCTTCTTTTTTCATTCTGGTTTCTTATTCCTTATTTATTTTGTTTCAAATTACTCCTTCTTCTTTCTCCGTTATTCTTTCTTCTTTCCCCTTTCATATTTCTTCTTTCTTTCCTACGTCCTCTTTCCTCTTTCTTTCTTTCTTTCTTTCTTTATTTTTTCTTTTCTTTCTTTCTTTTCTTTATTTCTTTTCTTTATTTCTTTTTCTTTTCTTTCATTCTTTCTGTCCTTCATTCTTTCATTCTTTCATTCGTTCATTCTTTCGTTCATTATTTATTTCTTTCTTTCTTTCTGTCTGTCTGTCTGTCTGTCTGTCTGTCTGTCTGTCTGTCTGTCTGTCTGTCTGTCTGTCTGTCTGTCTGTCTGTCTGTCTGTCTGTCTGTCTGTCTTTCTTTCTTTCTTTCTTTCTTTCTTTCTTTCTTTCTTTCTTTCTTTCTTTCTTTCTTTCTTTCTTTCTTTCTTTCTTTCTTTCTTTCTTTCTTTCTTTCTTTCTTTCTTTCTTTCTTTCTTTCTTCTCTGTGTCTTGCTTCTTTCTCTTTCCCTTACTCTTTCTTTTCTCTTTCGCTTGCGCTGTCTCTTTGCCACAGGACCTGCGCCTGGCCTTCTGGAAGTACTGCGCCTGTCACGAAACCTGCACCTGACCTTGCGAAAGTGCTGCACCTGCCACGAAACCTTGCGAAAAATTTAACGAGGTCTAAACGAGGTCTTAACGAGGTCTAAACGAGGTGCGATTGAGCTCCACAGAGTGGCCCTGGCCAGCACGGCTGCTTGTGTGGATTTGTGTGGCACGCGCAGGCTTGCGCTGGCACAAATCAAATCAAATCCTACTGGCACACAGCTGAACAACACAAGGATCCCAACTCTCATGTGTTAGTTCACTTAACCTTCTCAATATCTTGGCCAGAGGCAGTGTGCCATTGCGTTCTGTGACGGGAGTGGGCCTCAACATTCAACAGCTCCCCTTCGCCAAACCCCCCAAAGAGTCCGGTCCCCCATAGCACGCCAGACTCTTGGCTTTGCGCGGGGTGGAGGGCTGGGGTAGCACTTGCATCGCCAGCAACATCTACGCCTGTAACTTCCATCAAATCAATCCCTGCTGGCGCACAGCTGAACAACACAGGGAACCCAACTCTAGGTATTGAGTTGACTTAGCCGCCCCAATGTCTTGGCCAGGGGCAGTGGGCCATTGCGTGTGACGGGAGTGGCCCTTAACATTCAACAGCGCCTTGCATCGTCAGCAACTTCTATCAAACCAAATCCTATTGGCACACAGCTGAACAACACAAGGAACCCAACTCTCATGTGTTAGTTCACTTAACCTTCTCAACATCTTGGCCAGAGGCAGTCTGCCGTTGCGTTCTGTGACGGGAGTGGGCCTCAACGTTCAAAGCTCCGTCGCCAAACCCCTCAAAGCGTCCGATCCCGCATGGCACACCAGACCCTTGGCTTTGCGCGGGGTAGAGGGCTGGGGTCGCACTTGCATCGCCAGCAACATCTATGCCTGTAACTTCCATCAAATCAATCCCTCCTGGCACACAGCTGCGCAACACAGGGAACCCAACTCTAGGTGTTGAGTTGACTTAGCCTTCTCAATGTCTTGGCCAGAGGCAGTGTGCCATTGCGTGTGACGGGAATGGCCCTTAACATTCAACAGCGCCGCTCCGCCACACACCTCAAAGAATCCGGTCCTATTGCACAACGCAAATGGCACAAACTCATGCCTCGCGGCTCAAGTTTCCAGCAATTTCTCGCCCAGACCCCTTCTGCAGTTCTGTTGCTACCACCACCATCACCACCACCACCACCACCACCACCACCCACCACCACAACCGCACCATCACGGGGCTGCACAGTAAAGCCGGCACAATCTTGTTCCAAACACTCCTTCTCAAGTGCATCTTCGAGCTCAACGCGCAGCCTCTTCTTGATTGGCGTCGCCGTTGCAGGTGGCTGAGCTCGCGCGCCCCTTGAACCCCAATCTCACGGGCGCAGCGATGAGTTACGCGTGTGTCCCAGGAGGGCAGCCACAAACAAAACCCGTTCCGGAACACGAATCCCCATGGGCATATGGTTTCAAAGCGACCCTAGCGGAGGGTGTAAATCAAAGTCACATCTCCCAATGGCACAGCGCAGAAAGAGGAAGTCATATCAGCGTGCTCGCCCGAACTTACCTGAGCACCGCCTATCCAAAGACCGTGGGCTCATTGAGGCAACGTGCTCAAAACACACAGCAGGCGCAAAACGCAACGACTTCTACAGATGGGTGTAACGCCACGCTCAAAACCAGCACTCTCCAAAAACACTGCCTCCAGTCCGCGTGCAAAGTTCGCTCAAATCCCAATGGTATGGCAACAGGAAGTCTGCTCACACAAAATCCTGCCGCATGGAATTCGAGTTCAACGGTAACCATACAGATGTAAACCCCCACCAGGACGCAAGCCGCACCGACTTCCTCAATCAGTACCCTGCATGGCACACGAAGTTGGACGCAGACGCACAGACTTTCACCGGAGAGAGTACCCACCGAAGGCCTCAGCCCACCGCTGCGCCGCCGCTGCCCCAAAGGCTCCGGCCCTTGGCGCTTTTCCGCGCTGCCGCAGCCGCACGCAGAGGCCCGCCGCCTCTGACCAGAGGCGGCCTGCGCAAATTCCACGCAGCCGGGCGGGGGGGGGGGGATTGCGTGGGCTGCTGGGCAAGGACTGACTCTGAGTGGAGCTCAGGGGGCTCGAAAGTGCAAAGATTGCGTCAGTCCCAAAGCAAATTGTTCCTCAACGCCCATATGATCACGCCCACAAAAAGGGTGAAGCTTGACCTCCGAAATGGAAAATGGAGCCCCAAGCAAGGAACCTTCATCGCAGATGTTCGGTCGCAAACCGTTTTGAGGTAGGGATCTAATTTGCCCAAGGGAAGCCAAAGTTGAGAAGCACAAGCCGCCCGCCTTGGGCACAGCAATCCAGAGCGATGCCAAAGCTCACCTCCGGGCGATGGCAGGCCATTCACCCACTCAGCCCTTGCGACAACACTCGCTGCGCCTGATCGCCCATTCCAGTTCGTACTTACCCAGTGGGCGGCCATGGAAGAAAATGGGCCTTGTGATGCCTTGGCGGATCTTCTTGGAAACCCTCCCAAGCAGAAGCCGAACCCACTGAGCCCTGGGACGTCCGTCCCTCCCACCAAATCTGTCACCTGATGGCTCCGCCTCGTCCCAGACCGCGCCGGCCAGGCACTGCACGGCCCAAGCCCAGGAGCCCGCGCCGGAACAGCCCGCCTCAGCGCACCCAGGGCGCATGGGGGCCCAGAAGAAATGGGCATGGAATTTCTCCTCCTGCAGTTTTTTTTCAATGTGGCACTGAAGGGGAGAAACTTGCTTGAATGTGCCCTGATTGCAGATGAGCGTGGAATCCGACAAAACGTGAGGCTTGAGAGGAAACTCCTTTTGAGGGACCCCTTTTTCGGGGTACATGTTAAGTTGTAGGGGAGTGAGTGGTTGAGGACCCCAGAATTTGGTGGGGACTCCAATTACTGTTGAGGTGCCGTATTGAAATTCAAAGCCGAACTCTGGCTGCTGGTGCCGCTGGGACCGTGCGTGAACCCAAAAAAACCAAGGGCGAGACTCCGCGCCATCCGGGGAAGCTCCAGAACCCCCAGAACCCCCAGCACATCCAGCACAAATCGCCCTTCGTCACCAACTTGATCTGAGGACTCAGAAGTCAGGCGACCAAAGGTGGGGTGTTGTCCAAAATTTGGGGGGCCTTTTTCGGCCATTAGCCTTGAAGGGAAACATGTATTCGATAACTCCCATCGAGGTGCTTATTGGCCTTAAGGAAGCCACGAGGAAACCACCAGGAAACCCAAATGAAACCAAAAGGAAACATGCGATTTGGGACAACCCCACAACCCCACCCCGCCGTCACCCCACCCACACCCCAGCCGAGGTGCCGCCACCAGGTTCCCCGCCACGGCATCCCAGCCGACGCCTCCAGCCACCAGCGCCGCCCTCAGCGCCAGGCCGCGGCGCCAGGAGTCGACAGCGCCCAAAGTGCCGCTGGCCACGCGGAGGCTCAGACGCAGCCGCGCCTCCCAGGGGAGGCTTTTGGAGCCCCCCACCCACCTGGGTGAGGCTTAGGCGCTGGCTTGGAAACATCCAGAAACCTTGTGGATATGTTTTCTTGCTGGCTCTCCCATGCTAGCCAATGGCAAAACTACATTCTGGTTCAGCAGGGAATGAGGGAATGAGGTTTGTTCTGACTGCAGGTGGGTTAGGCCGCATCAATCCACCGTTTCTCTATCTTGCTGGTGCAATAGGCAGGGAATGAGGGAATGGAATGACCCACGCCATCCCCTACGGTTTCCTTTAAGGGAATGCCCAGGCTCATTCCCTCATTCCCTCCTGAGCACCAGCAAGTTGGAGCAAACCCACCCACCCACCCCAACTCCTAGCATGTCCTTGCAGAACAGCTCCGGAAAGGCTCCTTCATTAAAAGCAAGTTTGGATGCCCCAGCTAGCAACATGGAAGACAAGAAAAGAACCAATCTGCAAAAACATAGGGGATGGTTAGGAAGCCGCACTGAGCAGTTTTAGCCTGTGTGGGCCAGGTGTAAGGCTGGCTTGGAACCATCTAGAAACCTCTGAGGTGGTGATGACCGATAATTCGGGGGCTGTTCCCTGCAAAAATGAAGAACGCCCCAAAAAAAGCACCCTCAAAACGTCCACCACCGTCCTAACCCCAACTAAAAGCAAGAACCCCTCACTTTTTAAAAACTACCCCCACTGGTCCGCCCCGCTAAAAGGGGACATGACATGCTCGTGGCTTTAGCCCACGTGGGTAAGGCTGAAGGATCCAGAGCCCTGAGGTTGAGGCCCAACCCCCTGCCTGTGGCTTGACCTGTTATTGGGGGGGGGTTCCTCAAAAAGTGCCGCACTGGCACTGGCACCAATTTCCAACAACTATTAGTTCTTCAAGGAAAGGCGGGAGGCTCCCCAGACAACCAAAAGAGGGGAGGCCGACCCCGCCTGCGGCATGGCCCGCAGCAGCTCCAGCGCCCTTCGCCAGGGCGCGCGCCTCGCGCCGAGCCCCGCCCCCGCCGCGCCGGCGGCGAGGCTTCGCAGCGGCAGCGCCGCCAGGCCGGCGAGGCAGCGGCGCCAGGCACTGGTGGTGGTGGGATGGGGTGGGGGGTGGGGTGGGGGGGTGGGGGGTGCTTGGATGGTCAGACCACCTCAGAAATGAATAAATTAATAGAACCAAGGTTGCAAGTGGGACATGAGGGGTTGACAAATAATCCTTGGAATCAAGGTTTTAAGTGGGACATGAGGGGTTGATTGGATAGTCCATGGTGGTGATTTGGTAGGTGGCTTGACCATCCAAGAGGCGGGTGGGGGGTGGCCCTGAAAGATTGAGGTTCCCTCATGGAGTTGCGTTCTTTTAGCGGAAGAACGGGAAGGGGTGGGGTGGGTTCAATCTTGGGAAACGTGCTGCTGGGGGCGATGTCAAATTGACAGGTGCCAAGTTTCCAAGTCAATGGGGGGCAACAAAAGTCCAAGGTTCAAGTGCGAGAGCGTTGTGCGAAACACACTTCGCAGGAGCTGATGTCGAAAATCCGAGTGCGTGGGACAAAACCCACTTCAAAAAATCATGGCATCCGGCCCTCCAACCTATGGAACAACGCGCACACCCGGAGCCTTCGTGCTAACAGGATTCTTTTTTCATCCGCTTGCGCCAGAGCGAATGCGAATCAAACGCTGAAAGTGACGTTCTCTACCAACAGAACAAGAAAACCGTCAACAGTCAGGAGACCCACCTTGGCGCCCCTGGCGCCCCTCGCCTCCCTGGCCTCGCTGGCGCCCCACCACCCCCATGGCGACGCGAAGCACGACCCTCCGCATTGCATCTGCTCGGTTTATCAATCCGGGGTCAACATTACTAACGTGTTGCCTTCAGGTCTTGACGCAACCCAACCCCAAATCTAATCATTCAGGCCCTTGTCCCCAATTCTTACAACGCTTGATGTTAAAAGGAAACCAAAGGACAACTCCACCATTTTAGGTGTGTTGCCCCGGGGAGAGGGGAAAAAAAAAACGACCCACCCAGTTCGTTCCACCCCCACCCCCCCTCGTTCCATGCGACGCCAGCGCCTCACCGGCGCCAGCGCCGCCCGGTGCAGCGCCGCGTCGCGCCGCAGGCCGCGGCGCAGCGCCGCCGCCAGCAGCGCCACTGCCGCGGGCCAGGCGCCCGGCGGCCGTGGGGCGCAGGCGCTGAGCAGCACCACGTCCGCCTGGCGAGCGAGGCCGAGAGGCGCGCCCAAAAAGGGTGAGGGCTTCATTGGCCTGTGTTTTACGCGGATCAGGCCGTGGGTTTTGTGGTTGGAGCTTGCTTTGGGGGATGATGGACCTGGGAATGTGCAAAGGACGGCACAAAAAGGGACCCCCCGCCCCTGTTGAGAGAATCGGAAGAGACACCAGCGGACGCCTTCTCTCCGGTGGTCTCGAGCACATCCAGCAGACTCAGCGACCAAAACCAAGCCTCGGCCAGTCAGCGGATTCTTCACTGCAGGCTAAAGCTGGGCACCCAACAACAGGGTTTCAAAGCTGGGCACCCAACAAGCAGGTCCCCCAAAGGAAGATTTCTCTAACAAATCAGCTGCTTGTGGGTAACCTCCCCACTTGGCACCCGCCTCTGCTGGAAGCCTTCCGCACGCAGAGCTGACGCCAAAGGCGTCCGGCAAAAGCGACCTGCGGGCCGGCGTGACTTCGTCCAACGCGTGTTCGAGCGCATGACCATGATGATGCAACCCTCCCCGCACCCCACACCCAACCCCACCCCACCCCCCACCCCCCACCACCCACCACCCACCACCCACCCCTCCACCCACTGATCCCCTCGGCCTGCGTCGCATCTCCCGCAGCAGCTCCAAGCTCCGGCGCCATGGCGCCCGCCGCTGCACCGAGTTGAAACTCACCGCGCTGAGCCGCAGCTGCCGCCCCCTGACCGTTCGATCGTCGACGCGGCGCCGTCAGCCGCTGCGTGCGGCAAACGCCAGCGCGTTGTAGGGTCGGGTTCAGGCGGGGCGCTGGCTTCGGCAAGCCCGTAGGGTCTATGTTTTACTCCCATCATCAGCATCATCTTTATCATCGTCATCGTCGATTTGAGAAAAAAATCGGAGCATCCGCAGCCAGCCGCTGGCAACTCCCCCGCCCCGACTTCGGTTTGAAGCCGCGGCGCCGCGCTTCCGCGAGGCGCCGCAGCGCCGTGGCCCAGAAGCCCCGGGCCAGCGCCTGGTTCAGCCGCCGCAGCGCCTCCGTCCAACCCCGCCGCGTGCTTGGAGCCCGCCGGTGGTGGTCTGCCCCCATGGGTCAACCGGTGGTGTGTTCTAAAGCAACCCAAGTTGTTTCAGTCTTTTGGGCCAAGCCCGGTAAAAAAACAGAAATGCAGCATGGTCAAACGACGAGTGTTGAAAAGGCATCCGTTTTGACTCTCTTAAATTGGGGGGTGGGTGGGCCAGGGTCTCCCGGCAAGGGCGAAGGAATGATTGCACACCAAGTGCCAGCCGGGCGGCATCGTCGGAGCATGGCTCCAATGGAGCCGTGCCGGACCTTGCCGTCAGTCGCATCGCACTCGGTCAAAGCAGGGCCCGGGGGAGTTCCGCAGCTTGAAGGTTAAGACAGGCGTGTGGAACCTTCCGGACATCAGCTTCCCTCTAATTTGCTTGGCGGTTTGGATTTGTGGTTCGGAGGAGTGGATGTGGCAAAGCAGTTAGGGGGTGGATGTAAGGTTACACAGCAAACCAGGGAGTGACACCATCCGTATACCTGCGGTGCCCCTGCCATGCTACATGAATTAGAACAGGGCGGCACGCTCCAACCACCTCCAACCACGCCCTCGCACAAATTCAAAACTAGCCCCGCTTCTGCCCAGCTAAACAGGGCATGTTTGGAATTCCGGCCCCAGGTTGGAGCAACTCACTAGGGCGACATACTTCACCAACCTAAAACAACACTTTGTCTATGAAAGGAACCTTCTTGGGTGAGGGGTCGCCCGCCCTCATCATGTGTCGCGAGTCAAAAAGCCCCCCGAACGCTTCAAGCCGAGCGGCGTGCCGCCGGGCAAACGCCGTACCTGAAAGGGGTGTTGGCGCACAAAACCAGACTGGCAAAATCTGGCTACCTCGTGAAAACTTAAAGAAAGCGAAGAGTTGTATCCACCTGCCAAGGGGCCCAATCGCAAATTGTTCTTTGGACTCTCTTAGAGGGACAACTCCCTCCCCTGGCCTTTTCAGCACTGGGCGGACGCACCACTGCCCCCGCGGGGACCCCGAATCTGCTCAGGGGGGTTCACCCTCTCTGGCAGCCGCCAGAATAGGTTACACTTCCACCGTCCGTTCCTATGCTGATGAGTTAGGCTCCTTCTCCTCAAAAAGTGTGCCTCTGCGTGTTTTGCGCGCTTGATCTGTGATGGTGTTGATGCTCGAACTGTTTGTCCAAACTGCGGGCGTGCCACTCGCTGAAAGCCATAGGGAGTCGAGCGCCCGGTGACCGGCAATCTTACCGCCAGCAACCGATAGTGGGGCACCCCTACACTTTGCCAACCTGCCATCATAGAGGCCACCCAAAACCGAGTGTACTGGAAATGTTGTCAATTGCTCAATGTGTGCTTGCCTTCTCGCTGGAGCCACGACGGGTCGGCAGCTTGGCACTCTCTCCCCCATGTCAACCTGCCAGAGGCCCAACCTCGACCTATGAGGGGTCTGCCGCAACGTCCAGACTCCGAGTGCTCACTTGGACGCATGCCCCTCCCCCCAAAGACATCCGGGCTTGACGCTCCATTTACGTCTCTCTGACCTCTCTGCACTGCCAGGCTGCAAAGGTTCCCTATCGGGAGGGCTTGGTTCGCTTGGCCCCTTTGCCTTGAGAAGCCTGAATTCGAATTCACGCAAGCCTCACTTGCACAAGGCGCCTCGAACCAAAGGTCTAACCCTGGACTTTCGGAACCGAACAAGCAAAAAAGGAAAACGGCGCACAAAACGGGTCACAGAACGAGTTTGTCTACGGAAAGTCGGCCCCAACAAAAAGTGGTCACCCCCAACAGCTCACAAGGCCGATGCGCTTTGCGCAAGTGAGAAGCCCGTCGACCTTTCGTCACGAGAAGGATCTGTCGGACTTGGGAGGCGAAGCCAACGAGCTGCAAGAGGTGGAAACTGACCAAGCACCGAAACAAACACATGGACGATGTTTCAAAGGGGCATTTCGAGCCACCCAAACCGGAGCACAATAAGTTCCACCACCTGCGGCCCGCTAGAAATCCAGCCATTTGCCATCCACCCCGCCACCCCCTCACTTTTGCGGACGCCCCGTCCTGTTGGCGCCTTGGGCGGCCTCAGACGGTGCTCATCTTCTTCACCCGCGCCTCCGCGCCGCAGACGCCCAGCAGACTGGGCAGCGCCATGGAGCTCTGCTGCGAGGGGAGCCGCTTGAAGTTCTCCTGGGACAGGCGACGCACCTTGCACACCGTGTAGACGTTCTCCTCGGAGCTCAGGTGGGGGGGGACGTGGGGTTTCTGTGGTGGGGGCGGGGTGGGGGGCTGCGGGGGGGGGGGGGACAAATTCGGACGTGGTCGCATTGAGTAGGCTTTTTCTGGTTGGCGAGGCGACCTACCTGCTGTGGGGAGGTTCGAAGGGGTCAGTGAAAAAGCCTAAGTTGTCCCAACAAGTCGGCAGGCCCACAGCTCAAAAGCCCCTCAAAACCGAAGAACCCCAAGCCTAGGCCGAATGCGGGAGACCTAAAAGGACACCGACGCTCCCAAACTGAACAGCTGGGTCACGAGACCACCTTCTCCTCCGCGAAACACTACCAGGGGGCGGCCTCTCGAGAACATGAAGAAAAAACTTTGGGGCCGCCCTGAAGTAATCACAAACCGGGGAGGAAAAGCAAAAAAAGGGAGAAAAAGAACGCCTCAAGCGGCCGGGTGAGCTCGTTTTCCCAGGAGCCCTGGGGTGAGGTCCCCGATACATCTCCGAGGCTCGCAGAGCAGGCAGAGCTGCAGCAGCAAGAGCACCGCCTGCGGGGCCCAGGCCTGAAATCGGTGGAAGGTGCAGCAGTAGAGCACCACCTCGGCTGCCACAGCCCCGCGGGGGGGGAGGGGAGGGGGGGGGTGCGCAGCAGGGGGCAAGGCTCAAGCAGCGTGTGCCATGTGGAAGTTGGTGCCCTTTACCCCGTCTGCCAAAACCGACACGAGCGACATGCAACCATTCGGGGCTTTGAAAACAGGAAACCCCAAAAATGGTTGGTGTCCTTTGGAGATTCCTTTCAGTTTCCTTCGGGCTTCCATTAAGAACCAAACAGTGTACCCTCAACACGCCCTTTCTTCATCCAGCGGGACGTGCCACGTCTTCATGCCGAAGCCGCTAGGCTGGCATGGGAGAGCGTCGAGAAGGTGGTCATGTAGATCATGGTGCCACGCAGCAGCTTGGAGTTGTTCTTGGTGGGCCGCATGTAGTGGTAGGAGAGGATGAACCAGCCCTCAGCTGCGGTGAGTTGAACGCGAAACTTGTGGGGGAATTCTCGCCTCCTGAAAACTAGAGGGTCGCATCTGGGCGCCTGAGGAAGTCTTGGCCTGGGAAGTATCCCTAAGACAAGAGCCAACACCCAACAAGGCAGCCAACTACCATATAGGGCAGGGGAAATCAGTGGCCCGGGCTGTGTGGTCTGCACCCCGTGAGTGACAAACATATTTACAGCCGGTCCCCCACGGTTCCCGAGGCCTTTTGGAGCTTCGATCGTTCAGCTTTTGCCAGTTGAGACGTGGAAATCAAGGAGAACCAAAGCAAAGTCTGGTAATGTACTGATGTGTCATTTGGGCCGTCCAACCCTGCACTCCTCCGTTCCCCCTCCGCCTGGAATTTGGATTCTGGGCCACCTGCCCCATTCTTGCACCCGAAAGCACGGGACCACCCCCACTCCCCCACACCTCCACCACGCCACCGCCCTGGACCCAAGGCGCCAGGCCGTTGAAGGCTTCGAAGCTCATCTGCAGCAGCGGCCCCGAGGCGAAGAGCAGCAGATCGAAGGCCGAGATCCAGTGGATGCCGCTCATCAGACACGCCGCCACCAGGATGGAGATGTGGTGCAACGACCTCAGCGCCCCGTCTCACAAGCAAGGGGGAGGAGGGGGGGAAGGGGGGGGGGAAGGGGGGGGGAAGGGGGGGAACAGGTGGGGGGGAAGGGGGGGAGGTGACTTGGAACAGCTGCCGGACAAATGGGGGGAGGAAGGGGGGAAGGCAGTAAGGCAGGGGGGGGGGTTTGCGCGGCACGGCTTCCGGGAAATGGGGGGAGAAGAGTAGGGGCAGGGTTGAAGGTCCGATTCGATGCTTCAAGCTCGGAAACAGGGCGGAAGACTGGAACTGAGCAAAGGGCAGACCGAAAGCTGGCAATGTGTGCATATTGTCTTACAAGGAAACCAACCACCTACTGGAGTAGAACAAGTTGAGATGACGTCCTGCCCCCCAAGTCGTGAGTTAAAGGGAAGCAAGAGGGAAGCAACCACAGTTTCTGTCTTGACAACCCCCTTCCCCCCCTCCAAAAAACAACACACAAAAAACAACACATGACCCTGGTAGGAACGAGTTGAAGGACGCTGAGGCGCTTGTAAAAACGGAGGGGGCTTTGGATCAGCTCCACGATCAGAGTGGAGCACAGGATCGCCAGCGCCCACCGGAAGAGCCTGACCAGTGGGCATAGCACGGAGAGCGAGACCCCCAGTGAACATCCCAATCTCCACTAAAATAGACCAAAATGGGCGGCGCACCTACCCCGAAATGGTACCATTTGGTTTTGACCCACAGCCAGGTGTTTTTACGTACCCCCTGACCCTGCCTTGGATGATTATGCATTTACGCACCTTCCGACAGTGAAGGGGAACAAATTGAACATGTGGCCCAGCCATATACTCCCTAACTCGGGGTGGGAGGATCTACGCTTGACTGTGCTTGGGAATGGGAACGAAACCCCAAGGGGCATGTTATTCCTTTGGACAAGCACGGAGCCACAGCCTTTCCAGTTGCCAACTGCCCACAAGGGGCCTTACTGAGGCCCTCTGGGTGTTCTCTGCATTTTCACGGGACCGCCGTGCTGGCTAGTTGAGCCGAAATAGCATGGTGAATGGAAACCAAGACTTAAACATGCGTAACGCGCCGAGCTCTTTCGTTTTGAGCACCCAGTTGCGTTGCCGCAAAAGTTTTGAGCTTTCCCCTTGACCATGCTCTCGCCTCCAGCACACGCCACAAGGCCACATTTGTTCAGAATACTCCGCATCTGTTGAGGGACAATGCTATGAATTCTGGGGAGAGGTAGGCCGGACAGCGGCTTCCCGCCTGATGGCCCACCTCACCCCCCCCCGCCCCCACTCATTCCCTCCCTCATCCCACTTCCGCCTCCAGTCGACATGCATCAGCGTATACTCCAGCCCATGGGTGTGGACCCCACCTCCATGGTAGTCCTCGCCGCTTCGAGCCGAGTAAGGCTCAACCCCCGGACACCTCAGCTCCGAGCGCCGACCTCGGCTCCTTTCCACCAGCTCGTCTTGAGAACCGAGCCACCTGTTCTTGAAGCCAAGGGACGCTACCCAGGGTGGAAAAAAAGGGACGGCCTTTTCTCTACCATACAGGGGGAAAAGGGTCCCAGCCAGGGTCTGCCAGGGGAGGGGGGGGGGGTTTTCTCCTCACTGAGCAGGGGGGTTTGGGTCAGGACCCTATTGGATGATGTCCTTTTTGAACATCTCCGCGCCAGAAGGAACTCAACATGCTTTAACAAGAGATGCGTAAATGCCCTAGAGGAGAAACTACGAGGACACAGGAGTGGCATTTCTCAAATCCTTCACTTGGGTATGGGTCAAAATTACACCGAACTGGACCGCAGGTTTTGGTTCCCCGTTTTTTTGTGAACCACTGCCACTTCCCCCCCAAAAAAAATCGCACGTCTCCTTCATTTGGGTATGAATTTTAATCAGGGCCCCTTTGGTGGACATCAAAATTCGGTGGGGATTCATGTCCACCAATCACTTTTGAGGTAATTCCCGATTAAAATGCATGGCCACTTGAAGCAAATATATATATATATATATATAAAGTTTAAACAAAAAAAGAGCAAAAAAAAAAAAACGCGTGCCGAATCGCCGCATCCCCTCCTCCTCCCGGTCCACGAGCGCCAAGAGGATGCGGAAGCTCATGGGCCAAGCCTAGGCGCGGCTCCCTGCGAAATCTTTGCTCGGCGGTGGACCGTGGGTTTAGGGGAGCAGAAACTTGAAAAAAAAAGCGGTTAAGTGGGGATTTCAACCACTCAACCACGGTTTAAGGGAGCAAACAATCGAAAGAAAAAAAAGAGCAGTGCAGTGGATTTGGAGTTCAAATCCACTACACCACAAACAAAACTTGAAAATGTTCGCAGTTAAGCAAGTGGGGATTTCAACCACTAAACCACAATAAGCAAAAATGTCAAAATGTTTCCCAACAACAACCATGTTTGAGTGTTTTTTTTGTGGGGAGATGCGTTGTGTTCGTTCAATGGGAACCGGATGAATCAAGCCTCAGGTGTTTGATGGTGGGTTTCGTGGGGGGGATCATCATTTTTGGAGGGAAACACGCTCCTGTTAGTGGGCCGGGTTCATTCATCATGGGTTCTCATGAAACCGCCATGGCCAATCTGAAGAGGTAGGTCCAGTTTGTCTGTCTTCAGGGATCCATTTCCCCCTTGGCAATCGCGCCAAAAAAAACTGGACGTCTCCAGCTTGGCTTGAAAAGTTGACCTATTGCAAATGCAGCAAGATCCAAGCAAGCCGGGGAAGTGGATTCGCAGCACCTCGTGCCCTTTGTTGGCGGCTCGCCCATGAAGTTGCAACAAACCCAAAAGGGTCTGCAGCAGCCTTCGCAAACAGGTCGGCAAGCTTCAAAAAGCTACCCTTTGGAGCGTCAAGGAAAAGACATGAGCCCCAAAAATGGAAGATAAAACATGCCAAGAATGGTGAAGTAGTGGGGCTCCCCAAGATACAAACTATGTTTTCGTGAGACTTCTGAAACCTCCCCACGCCAACTCCGATCAAAATCCCGCCCTCAGTACAAACGTGGACCGAAAACACCGCCATCCCTTCCAGGGCCCCCCGGCCAGGAACAGCACCTCCACCTGCCGTCCCCGCAGAAACGGCTCACACGCAAGAAAGAGAACAGTTGTGCTTTTGCCGAAGGAAAAAAACAAAACAAAAACACCTGCTGCGGTTGACTTGCTAACGCAAACCCAGCTGTGGGTAATGAGATCACGAAGATCTGCTGGAATTCTCATGCCCTGGTTTCCTCAATTTGTTTTGGACGGCGGAACGGTGGAACAACAGTGGAACAACAGTGGAACAATCATCAGGGGGGGGGAGGGGGGAGAATTACATGGGGCTGGGATTGATCAGTTTTCTATGCGCCACTAGACAACCGAACCCGGCGGCCGGATCCGGTGGGGTGTACCTAAGCTGTGTGAATCAACGTGCTCCCTGAATTTCATGGGACGCCTATCCAACCATGAGCTCATTGCGTTGAAAGGGAACAGAGGTGTTGCCGTCCGTTTGGAGTGTCAGTGTTGCATCTGGCAACTGGAGAGTTGGCAACTATAGGGCAAGCTCGGTTGAGGAAGAAAAGGCTGGATCCCATATGCTGAACCGCCATCCTTCCGCCTAGCCAGGTGCAACTTGCACAAGATGACCAGCGGAGGCAAACATGATCCCGTGCCAGCAACATCTCTCACCCCCTCACAAACCGCCGCCAACCCATGCATTGATCAATCCCCACCCCTTCCCCCACCCGCCCACCGACCCCTTCCCCACCCACCCACCCACCCACCCACCCACCCACCCACCCACCCACCCACCCACCCACCCACCCACCCACCCAAAACCCACCCCCGCCTGCGCCACGCCCTGCACGAAGAACATGGCCGCCCGGAAGTGCCGGGAGCTGCTGACGCCGCCCTCCTGGGCCCTTTTGCTGGTGGCGTGGAGGTACCCCGCCTGCGGATTCGCGAGCGAAAACGCGCGAGCGAGGCGACAGAGGAGCGCTCGGGGAGCTCCAAGACTGGCTGGGTGGGGTCTGTAAGGGTGCCCTTTTTGCCCAATTCACAGGGAAGCTTCAAAGGAAAAACGGCAATTTTAGGGAAAAAGGTGCCTAGCACTTGGTCCTGGAGGGCTCTTTTACATCTCTTTCCCCTTGCGGGGAGAGTGGGGGGGGTGATGGGGTGCTTGAGGCTGGCGAACTCCCATCTCGGCTTCCGGGCCTGCAGCATTCGAACGAAGACCGGGTACAGCAGGCAGCCTCGCGGCAGAAAAAGCCGCCCGACGCCGCCGGCCGAATTGCGCCAAATTGGAAGGAAAAACATCAAACCGATTCTGGGCCGTCCGTTTTCGGATTCCCTGCTAAAGTGGCAAACTACCCTCACTAACCCAAAAAAGCTGAAAACTTGAGGGGATGGCTGGGAACCACCAAGAAGTGAGATCCAATCCCTGGCTATCCAACTAGCTGAGTTCCCCGAAGATATGATGGAGTCAAATCATTCCATCCAGCTGTGCTTGTTTGGGCCCGAAAAGTGCCTCAATGTGAAGCCAGTGGTTTCAACGCCCTGCCTATGAACCAGTGGCTCATCTCGACCCTGGCTGCTGGCTCTGAGTGAACCTCGGGCACCGAGGTTCAAATTAGAAAGACCCGGCATTCCAAGGAGCACGTGAGATCGAGCCATGGGTCGAGAGATCACCAGATGACTTCAGCTGGCTCGCCCTCGCTGTTTTTTTGAAAAAAAACAAATGTACAGGGTCAAACAAAACGGGATGGCCGTGATAAATGAAACGGGACCCAGAACAAGTGATGGAAAGCCCCAGGTCAGCCGTCAGCCCTCGGAGACTTCCTGCTTCCTCTCGCATCCAATGCTCCCACTGTCTCGTGCTTGAAAGCTAGCTGCCCGTTCGCCCGCTGAGTTGGTGGCAAGCTAGCCACTACATGCACCTTTGAAACCAGCAGTCCGTGCATCGGCCAAGTGGCAAAGGGCTTGGGCACTTGTGGCTCCGGCCATATGGTTCTCCCCGAAGACGACATTTTTCGCAGCCTTCGGGCCGGGCTCCCCCGGCCTGAGCCCAAACGCTGTCGCTCACAGAAACCTTGCGTGAAGTGTCCCTTGCCGGCATCCCCCACGTTGAAACTGGTCTTCGGGCAAATTTCTGGAGGGCCCTTGGTGGCTGCAACGGCCCCTCTGCAAAAAATGCTTCACTGTTGGTGGGTCCAATGGAAATCCGACCTGTGCCAACTAAAGAGTTAAAGTCCAAAGATCCAACCAAACAGTCCATAAAGCTAAGGGGGATTCCATTAATTGACATGGTTCACTCTTGTCATTGTCAAGCCCGTGCTGCAAGCACGACACATGGTTCTCTGCTCAAGCCGATGCTGCAAGCACATACGCAACGGCAAAGGCTGATTTTGGGCCCCTGTGCTTCCAACCCCCCCATTTACTTTTGACCTATCGATCAAAAAATCCTCCCCCCCCCCCCCCAGGCGGCCAACCCCTCCTTTTCCGCGCATCCTGGCCATCCTTGGGCCGCGCCAACCGCTTCCGCGCGCGATCCCTTTCCGGGATCTCCGCGGCGTTCGACTCGGGCGCGAGCAGCTCGAGGGTCGGCAGGTCGGCCGCGCGGCGGAGAGAGAGACCTGGCGAGAAAACGCAAAGGCACCAGAGGCAACCCACGGGGTATGGAGAGAGACCTGGCCCACTCCCAAACCATTGGGGCAAATGGGCAAGTGGGTGAGTGGGTGTACTCCCTAAACCATCGAAACCATTGGGGCAAGTGGGTGAGTGGGTGTGCCTGCTTGACCTTTTCCCCCACCATCTGGTTGCAACCGAAGCTTGAGCCGCCTTCGACCGGGCGTCTTCCATTTTGTCTGGCAGGGCCTCTGAACCAAACAGGTGGTCGAAAGGACAACCCTTGACCTTCGACCAACAAAACTGGAAACACAAGGAAAGCCCCCTAAACAAGGAAAGCCCCCCCCCGGAAAGAAAACCTTCGACCAACAGAACAGAAGGGATTCACAAAGGAAAGCCCCCCTTAAAACAAGACCAGCCAGCCCTTGCCCTTCCCCTTCCCGGGCCTTGGAGGAGCTCGGCTTCATGGCGCGTCAACTTCTTGAGGCCTCAGGGTGGAGAAGGCCCCCTTGGGGCCCATGGCTGAGAGTTCCCATGGGAATCAAGACAGGGCCCCTCCAGGGCTCCATGTGATTTCTGCAGAACTTGCCGGCCATGTAATTTGCCTTTGCAGGACCCGCAGAAAAAAAGAGTTGCCGTTTCGCGACTTGATGGAGCGCGCCTTCTGGCCAAAAGAACGGGGAATCCGTCCCCCAAGTCGCGCGGCAAGTGGCTTCATGACAAGCATAGCCGCAAGCTACTGACTACTTCTCAGTTCGGTCAGTTGTCAGTGGAATGTTCGGGCGCACAAGGTTTTACCCGGGCACATTTCGCATTTTCTCCATGTGCGGTTGTTTGGGGGGGGGGCCAAGACAGGCAACGGGCAAAACCCGCGCCACACCAAGCCAAGCTGCAAGGGGAGGAAGGCACTGCGCGATCAGTGCGTCAGTCCCTTGGCACAAAGCGACGTTGGCACAGCGTTTACCCTCCCCTCCCCACACGCAAATGACTGGCGGGCCCTGTAGAAGTGATGGTAAGCTCCTGGTTGGCGCGGCTTAAAGCTGAGGTCCGCTTCTTCTTTATCCCCGTGACCCGCATCTTGTCAGAAAATCGTCGCCCCGACCTTCCACCTCACTATGCTCCAAAAAACGCTACCCCTGCAGCTTTCACCTGGAGTTGGTTGACCACCCGACCCACTCCGCCCACGTAGCGCGGTCGCGCGACCCCCACGCCGCCCGCGGTTTTTTTCCTCATCGAAGACTCGGAGACGCCTTTTGTGGCGAGGGCCACCGCGGCGCTGTGGCAGCTGCAGCCGAAAGGGGGGGTGGGAGGGGGACGGTGCGAGGCAGAAGATGCGTGGGGCTCGCCATGATATGTGCAAATACGGCGAAAGCTTGGGTTGATGAAAGCGAAAAATGCACTACTTCACCTGTGGTTTGACTCAGAATATGACTCTATTGAAGTCACATACCCAAAACCATGTGAAGGATCAAATGGCCAGCCGAGCCTATAGATAAAAACTGTCCCTAAACCTTGGTTGTGAATGGAAGCCCGGCAGCAATGGCTACTATGTCCTCGCAGAACTCTTCGCTCCGAAAGGTTTCCTCTCTTGCAACCACCAGCTAGGTACTTTTTAGAAACACATGGCCCTAAATTGAACCACCTGGTAAACCAGACCCCCCACTGTTTCAACCAAGCGAAACCAGGCCTCCCTTCCAAGCTACATGCGTGAGCTTGCACGTGCGTGGCAGACAGCGCCCGGTGGATGGCCTAGCTGTCTGGGCGATGGGCTGCCTCTCCCTGGGCACTGAGATTCAGCCCCAAGCTGGACGGGCACCAGGCTAAGGGCGCGCCCCTTTTCAAGGCTAGACTCACAGGTGTCCTTTTACAGGATATAGATGTCCCTGGTAGAGGATTAAACCACCAGGTAAACCAGGGCCATCTATTTTGTCTACCAAAACAACCAAAAAGGACACCTATGGCTACATCCCTTGCTTGTGGCTTTAACGGGGAAGCCAAACGGAAACCAGCGCTTTTCTTCTGCTGTTGTTGTGTGTGTTTTTTGGGCGGGGGGGGGGGGTGTGCGAGGGAACATTATGTATAATATGAACGCTGCATGTTGCCTTTTGATAACCAAGTCTCAATTTGTTGATTTTTAGAATTTTTAGAATTGGTTTCTAACCATGCTAGTTTTCAGGGGTCCGATTTTAGAATTAGTAGAATTCTAGATGGTCCCAGCCCAGAAAAAGCCCAGCCAGGACCGAGAATTGATGTCTAAAAAATCGAACGATTCTAGAATACTAGACGGTCCCAGCCCAGGAGGGCCTGGCCAGGACCCTTGAGTTTTAGAATTTTTAGAATTTTTAGAATTGAATTCTAAAAATTCTAACAAATCTAAAAATCGGACCTCCGAAATTTAGAATTTTTTGAATTTTTAGAATTCTAGATGGTCCCAGCCCAGGAGGGGCCAGGCCAGGACCCATGATTTTTAGAATTTTTAGAATTTTTAGAATTTTGAGAATTTTTAGAATTTTTAGAATTGAATTCTAAAAATTCTAAAAACAATTCTAAAAATCGGACCCCCGAAATTTAGAATTTTTAGAATTTTTAGAATTGAATTCAAAAAATTCTAAAAATTCTAAAAACGGACCTCCGAAATTTAGAATTTTTTAGAATTTTTAGAATTCTAGATGGTCCCAGCCCAGGAGGGGCCAGGCCAGGACCCATGATTTTTAGAATTTTTAGAATTTTTAGAATTTTTAGAATTTTTAGAATTGAATTCTAAAAATTCTAAAAACAATTCTAAAAATCGGACCCCCGAAATTTAGAATTTTTAGAATTTTTAGAATTGAATTCAAAAAATTCTAAAAATTCTAAAAACGGACCTCCGAAATTTAGAATTTTTTAGAATTTTTAGAATTCTAGATGGTCCCAGCCCAGGAGGGGCCAGGCCAGGACCCTTGATTTTTAGAATTTTTAGAATTTTTAGAATTTTTAGAATTGAATTCTAAAAATTCTAAAAATTCTAAAAATCGGACCCCCGAAATTTAGAATTTTTAGAATTTTTAGAATTCAATTCTAAAAATTCTAAAATTCTATTAAACGGACCTCCGAAATTTAGAATTTTCAAATTTTTAGAATTCTAGATGGTCCCAGCCCAGGCGGGGCCGGGCCAGGACCCTTGATTTTTAGAATTTATAGAATTTTTAGAATTTTTAGAATTGAATTCTAAAAATTCTAAAAATTCTAAAAATCGGACCCCCGAAATTTAGAATTTTTAGAATTCAATTCTATAAATTCTAAAAATCGGACCCCCGAAATTTAGAATTTTTAGAATTGTTAGAATTCAATTCTAAAAAATCTAAAAATTCTAAAAAATCTAAAAATCAAGGGTCCGGGCCTGGCCCCTTCTGGGCTGGGACCATCTAGAATTCTAAAAATTCTAAAAAATCTAAATTTCGGAGGTCCGATTGTAGAATTTTTAGAATTTTTAGAATTCAATTCTAAAAATTCTAAAAATTCTAAACTTCGGGGGTCCGATTTTTAGAATTTTTTGAATTTTTAGAATTCAATTCTAAAAAATCTAAAAATTCTAAAATTTCTAAAAATTCTAAAACTCAAGGGTCCTGGCCAGGCCCCGCCTGGGCTGGGACCATCTAGAATTCTAAAAAAACTGAAAATTCTAAATTTCGGAGGTCCGTTTCTTAGAATTTTTAGAATTTTTAGAATTGAATCCTAAAAATTCTAAAAAAAAATCGGGGGTCCGATTTTAGAATTTTAGAATAATCTAAAAATTCTAAAAATTCTAAAAATTCTAAAAATCAAGGGTCCTGGCCTGGCCCCTCCTGGGCTGGGACCATCTAGAATTCTAAAAATTCTAAAAAATTCTAAATTTCGGAGGTCCGTTTTTAGAATTTTTAGAATTTTTTGAATTCAATTCTAAAAATTCTAAAAATTCTATATTTCGGGGGTCCGATTTTTAGAATTTTTAGAATTTTTAGAATTCAATTCTAAAAGTTCTAAAAGTTCTAAAAATTCGAAAATCAAGGGTCCTGGCAAGGCCCCTCCTGGGCTGGGACCATCTTGAATTCTAACAAATCCTAAAATTCAATACTTCGGGGGTCTGATTTTTAGAATTTATAGTTTGTTTGAATTCAATTGCAAAAGTTCTAAAAATTCTACAAAATCTTAAAATTCCAAAAATCAAGGGTCCTGGCCAGGCCCTCCTGGGCTGGGACCATCTAGAATTCTTAAAATTCTATTCATCGGACCCCCGAAATTTAGAAATTTTAGAATTTTACAGTTCAATATACATACATACAGACATAGACACGCATACATACTTACACACATAAATACGTACATACATACATACATACATACATACATACATACATACATACATACTTACATACTTACATACTTACATACTTACATACTTACATACTTACATACTTACATATTTACATACTTACATACTTACATACATACATACAGACATAGATACAAAGATACCTAGATACATAGATGCATACATACATAACATCACAGCACATTACCTCACATTGCACGACAATACGTCCCTACACATACACATGCACATGCGCATACATTACATACATCGATACGTCCATACATACATGCATGCATACATAATCTAACGTAACATTCTATAACAGTACAGTACATACATGCACTCATGTACAGGTACATGCACCTACACATACACATACACTGCGCACATGCATAAATGCATTCATGCATGCATGCATACAAACATGCATACAACTTGTTCCAGGTGACACTGGGCATGTTGCCGGGTCAACGATACCCAACCCGCCCTGCAAGAGATTGAACACGTATATTTAATGCAAGACAGGCCCACTCACGTTATACTTGCGGTCCGACTTTGTCATTAGAGGATCTTCATCTGCTCAGCCATTTTTAGAAGCAGTTTTGTCGCGACTCCGATCTGCCATGAGCCGAGCGGAGCGCAGAGCCTGGCGACTCAACTGGCGAGCTTGCTGGGGTGTCTGGCCTTCGCAGGACCTGTGTGTCTGCCGTTCATTTCGTACGGCTGCTCTTGATTTACTGCAGCACTTACTCAACTTGTTAATAGGCCCATTGTCATGAGACGACGTGGTTTTGATTTGTTTGTGGAGTCCGGTGTCACATAAAACCATATTGTAACGGTTCTTTGTTTATCCGCGGCGCCCGGTGTCACAGGGCGAAGTGCTACACTTGCTTGCTTATTCGCGGCGCCCGGTGTCACAGGGCGATCCCTCCACTTGTTTTTGTTCGCGGCGCCCGGTGTCACGGGGCGATTCCTCCTGTTGGTTCTTGTGCGCGGCGCCCGGTGTCACGGGGCGATTCCTCCTGTTGGTTCTTGTTCGCGGCGCCCGGTGTCACGGGGCGATCCCTCCTTTTTGTTTGCTTGTTCGCGGCGCCCGGTGTCACGGGGCGATTCCTCCTGTTTGTTTGCTTGTTCGCGGCGCCCGGTGTCACGGGGCGATTCCTCCTGTTGGTTCTTGTGCGCGGCGCCCGGTGTCACGGGGCGATTCCTCCTGTTGGTTCTTGTTCGCGGCGCCCGGTGTCACGGGGCGATTCCTCCTGTTTGTTTGCTTGTTCGCGGCGCCCGGTGTCACGGGGCGATTCCTCCTGTTGGTTCTTGTGCGCGGCGCCCGGTGTCATGGGGCGATTCCTCCTGTTGGTTCTTGTTCGCGGCGCCCGGTGTCACGGGGCGATTCTCCTGTTTGTTTGCTTGTTCGCGGCGCCCGGTGTCACAGGGCGATCCCTCCGTTTGATTGCTTTTTCACGGCGCTCGGTGTCACAGGGCGGTCCCTCAAGTTGATTCTTGTTCGCGGCGCCCGGTGTCGCAGGGCGAAGTGTTACACTTGTTTGCTTGTTCGCTGGGCCCGTTGTCACAGGGCGATCCCTCAAGTTGGTTCTTGT